GTCTTTGACCTTTAGTTTAGGTCAATTATCATTGGTTATCTCTTAGAGAAAATGCTTAAAGAGCTATTATGGTTACTTTGTAGCCCACATATTCTAAGCACTGGACAAGTGGGTTGTTCGGTACAATGTATCATCATCACTATTCAGCAGTTCCATCATTAGGCCTTCTGTAACAATCGTGAGGGGCGTCCAGGGCGCTGCACACATGTGGATTGGAATAGGATTGGCTACAGCAGCACCATTTTAACAATTATTACAGATACAGATTAAAGTGAGCGTTAAAATATAGCATTCCATTCCCAGCGAATTCATGAGAGGAACTGTGTGGAATACATCCTGGCCTAGATAGGGCACTTTAATGTCTTGTCTGCTGTGTATCTTAAAAAAGTTGTACATCTGCAATAGGCCTACACCACTAATGTATGTAAAGTATGCCTTCAGTCTACAGCATCAAGAACAACCTGTGCACCTCTGTACCCCCCACACACCTACGTAGAGGTCCACAACCAGTTGTACTAAATAAGGAACATTTAATCCAGCCGTGGCCTGTGTTTTGTGTCTTTCAAAATTATTTTACCAGTGGACAAACACTTCAATTCTACCAGAAATCCTCCCATACGATGATGTTCTTGAGGAAGGGTTAGGAACAGGAACGTGTGTCCAGACAACATGGGGTTGGTTTGGTTACTACCTGGTGAGGTGAATTCCATTGTGATAACATAAAGTCCAAGAAAGGAGGAAACCAAAAATGGGGCATTTGATGATGCCTGTAAGTCGCTCTGGATAAGAGCGTCTGCTAAATGACTAAAATGTAAAATGTAAATGTAATGTCAATGGGTGACGGCGTCTCATCACATCTCATGATGTCCACTCCTTTCCTCTCCCACCCTGGCCTCTGATGGTGATGCACCACCACCACCCCCCTTAGTGCTTTATTGGCTAAATGAGCAGCTGTGCAAGGAGACTGGGACCCACTAATTTCCTCCTGTCGCCTTCCATTAGTGCTGTGTGATCCATCTGGTTGGAGGTTCCCCCAGGGAACAATGACCCAGCTAATTGCTCCTCTCCCTACACTAGTAGATGGTGATGATGTGGATGTTCCTGTTTGTTTGTGTATGTGAAGTTGGATGCCTTTAGTAACATGGCACATGTGATGTGAGTGTTAGGTAATGCTAACTAATGTTGAGGCACTGGGATTAGAGGAATATATGGAAAATGTGAACACTAAATGTGATACTACCTGATACATGCTGTATGGGCAGTCTACCTGTCTGTGAATGCATTTCTTTTTTAATATCTGTGTTTTCCAAGTACCGGTGCACCGCCACCGACAGAGGTATAGTATTGACAGTGATGCAAAACAGAATAGAATGGTCAGAGGTATTTCATCGGTGTCTAACGGATTTGAATAGGCCCACCAACTCATGTAAATACTAGTGCCCAATTTGGGATAGAATTTGAATGTGAAACCTCTCTCTCTCTCAATCTCCCACTGTGTCTGTCTCTCTCTCTCTCTGTAATGGGGTGTGTGTGGGCCTCTCTCTCTCTCTCTCTCTCTCTCTCTCTCTCTCTCGGGGTTGGATGTAGATGGGAGGATTACTTGGGTCCAATTTCTAATTCCCTGTGCATGTGATCAAAAACACACCTGTAGTGCTAAGCATGTTGATATGGAAGTGCATGGTACATCAAATACTGTTGGTGAATTTAAAGTAGTGCTGCACACAAAATATAATACAAATAGGCCTACCATAGTATTTTCAGTCACATTCAACTGTGAAAATCAAATTGTATTGTTCACGGAGACATATTTTGCAGATGTTATCGCAGGTGCAGCGAAATGCTTATGTATTTAGCTTCAACAGTGCATTAAACTTAACAATACAAAACAATACACACAAATCCCAAAAAATTAAAATAAAGAAATATCAGAACGAGCAATGTCAGAGTCTGGAATATAAATACGCTACATGACCAAAGGTATGTGGATACCTGCTCGTCGAACATCTTATTCCAGAATCATGGACATTAATATGGACTTGGTCCCCCTTTTGCTGCTATAACAGCCTACACTCTTCTACTCTTCTGGGAAGGCTTTCCACTAGATGTTGGAACATTGCTGCGGGGACTTGCTTCCATTCAGCCACAAGAACATTAGTGAGGTTGGCCATTGATGTTGGGCGATTAGGCCTGGCTCGCAGTCTGCGTTCCAATTCATCCCAAAAGCGTTCGATGGGGTTGAGGTCAGGGCTCTGTGCAGGCCAGTCAAGTTCTTCCACACCGATCTCGACAAACCATTTCTGTATGGACTTCGCTTTGTGCACAGGGGCATTGTCATGCTGAAACAGGAAAGGGCCTTCCCCAAACTGTTGCCACAAAGTTGGAAGCACAGAATCGTCTAGAATGTCATTGTATGCTGTAGCGTTAAGATTTCCCTTCACTGGAACTAAGGGGCCTAGCCCGAATCATGAAAAACAGCCCCAGACCATTATTCCTCCTCTACCAAACTTTACAGTTGGCACTATGCATTCGGGCAGGTAGCGTTCTCCTGGCATCTGCCAAACCCAGATTTGTCTGTCGGACTGCCAGATGGTGAAGCGTGATTCATCACTCCAGAGAACGAGTTTCCACTGCTCTATAGTCCAATGGCGGCGAGCTTTACACCACTCCAGTCGACGCTTGGCATTGCGCATGGTGATCTTAGGCTTGTGTGCAGCTGCTCGGCCATGGAAAGCCATTTCATGAAGCTCCCGACGAACAGTTCTTGTGCTGACGTTGCTTCCAGAGGCAGTTTGGAACTCAGTAGTGAGTGTTGCAACCGAGGACAGACGATTTTTACGCGCTACTCGGCGGTCCCATCCTGTGAGCTTGTGTTGTGATGCCGCTCTCTCCTTCTCCATGGCCATGCCTCTATTCTGTGACACACAGTGACCAATGTATATAATGTATATAATGTTGTGGTCTATAGAGAGTATTGACCATCTATGAATAGAAAAGGTGTGTACAGCAGTAGTTATATAGGATGAGCCTTGACTAGAACACAGTATATACATATGACAGTAATGGTAACAATGTGATGGTAAACATATAGGTCTAGCGCAGTGTTTCCCAAACTTGGTCCTGGGGCCCCCCATGTGGCGCTGTGTAGTGCTAGGGCAACAACCAAAACATGCACCCCTTGGGGTCCCCAGGACCGAGTTTGGGAAACGCTGGTCTAACGGGTGAAAAATGTAGTAATTTGGAAATTTTGTTTGTTATAATGCTAGGATCAGCCATTTTCAGGAGGGTATTTCACTAGGTGATCCAGATCTTGCTGTAAAATAGTTTTCCGAGCACAGTATGCCTTCATTTTGTAAATGTAATGTGTGAACAACATAGATCACTAGTACGTGAGGCAGTAAAAGAGAGAAACATTCGTTTTGATCCACCAGAATCTACCATAATCGCTGGAATGTTGAATCATTAACAAGTCGTTGTAAAAACATAGTAAGAAACAGACAATAACATAGTAATTATGCAGATATTCCACTGGCAAATTCTTTGAATGATAGCTATGCTAAATAGAGATTCTAAACTGCTTTAAGAACACAACAAACACAAACATGTTGTTCAATGTGTCTGTAATAAATAATAAATGCTGACTGCAGTAATCCTAATCTTGTTTCTGAGCATTAAGTCGTTCGTGGATATCAAAGAGAGCCCATTAAATGATGAAGCGCTCTCTCAGATTATACCAGATTAGAGATTATTCTCCAATGTTAAACCAGACAAGGCTGTACTACCATAAGCATACAGATTACAGAGCTTTTCATATTTTACATGTGCTATGTTGGTAAACCATGCGCTTAAAATACTGAATTAAGTATTATTTTACAGTTTATATACCCAATTTACTCTGCATCTAGCTGCCGTTCTGCAGCCATGTTTGTGATGGTGTAAAACAACTAGCCTCCGGGTGAAATATGCCAAAATGATTATGATCAGATCACACCCATTGATCAGGTTGAGACCAGCAGAGGACCACAAGACCTCTGATGTAGTTGGAGTCGATTACTCATCATGATAACACTGCAATCAAATCATTCAACCTGATACGCATGCTATGTCATGACCAAACATAGCACATATTACATTACAAGCAGATGATTGGTTTGTTCTGACGCAGGCACTGTCCATCATTCTAATTTGACGTTTCTTCTTTTGGAAGGAATCCTAACTTTGAACTCGATATCACTGTCCCGGCGATCTGCATGAATGTTTTAAGTTTCACTTCTCATCCGGTTTTCCATCCTTTGTTCCCACCAGGTGACTTATTGAGTGACAGAGGATATCGACGAGGCCAGGGACCAATCCAAAATGAGCGAGCTGGAGCAGCTGCGTCAGGAGGCGGAGCAACTTAGGAACCAGATAAGAGTATGGCCGCGTTCTCCTGCTCAGACGTTGCATGCATCAACCAATGGTTGCGTGTCAGATTGCTTATGATGTGGTTAGCTGATACATAAAATACCTATCCAGGCAATGTAAGATCAGGCATGCGTCAGCAACGTCTGAGCAGCGGAACACGACCCAAGCGTGTCAGAGAGACTGCGTTTACACAGGTAGCCCAATTATGATCTTTTTTTGACCAATCAGATCAGCTCAATAATTGGGCAAAAGATCAGAATTGGTGTGCCTGAGTAAACGCAGCCAGAATGTCACTGATCTGGGCCCACATTTACAAAGAGTCCCAGAGCCTAGGAGTGCTGATCTAGGATCAGTTTGACCTTTTACTGTAGATCATAAAGAATGAGATAACAGGATATGGACAGGAGGACCTGATCCTAGATCAGCAGTCCTACTCTGAGACGCTTTATGATCTCAATTAATGCAGTAAAACCATTGGGTTTAGGAGAAAAGGGAGTTGGCCTAATGAACCATATTGAGAGGTGGGAGGTTGACCTGGGAAAAGATTGAGGGAGAGTGCTAATGCTTGTCTAACCACTTTCTGTTTCTCTGTCTCTTAGGATGCCAGGAAAGCATGTGGGGACTCAACCCTGACACAGGTAAGTATCACACATATCCACATAAAATACAGTATGATTGGTATAGATTTGTCTTGTGTCTGAAGGCCCCTTAAGAACACAATCAATAAAAGTGTTTACCAATGCCTTAACCAACATACAATATAGCTTACAGTACATTACATTGCCACATTAACTATGTGATGAACTTGTCTTTACGTGACTTTTCTGTGTGTTTGTGTGTCAACCAGATAACAGCAGGTCTGGATCCAGTGGGGAGGATTCAGATGCGGACGAGGCGCACTCTTCGTGGCCACCTGGCTAAGATCTATGCCATGCACTGGGGCACAGACTCTAGGTGTGTTTAACGTTATGCCAACCCCTTAGGGGGCTTTTCCCTCTCTCTTCACACTCTCACTCATGGTGGTACAAGCTGTGCTTGTTTTGATTAGGTATAATACAATGGTTCTACCCAATTGTCTCCACAGGCTCCTGGTCAGCGCCTCTCAAGATGGAAAACTGATCATCTGGGACAGCTACACCACTAACAAGGTGAGAGCTGCACCCAAATAACAACAACAATAATACAATAATAACAACAACAATATCCCCTGGTCTCACCAAGAGCCCTGAATAGGTTGACTCATTGTCAACCTTCAGGAATTGGAAATGAAATGGGAGCCTACCAAAGACCTTCCTTTACTAGGAATGTGTGTTTGACTCATCTCATAATCTGCTTACAACATAACCACCCAGAGTCACTTTGACATCCAAACATTGTAAATTATATTATGCGATATCTCCCTGAAAAGATCCCCAAATGTCAATATAGAGGAAGCATAATGGACTACTATTGTGCTGTTCTGCTCTGTCTGGATTTGGACTTGGAGAAGGACGCATGCCTGGCTCCAGTTGTGATGCCGCTCTCTCCTTCTCCATGGCCATGCCTCTATTCTGTGACACACAGTGACCAACTCTTATCCCCCCCTCCAGATGCATGCTATCCCCCTGCGCTCCTCCTGGGTGATGACCTGTGCGTATGCCCCCTCTGGTAACTACGTGGCCTGTGGAGGTCTGGACAACATTTGCTCCATCTACTGCTTGAAGACCCGCGAGGGCAACGTCAGGGTCAGCAGGGAATTACCCGGACACACAGGTGAAGCATTACTATAAACAAATACCTATGTGACTAAAAGCTTGAGGGATTTTGTGTTCGTTTTTCATTGAGAAATCATGGAATTGTCTTAGCTAGGTTATGTGAGTTCATTTGAACCTCCCTGACTATGGTTGTGTATGCAGTTCAGTTGTGTATTCCTACCTGTCCCCTGTCCCTCGTTGAGCCCCAGGTTCCAAACAAGGAAGATTTTAATTCACATGGCTAATTAGTCACAGGGCAACACAATTATAACGAGCTGAGACAGCTAGAATGTCCCTCAGCTGCATTACAGCACTAGCTCACCTGTGGCTTTCAAATGACTCACATTCTGTAGGATGAGTACTGTTGTAATTAAGTCTCTGTAGGAGTAGCACACATTGATGTGCTGCAGTTAGTGTTCTAATATATGTTTTTATTTGTGCTACAGGTTACCTGTCCTGTTGCCGTTTCATCGATGACAATCAAATCATCACAAGCTCAGGAGACACTACCTGGTGAGTCCTGATGGAACAGTTACCAAGGCTGATGGAGAATGCAAATCTAAATATACTATACCCCCCACATTTTAGCGTCCCGCCTTGTGACAGCGAATATCTTTTTCTTTTTACGTTTTAAAGTTCATTTCCTGCAATTCTACACATTTTGCCATAGGGTGGAGGCAGATGTTTGCAGTTTTTATATGATAACTGATGATCAATGGGCCCAACCATGGTCGGTAATTCGACCATGCGTACTACAAGTTTAGAGAGATTGGTAAATTAGTCTAGCGACCAGCTAAAGACAAATTAGCTGACATGGGCTAATTGAGCATGGCCACAACCAAGTATAGAAATTGCACCTTGTGTGTATTCTATTATTCTAACTCTCAACAGTAAGTTGAGACCCCGACCTGAGTTCCAAAAAATATATACATTATATTTTCTTTGTGTGAAATTAGTCCACGGCCTACAAAAGGGGGGCCGCCAGTTGCCCATCTCTGGTCTATACTGGTACTAGCTATGAGCTAAACCAAACGTACACTAAAAATGGTCTGATAACAGTTGTTAAATCCAGTGGGTCCCTGTTCTGTTCTCTCCTCCAGTGCGCTGTGGGACATTGAGACCAGCCAGCAGACCACAGTGTTTTCGGGCCACAGCGGTGACGTCATGAGCCTGTCTCTGTCCCCAGACTTCCGCACTTTTGTGTCTGGAGCCTGTGACGCCTCCATTAAACTGTGGGACATCAGGGACAGCATGTGCCGACAGACGTTCACGGGCCATGAGTCTGACATCAACGCAGTCTGTGTGAGTGTGCTGACAAGCTGGGGGCCACTGGTGACCTGCTTTCTGGTTCATGTCATGGCATTAAGCCAGGAAACCATAGACATGTCACTGTTTCCAAAGTCCTTCATGTTAGCTGCACTAGCTAATGCTTAGTGTTTAATGTACCTAATGTTAGTTTCATGGCTAGCTGATCTACCATGTCTGTCCCTCCCTCTCTCTTTCCTCTTCAGTTCTTTCCCAATGGCAGCGCCTTTGCCACCGGCTCCGACGACGCCACCTGCAGGCTGTTTGACCTGCGCGCCGACCAGGAGCTCAGCCTGTACTCTCACGACAACATAATCTGTGGCATCACCTCCGTGGCCTTCTCCAGATCTGGACGGCTGCTGCTGGCCGGCTACGACGACTTCAACTGCAACATCTGGGACGCCATGAAGGGAGATCGAGCAGGTCAGTGGGGTGGGGTGGAGTAGGAGGGAGCAGCTGACATTTAGGTGGCAGCCATTGTTGTATAGTTGTTTCTGGCTATTCATCAGACCCGTGACTGATAACTGAAAACAAATGATAACTGAAAAGACAAATGTTAGACTTCAATTCACAAGCTGATCTCAGTAAAGTTTAATTCAACTCTCCTCTAAGGGATCCCTGTGTTAAGGGATATTGTTAGATGGGGGATTGATAAGATGGCTAACTAAGACACCTGATTACACTTTGTTTGTCCCTCTCTGTGTCAGGAGTGTTAGCTGGCCATGACAATCGCGTGAGCTGTCTAGGCGTGACTGATGATGGCATGGCGGTGGCCACTGGGTCCTGGGACAGCTTCCTCAAGATCTGGAACTGACAAGTTACCTGAGCCATGCACACACACATACATACGCACACACATTATTGATCATACAAAGTATTCACATCTCACATTTTGGTACACATAGTTTGCACACTGTATTCACACTGTACGTAAAGATGTACACATATACATTGAAACATTGTACATAATATATATATAACGCCAATTAGGTATGAGTTTACACAGACACACACACATGCCACTTGCAATTTGACATGTTACCAATCACATTGTATGCAGGAAGAGTCCACCAGAATTACAAACAAATGCCAACACTACCCACAACTGATATATGTACACAGCACACACACGAGTACCATATGTCATTGGAACCACCGTTAAAGACGTGACCAAATTCAATAAAATCCTGACATCTGCTAAACTAAAACACGCATTTCAAAAACACATACATGCACACACACACATATACAGTACATGTTTATTTCTGAGAGAAACTCTATCCCTTGAGCTAAATGGGGGAGAGGTAGTTATTGGACAATTCTGTTTTTCGTTTGTTTACTCTGAAGTCCCAAATAACCCTAAAACAGATTTTCTGTGCTACAGTAGATTTGTGTGTCTCTGTGACAGGGTGAAAAAAGTGACAGTTGAGGGAATATAGTGATGGGCTGTAAAAGCATGAGAATAAGTGAATGCATTAACACTCAAGAGACTACAGACAGGGAGATAGAGAGCAGAGAGAATAGACCAACTTTCCACAGTGACACTGTTAAAGGAAAATCAAGATAAACCATCAATTCTTAATGTTTCTCCTGGCTCAAACAAAATGCTATCATGTAGTTACTGTTTTTATAGATATGTACACCCACATAAGTAAATATATGATCGTTTTGATGTTTTTGTTGTATTTTTTTTTTTTTTACGCTTATTTTATTCATGTTTTCCCTGTGTGCCTCAGATACACTTTAAGGATAATTAAGAGAATAATGAAATTAAACTAAATGAAATCAATAAAATGAGAGATTCATAAGGTGAGCGAGAAAAAAACAGATTATCAAGAGACAACTCTCAAATAAGCAGGGGGCAATATTCATACTTTGACTTTGTCAATATATTATGTCAACTTTATGATGGTATACATTGTACATACTATTAATAAATACACGTAGCCTCTTGCCAGTTTCGGCCAGTTGTGTATACTTCTTTTTTTAGCATTTCATTTGTGTTTAAAATTATGCATGCTAGTTTTCAAGGGAGATATGGGGATCATGTTTAGCACACAACATACAGTGAATTTGAAATGCTTTGATGACCCAATTTTAACCTTTATGAAACCTACCTGATGTCCATATTTCTGTTCCAGTTTCTAAACAAACTACTTACTACAAACTGATTAATAATATAGTGTCAAGTAATTTTTAGAATGGTCAGATAATGTATTGATGAAAATCATGGCTTGTATACCTATTCTCTACCCTTCTTCCAGGAGTGTGCACCCATTCACTCCCACAGATGGATTTTAAAGGGATTGGATTGGTGCATGCAAGACCAAGGGAGTTCCCGCCATGTTCTTTACACCAGTCTATTCCTTTTAATTCCACAAGGGGGAGTGTACATGTCCACTTCAGGGATATGGTTGATTAGCAGGGTTTCCCAAACTCTGTCCTGGGGCCCACCCCTGGGTGCACGTTTTGGTTTTTGCCCTAGCACTACACAGCTGATTCAAATCACCAACGCATCATCAAGCTTTGATTATTTGAATTAGCTGTGTAGTGATAGGGCAAAAAACAAAACATGGCCCCAGGACCTAGTTTGGGAAACTGGATTAACTGGACCGTAAACCTGGTAAATGTGTTGGTTGTAGTGAAGGCCTGCATGATGGTGGGAACTCCTTATAGAAGACTGGAGGCCATTTATACAACACATGCTTAGCCCATTCTCTCATTGGGTGTAAAGCATGAGGAACAATGAATTCAAACTATGAATAAATGCACAGTAATACAGACGGTTTAAGATTAGATCAATGTAGTTTTATTTTTCAAACAATTCTGCATTAAGACTTTTACAGACTCATGAGTTCATTCAACATAATCTTTTCAAACTTGAAAGTTCATCAGTCTATGAAATACAATCTGGAGTTAACCCCTCAAAAACAGAAACACTAAACATTGTAAAGACATTTAATTTCTCAAAAACTGAAAAAAGATAAGAGATTATAGACCCGCCCAAAGAGATCAGCTTTTTCAGCTTTCACCTGTCCTTTTTCTAACAACAAGCATCTATTAAAAATCACAAATCCATTCATACTTTAAATGTTATTCTACAAGGAGATCCAAGATTATGTTGTACAGTCGGACTATATAATATCTGTGAATAGTGTCTGATTAGTGTGCGACTACATTGTGTGAAGCAGGTCATTGCCTCCATAGCAACAGGAAGAGGCTCAGAGACTGTATAGCTAAAACACTTACTACACAGAAGCATAAAACCCACCCAAATGAGAACAGTGTATTATAATTCATCATTCATTTGGGCTGTGTACCCTAAGAACCCAATTCTGATGGGGTTTTTCCTGACTGTCCACACTCAGTTTTACATGTGACCCATATCAGATTTGTGCATTCACACTGATGTGGGAGAGGCTATAAGGACACTCTCCTGACCTGTAAAACGACTAACCAAAATCTAACTGACCCTTACCTTCACCAAACCGTTAACCCTAACGTTAACAAATTCTGAAATTAAATAATGTTTTGCAGGTCAGGAGTGTCCGTATAGCCTTTTCCCACTGATGTAGCCTCTGAAGTAGCACACAGATCCAATGCTAATTTCGGTCATTGTTTCTTTACATTTAGCTGTGGTTGTCGTGGTAATGGCAGGTCATGTGCAAAAAACTAAAAACAATTCAGAGCAAAAAAAAATCTAATCATCCAGACAGGTCACATATGAAACATCAGAATTATATCACGATTGAGATCCACATATGGATGTGGTATAAATCGAAAGTCAAAAGATCAGATTCAATGTGTTTTTTGTTTGCCGTTTACACATTAGGGAAAAGCTCAGATGGGTATCAGATATATAAATAATTGACCCACGTTAAGCTCTGCCACCCTTGGTTACTGTTGCAACCTCAGACAACATTTTCCCAGGAAGTCCAACTCCCTTTCTAACCACTGGCGAAATCCCCTTGCAATGATTTCAAACTGTTTTTAATACACAACAATTAAATTAAAATCAGACAACCCCTGGCTAATCAGGAATCTCTTGGGTATGTTGTGATGGCCTGTCATTACAATTGCTTTACGGAAACCTGGTAAAATTATGTTTGTAGCACAGGAGGTTGGTGGCACTTTAATTGGGGAGGACAGGCTCGTGGTAATGGCTGCCGCGAATAAGTGGAACGGTATAAAATGCATTCCATTAGCGCCGTTCCAGCCATTATTATGAGCCGTCCTCCCCAAAGCAGCCTCCACTGGTTTGTAGCTAGTGTGGTTAGCCACTGAATGGCTCTGAATTCACTGTCAGCATGCAGTCAAAGCTACTAACCACTTTTGGAGTTAACTAGCAAGTGCTCTCAAATCATATCCTGATGTCGACAGCAGATGGGAGTTGTATTAATAACATGGATAACTTAGCTAGCTAACATACATTTATAGAAAACAAGTTATAAGTGGCTAGCTAGCTAGCTAGCTAGTGTTAGCAACGTTAGGTCGTCAATAGATGCGTTCACACTGCACCTTAGCCCTGGGCTATGGAAGATTTTAGCCCAAGGCTAAGAACAATGCAGTGTGAAAAGGCCTAGTGAGACAGAGCTAACCTTAGCTAGCCAACCAGTTGAGCTAGCAAACAATGTAACAAAAGTATAATTTCATATTAGATTAATACTCCAACAAGCGCTGCATTTCAAGAACCACATTAGCAAGTACCTATGGTGCCCTGTTCAATTATTTAGCCATTTAAACATGGTTTTTTTTTGTTCAACTTTTTACCACTCCCCTCACTCGCTTTCATGTGCCGCTACGACATCACAGCACCAATTTGCCTGGCTGAGGTATAGCTGCGGTCCCCAATGTAGAGTTTTCACCCCCGCCACACACACCCTCCTATTGTGCTTCTCTGCCTGTGTGTGCTCCGTTGCTGTGACGTCTGTTGCACTGACAGCTTCTCCAACTCTCAGAATTTATGGGGAAAATTCGCTACATGCTATCAAAACCATGGAAACTCTCGGTGGCAAAACTCCAAAGGCAGCCTGAAATTAAAAGTAGCTAGACTTTTTTACCAATAAAAGTCACTGGAGGGGTAAAAAATAACAAATTGGCAACACTGGTCGGGCTCGACGACAGTTGCTATCCATTACTGCGATTGCGTGCCTAAAATTCTGGGATGGGGTTTAGCGAAGGGAAATTGTCAGAAGATCTGAATTGAGCTGTCTGTGGAAACGCAGCCTTATGATGCTCCATATAGTTCATCAAAACGCAATAACTGGATAAACGCATGAATGCAAAACAAGACAAGCATCACAACTGTTAAAGTGATGTCTGAGTATTATGCTGACTGTGGATTAGAAGGTATATATTCTTGTGATCAAGACCAAAAAAAAAGAGATTAAACAATGTATGGGTATCTCCTTCACTGACGAGACACGGACACAGTCCAGATTAGATTCAGTCTGCCAAAGGCCACGATAAACACCCTCCCACAAGTCTCACAGACAGAGACAGCAGAGAATTCAACTTCATCTGTTCTTAACGCTCATATTGCTTATGAAGGAGAAATGTCACAACATTTGATATGGCAAGGACAGCCTTTGTGATATGCCTATGTTCTGTGGAGCTGAAACATTCAGGTAACAAAGCCCATTTTACTGTTACAACTTTGTCTTAACACTACACTTGACTGATTTTGAATTTAGATTGGACAATAAAAATTTACATTTTGCAATAAAAAGTTAATGACAACAAACTGTTGACCCTCCCATCTCACAATGACAATACATGTTCTCAATATCAGACTGGTCCCTCCCTTCCTCTCAACCAACATTATGACTACTAGTTAGGCTGTATCAAGAGGAATCTGCACTTCCACTGGAAATACATACAGCTCCACCATCACTCTCATGCATCTGTCACACCCACAAAGACAGTCCAAACATTGTTAACGTAGACATCCACATTTATAGCTTTGCTCTCTGTGACGTAAATTAGAATACATTGTGCTTAGATTAATTTATATACCAGACAGTAAAGTATGTTATACAAATACAAATCTGTTTTATAATGTACATTCATTTAGTTAAATCTCTCAATATAATTTACATATCCTTTAATAAAATAGTCCTTTCCGAATATATTGAGTTAGTTACTTTCCCACTGCATTTCACCCAGTCCACATATCTGACCACTCCAGAAAAACCTGCATCTTTATCTCCATTTCAAGCGCCTCTAACGTCACATATCACAACCAAGGTCACTGGCTTAAGTTTTATTTGAACATATAAAATACTATCAAACTATTCTCAACAAATGTGGAACACTCCTATGGCTTTTATATGGTATATTGGCCCCCCTCCCACTGTCTAGAGGACTATCACACCAAAAGAGATGTATCTTTATAGGCATATAATAATGTTCTACATTCCAAATTGGGTAGGTTTGCTGCCATGTACTGCACATTTGTCCTGTGCCAATGTTGTAGTTACATGAATGGGTCATACAAGCATAGTGTATGCATTTAACACTTCGCTATACTGAAATGAATGTTGATTAAAATTCTATAGAAAATGCCTACAGACTACATGTGTAATATTTCCTCTACACTAACTCTTCCACATGATGGCAACATATCTACAGTCACTGTAACTGGTGAGTCTATTACATTTTTTAAAAGCAGTAGGTAAACATTGCGGTTATTACAGAATTAAATCTATAGTCGTTGATAATGTTACAAATGTAAAAGTAGTTGAGTCATATAGGGATGTTCTGGTTTCCATTTAACTGCACTTCATTGGCACAGGACACCATTAATGAGGGAGGCAACTATTTATTATTGTAAACTGTCTGTCAGTATAATCTCTTCTTCCTAGAGTTCAGTTATAAGAGTGGAGGGTCATATTCACAACCCCCCTTTTACCCTCATCACCCAGCCCTTCCCTACTCCAAGGCACTGCTTAAACTGTAAACATGGCAGTTTGGCTTACTAAGATAGGATCATTTCCATGACTGCCAGAGCTACTTGTGGAGTGTGTAAAAATGTGAAATATCAGTTACAATGTCACACAGCTGATATTCAATCCACTAGGCAAGGGGGAAACTAATCTAAGACTTGATACTGAATTGTGATACAAGATGAATTGCTCATATATGTGAATGCAAGCATGCTCACATATATGAGTAGAATATAGACATTTTAAAATGTCCTAAAAGTGCTTTTATCCATTTACAATCGATTCTGTTCTGTACTCTCCATTTTAATATATATTTAAGGTTATAATATTTGCCTCTGTACTAAATATATTTATTATATATAGAATCCATTTAGGGTAAACTACATAAAATACCCACAGCTTAAGCATTTCCCCTGATCTCTAAAATAATCAAAGTAGATTCATAGTCTGTCCAGAGGAGTATTGGGAACTTTGGTAGGGAAAACAACAATACCAATATATTCAACAACTTGTTGCCTTATTGTTGTCTTACTACTAGTTTAGTATGATAAATAAAAGTGCCCAATGAGTTCGAGACCTCTGGTACAGTATTGCAGAGCCAAAGACACAAAACTGGGCCTGCTAAAGCATCAGTCAGTGAAGTTCAATACTGGCTCAAGAACCACACAGCTATTGCTTGAAACCACAATAATAGTTGAGTATTATCCACTGCAGCCCCATCCATACAAACTCTCTCACACACACACATGCATACAGCTTTGCATACAAAAACACACATACCCACATCCATACCAATGAACATAAAATACATTAAAAACTGAAGTTTCAGACAGATTGATCTAGTAAGAGAAAAGGGAACTATATTAAACTGGATAACACCCGCAAGATGAAAAACATCTGACTTCCATTATAATATTCTTACAACCACATCTCTATGTCCTCTTTATTACGGTCACTTCAAAGCCTTCATACTTCATCACCCCTCGACCCCCACATCTTAACAAGTCACCTCACTCCCTACCACTGGTACGTTTTACACACAACAAATTAACTAAACTCCCTTCTCCGAACAAGAACTACACTAGAACAGCATATATATTGCAATATAACGGCAATATAACAGTAGAGATAAATGTAAGAATACCAGTTAGGCTAATACCAAATACAGAAACCGTACAGATATCAAATCTTTGTAGCGATATTGTGTAAATTCATGACAAGAAAAAAAGGTAGAAATATCTAAAGTCAGTTAGAAAGCCTCCTAAACGGTGAGTAGGTCCCTCCCCGATATGTAACAAGGGTAGAATAAAGGAATAGAAGGTGTATAGCTAGAACACAGAGGTATGTTCCATTTAACTGCTCTGGATTTACTAGGGAATAGAATGATATTATGTTCACATCATAGATAGTCCATCTTTTTTAAACCTACTTCCAAAAAACATCAAAATAAGAAACATATTAAATCAAGTTTTAATCAAAACGACACATCTTATTTTTAAACGATAAGTTGAAAATGACGTCATAGGGTATCAGAAGCTTCTATGGTGAAGTGTTGCAACAATACTTCAAACCTCTAGGGTGTGCCAGGACAGTGTGTGTGTGTGTGTATATATATATATATATATATATATATATATATATATATATATATATATATATATATATATATATACATACATACATACACACACAGTGGGGAGAACAAGTATTTGATACACTGCTGATTTTGCAGGTTTTTCCTACTTACAAAGCATGTAGAGGTCTGTAATTTTTATCATAGGTACACTTCAACTGTGAGAGACGGAATCTAAAACAAAAATCCAGAAAATCACATTGTATGATTTTTAAGTAATTAATTAAACCCCCGAAACCTGAAGGATCTGGAGAAGGTTTGTATGGAGGAGTGGGCCAAAATCTCTGCTGCAGTGTGTGCAAACCTGGTCAAGACCTACAGGAAATGTATGATCTCTGTAATTGCAAACAAAGGTTTCTGTACCAAATATTAAGTTCTGCTTTTCTGATGTATCACATACTTATGTCATGCAATAAAATGCAAATTAATTACTTAAAAATCATACAATGTGATTTTCTGGATTTTTGTTTTAGATTCCGTCTCTCACAGTTGAAGTGTACCTATGATAAAAATTACAGACCTCTACATGCTTTGTAAGTAGGAAAACCTGCAAAAACGGCAGTGTATCAAATACTTGTTCTCCCCACTGTGTGTGTGTGTGTGTATATATATATATATATATATATATATATATATATATATATATATATATATATCAGGTCCATGGCAACACCCCAAATGGAGGCGTAATATACACATCTGCCAGTGTCTTCAATTTACCATGTTCTCTTCCATTTGAAAATCTTAGATACTAGCTATTTACAATTCAATATTGACTTATATTGGTTAAATCCTGCCTTCTTCAAAACGTATTTCACCAGTAAGGAATGTTTTTAACATACCTCCAATAAGAAGGAACTACAGTAGTTACGACTAAACACAGGTCCACCAAGTGACTGAGGTACAATAATAAAGGAGAAGTATATACAGTACAGTAGAGATGATATTACATTATAATCCTGTGGTGATGTCTCATAGGTAGCTACCATTTCAGAGGGAGCTCAAATTTGTTCAGGGGAGTCGGCAGGTGAGATAGACTTTGTCGTGAAGAGTTTAGGCTGGAATGGATTTACAGTAGGCTTGTGTGTGCTGTATGTGTGTGTTGAGTCTGTGTTGAGTCTGTGACTGTGTGGTGTGTCCTTGTAAGTGGGGGGATTTGAGTGTCTTTAGCTTGGCCTGGTGATTTCCATACACTGACTATGGGACATGTTGTTTCACCAGTTCATGATGCAGTTCCTGTTCAGGGTCATGAAGTAGACCTGGCTGCTGCCCCCGGAGCGCACCGAAGCAAAGAACACCTGAGATGCAAGACAGAAAATTACAACCACACACATATAGATTGTGTACAAACAGGTGTGTGCATACCTGTTTGTGTGTGTGTGTGTGTGACCCACCTTGTCATTCCTCTCACAGAGGAACTTGAGCCTCTGGGCTCTCTTGTGCATGAAGACTCCATCCAAGTGGCCTGTCTCTACAGCACGTATCTCTATGGCCTTCTCTCCCCAACCCATGATCTGGTTGGAGCAGATATGGGCTGCACAGAGAGAAAGAGAGGGAGAGAACTCAGAACACGGCAACTTTAAGAGGAAGTGTGTGTGTATGTGTGTATGCCTGTACACATGTGCCATACCAACGGAGGTGGGCATCTCGCCCCACTGCAGCACCACATCTTTGATGATGCGTCCGTAGGTGTTGACGTAGACGCCCTCGTCCTCGTAACACAGCAGCATCTCCATGCCGTCCGAGCTGGGCAGGAACACGATGGCATGGGGCATTATCTGGGACTGGATCTGGACACACACACACAGAGAGGAGAAGGAGTAGAATATTGTTTGACCTAACAGTTAAATGCACTGATTCTCGCTCTGAATAAGAGTGTCTGTGAAGCAGTGTTGTAGTCGAGTCACAAGTCCCTATGGCTAAGTCCGAGTCATAAATAGTGATGTCACGAGTCCCTATGGCTAAGTCCGAGTCACCAATAGTAGAGTCACGAGTCCCTATGGCTAAGTCCGAGTCACCAATAGTCGAGTCACGAGTCCCTATGGCTAATTCCGAGTCACCAATAGTCGAGTCACGAGTCCCTATGGCTAATTCCGAGTCACCAATAGTCGAGTCACGAGTCCCTATGGCTAATTCCGAGTCACCAATAGTCGAGTCACTAGTCCCTATGGCTGAAGTCCGAGTCCCAGTGCTTGAGTCTAGGTCAAAGTGCTCAAGTCTGAATCACTGGGTCTGAGTTTTGAAGTTCAAAGTGGTTCCGGTCTTCTCTTCCATTTCTCTGTTACATATTTGACATTGCGCCACACTCTTTGCACCATCTGCTGAAAAATGTGGAAAGCAAAATTAATGATTCGGGGTTCTTTAGACATATTTGGTATTTTGGTTACTGCTGTTTTTTTGCACACTCGTACTGCCGTCTTGATGGCTCAATGCTCGTCTGTTGCTAGAGATTCGCGCCTCTATTGATTTGGCTCAGATTTAGTAGAATAAATCTTCCCAGCAACAACTAGTGGGGGGCTGGTGGGAAGATTTTAATGTGAGCATTGAAGTAACGCAAAGATTTACCTCCTGTTGCCCAATGGTCATAAATGGCTGCAATATGCAAGAGACTATGAAACAAATAAGTCATTCATTCACACGCTCACATTTTATTTTAATGTAATGTTCAATAGTTATGTCAAGTCAGTAATGGATGAATGTTCTCTAGACAGAATTGGCTATTGCTCTTGTCAGATTGACCAGACTATTATTTGCAATAATTGTAACAGGCTTTCAGCTACTTTTTTGTAAATCACCCACTGATATTTGTGTAGGTTCTTTATTGCAGAGTGAAAACGTCAGGCTTGTCAGAACCTGGCTATAGGATGCAGGGGGGAAAGTGGGAGGGTAGAGCGAGACGACAAATTCAAAGAGCCTACTTTTCTATACTCAAGGGGAGAGAGAGAAATAGATAGACTGTTTTACTCTTAAATTCAATACTATGGTTTTCAATTTCGTAAAGTAGTTTGTGTTTCTTAACCAGGCAAAGCTAAATAGTAGACTGGTGACCGGTGGGTACGGGCACGCAACAGAGTCGCTTGCACAACGTGTAGCCTATGATCGGAGGTGGAGACGGAGCAGAGCCTGCCTTGCCTGTCTGCCCACACTCATCGCTTGCGTCGCAGCAGCTCACCAGCTGATGTAGGCTGTGGCGCGTCCTTCCCACTGCTAGAGAACAGAACCCTCGCTGCTCTGCGCACACAGTTCTGCTAATATTCTGCTTATCATAGTAGCATACTCAGTCCAAGTGCAAATACAAGTCACAAGAAGGCGAGTCTGAGTCACCAATGGTTGAGTCACAAGTCATGAAAATCGGGACGAGTCCGAATCGAGTACTACAACACTGCTGTGAAGTGACTAAAATAAAATGTAAATCTAGCAAGAAGTGGGTGGAATCTGTGAGAACGTTTTTATATCAATACCTGTCAAGTTTGGGCATCTAATCAATAAAACTGATTATTATTCATGTTTTGTAGCTATTTTAGGTGTGAATGAATTCCCAAGTCTATTTGATTTGGAAGGATTTGTGGGGGCTTAAGGATATTCTGCCCCCATAGTTTCTGTCTGGCCCTGTTTATCTGTGTGTGTGTGTGTGTGTGTGTGGTGTTACATGAGGAACTTCTCCACCTACATGCACTGGGATGTAGATGTCATAGTTGTTCCCAGAGTCCACGTCGATGGCGTGGAAGCCAGCAATGGAGCCGTAGATGACCTTCAACCTCTGACCTTCCTCCACTGTGAGGTCTACCAACTGGGGCCTGTGGGGCAGGTCACCAAAGGACTAGAGGAGAGAGAGAGATGGGAGACGGAAAGAGAGAGGAGAAAGAGAGAGAACATAAGGGATTTTGAATGTTGTTCTGGTTGACAGGCTGTGGGAAATAGAACACCTGGCATTCAGAACAATGAGGAAGGAAAAGTGAGACCTACCTTGAAGGCCATGAATTTGTGATAAGGCTTGGGAGCCCAGGCATATACCTCCACAGCATTCTTCATAGCTATCACCAGGAACTTGATCCTCTCATATTTCACTAGACACAAACAACAAAGCGGGATTAGAGCCTTTATATTATGCTATAAATAATCACTGCCAAAAAGACAAAACCATGTGTAAATATACATTTTTGGAAAAACTGAATGCAATAACAGGTCACATCACTGTTACTCTTCTGTTTCCTTCCTCCCTTTACTCACCCACTTTGTAGTGCACACATCCCTCCATCTCCCCTACAGTGGTCCAGCCCTGCTTCTTCTCCACCTCTGGGTCATTGTGGAGGATCTTGTTCCTCAGCCAGGCCAGGTAGTACACACGCACCTTGTTCTTCTTACCTGGGGCGGACACACACACAGACAGAAAGTAAGAGGTTATACAGTGGATAAGAAAAGGGTCTGAGTAGCAACAGATGGGGTTTGTGATGCACAGGTCCTTGTCCACGGGTGTATTCAGATAAGTGAAACGTTCAGAACGTTGCAGATAGAAAGGCAAAACGTAGAGCTAACCGATTCTATCTGAAGATTTTGAGACGATGCACTATCCTGAACAAACCCCAGATGAGCGCAGTGTGTGAAAAGTGCTGAGCAGTATTAAATCACCTGATATGGTGATAAGCAGGTTCAGTCCCTCTAGGACATCCATTTGTTGGAACCTGCGGGAGTTGATGAGGGGGTAGACCTTCCCCTGACCACTACGGTCCAGCAGCTTCAGACCGTTCTCTGTCCCAACCAGCAGGTTCACACCTGGGAATCACACACACAGTTAGATACAAATATCCCCAAAATGCAATCAATCAGGACCTACAGGAAATTTGTAAAAGATGTCATACTCATGCTGGATGGAATAAAATGATTACAGTGTGGGCTATAGCTTAGACCAGCGTGCTGTCAGTCTCACCCCAGAGAGCAGCACATAGGATCTCAGAGTTGAACCTCTTCTTGTACTTGCGGATCTCAGGGGTGTCGCTGTGGGGGCGTGTGTTGGTGGGGTTCACATTCACCATGGAGCCTTTCCTCACCTCCATCTTCAGCTGCTCAAATCTGGAGCCCAGGCCTGGACACAGCAGGAGGGAGGCAGGGAAGCAGGCAGAGTTTAGAGGGAAGAGGAGAGAAATACAACCCATGTTTTTTATTCTACAAAAGCCCAAACTTCCTTAAGGGAATGATAATATTGAATCAAGCTACTGTGGGCAAATGCTGCCCTCCTGCTGTGAGACATTTCCATGACTCAGATTTACTAACAGCAGTAAAGTAAAAGATGCTGGATTGTGAGCCGAGTACTGAAGCTAGAGACTAGAAGAGGGAAGTGAAGGTGTATAGGGGAACCTCATTTAACCTCTTGATAATGATACGTTCTGTCTGTACTTACTGCCCACAGAGATGGCATCCGCAGTGTCACCTGGTGGCTGGTACATGCCCAGGTCAACAAAGGTGGTGAAGGAGGACTTGCCACTTGACGCCTTGACTAGACCCCTAGACTGATACTGGGAGAAACAGGAAGAAGGGAGAGAATGGAGTTTGGGCAGAGAAACATGTACATGGAGACAGATGGATTGTACTTGTATTCAGGGTGACAGACAGTCAGAGAGACTCACATCATAGACAGAGTCTTTCCCAGGGGAGGAGTGGGAGGCTGAGTCAGTGGGGGAGTGGGAGGGCTGCACCACGTCAGGCAGGTTGGTGTATCCATTGTGGCTCCGCTTCTCTGGTGTCTGCCAGGCAACAGGGACAAACCAGTCACAATGGTCTAACACAACCCCCTACATTAGAGTAACCTGACCACCCACACACATTTACACAACTCCACACACATGCGTACATACGTGTTTAACACAGATGACTTCTCTCTAGTCCCGTAGGCTACTTCCTGAAAGACAGATAACTTACCCTCTGCACCAGCATGGTCTGGTCCCTGTAGACTCCAGCCTGCCCCTCCTCCCCTCCCTCGCCCTCCTCCTCATGAACAACCATGGTGTTGACCGAGTCAGTGTCTGCATCCCTGGGACTAAAGACAGACAGGAGAGGAAGTCAGGGAGGAAGAAACAGAGGAAAAGGACAGAACAGCGCACAGTGGAGGATATGCAATGGACAGGAAAATAAAACAAGGGAAGATCAGGGTGGTGGTAAAAAGAGGATAGAATGGCCTTTCAATGTCATTATTCCCACAAGAAGCGGTCTCTGTAAAAAGCCATTTATTTTTTCTCCTTTCGGTTTGTCAGTGTGTGTGTCTCCCACCCTGGTACTGACCGGTCTGTGGGGCTGTCCTCCTCATTCCCCTCTCCACTCTCACTCTCCTCACTGCTCTCACTGCCTTCTGAGGATGAGGAGTAGTCGTTGGCCTTCACCGGCGGTCTGGGCTGCTCCTCAGGACGCTCTTTAGCATACAGTCCATGGTCCTGAACACACACACGGCACACAGACGACAGGTTTTGCCAGCATACTAGGACTATGACAGGCATGTGTAACTTAACACAGCGGCCTGACATTGAGAACGTAAAAACATGTGTATCACAGCACACACACAGATACTAACCTCTCCTATAGCTCTCTTGTAACTCTGTGCATTGGAAGAAGCAATAGACAAACAGGGAAGTGAGTGGTGTAAAAAGAAGAAAGTGCAGCGAATAGGATAGGAAAAAGAGAGAAACTGTTAGTGCAGGAGTCACTATCCAGAAAAAGATCAGTTGTATGGATTGGGGAGTGAGTGCAGAGGTTACAATAGTGCAGAATAGTCAGTGAAAAGAGAAAGATATATTTCTACAAAAAAAAGTGTGTGAACAGCTGAGAAAAGGGAAGGGTGTGTAAAGTGCTGTCTGAATCCCTTTCATGCAGTGTTCATAGTGAGTGTGTTTTACAGGTGAGGGGTACTTACAGCAGGGCGACTGGGGCGGGACGAGGTGCGAGACTCCCCTGGCTTGTGCCCCATCATGCGCCCATCATGGCCTAGTATGGGGGAGTCTATTTTGGAGGAGCCTGAAACCAACATTCTGAATGTCACCATGGGGGCTTCCTAACATTATTGTTGGGGCTTGCTTCATTCCATAAGAGGGATCAACAGAAAGAGAGGGGATTAGCAGAGTCATAGAGAATGTGATAGACTCACTGAGTATCCGGTGCCTCTCCAGAGAGCCAGTCTGGGGTAGACTGGACACAAGGTTCATGCTATCTCCTCTCTCCCAACGGTCGTTGCGGCTGAGGTCTGGGTTGCTGTTACAAGGAAGAGATAAGATCAGTTATCAAGCCTCAGCAGTGAATATCATAACTTTGTCATGATCTACCATCATTCAAGTGTCATGATTGGAATCAGAATAGTCTTCTGACACACACGTTGAAATGTATCGCCAAATGAGCTCATGAGTGAGACAGGGAGTAAAACTGATTTTCTGTTCGGTGCGTTAGATTAGTATCAGCTGATTATTTTGACGAATCATGATTTCGCGGAGGTGTGGTTCAGTGGGGACACATTTTAGCCTCAATTCTCTAATAAACATTGCTTACCCGCAAAATAGTTTCATCAAAAACCATCGCCAGATACCTCCATGTTAGCATGCAGCACATAAAATATTAATAAACATATGTGCACTTTCTGAAGAGAGAGGGAGGGACTGGGAACAGGCTTTGGCATAGGGAGGCACGGACTTCGCTAAGACAGATTGGAAAGTGTTTGCCGCCAAAACCTAAATCAAGTAGCGGGAGATTTGGTTCTAGGAGCCGGGATTAGAATGAGAGTAGCTTAGATGTGTCCGTCTGAGTTACCTGGCTCTGACTGGATGCCTGATGCCAGAGGAGAGGTTGGTGTTGAGAGCTGTGGCAATGGAGGCTGTCCTCTGGGGAATCTGCGAAAGATAGTGATATCCGACATTACTAAATACACTACATGACCAAAAGTATGTGGACACCTGCTCGTCAAACATCTTTTTCCAAAATCATGGGCATAAATATGGACTTGGTCCCCCCTTTGCTGCTATAACAGCCTCCACTCTTCTGGGAAGGCTTTCCAGTAGATGTTGCTTCGGGGACTTGCTTCCATTCAGCCACAAGAACCTTAGTGAGGTCAGGCACTGATGTTGGGCGATTAGGTCTGGCTCGCAGTCGGCGTTCCAATTGAACCCAAAGGTGTTCGATGGGGTTGAGGTCAGGGCTCTGTGCAGGCCAGTCAAGTTCTTCCACACAGACCTCGACAAACCATTTCTGTATGGACCTCGCTTTGTGCACGGGGGCATTGTCATGCTGAAACAGGGAAGGGCCTTCCCCAAACTGTTGCCACAAAGTCGGAAGCACAGAATCGTCTAGAATGTCTTTGTATGCTGTAGCGTTAAGATTTCCCTTCACTGGAACTAAGGGGCCTAGCCCAAAGCATAAAATACAGCCCCAGACCATTATTCCTCCTCCACCAAACTACTTTACAGTTGGCACTCTCCATTGGGGCAGGTAGCGTTCTCCTGGCATCCGCCAAACCCAGATTCGGCCGTTGAACTGCCAGATGGTAAAGCGTGATTCATCACTCCAGAAAACACGTTTCCACTGCTCCAGAGTCCAATGGCGGCGAGTTTTACACCACTCCAGCCGACACTTGGCATTGCGCATGGTGATCTTAGGCTTGTGTGCGGCTGCTCGGCCATGGAAACCCATTTCATGAAGCTCCCGACTAACAGTTATTGTGCTGACGTTGCTACCAGAAGCAGTTTGGAACTTGGTAGTAAGTGTTGCAACTGAGGACAGACAATTTTTATGCGCTTCAGCACTCAGCGGTCCCATTCTGTGAGCTTGTGTGGCCTACCACTTCGCGGCTGAGCCGTTGTTGCGCCTAGATGTTTCCACTTAACAGCACTTACAGTTGACCGGGGCAGCTCTAGCAGGGCAGAAATTTGACAAATTGACTTGTTGGAAAGGTGGCATCCTATGACGGTGCCACGTTGAAAGTCACTGAGCTCTTCAGTAAGGCCATTCTACTGCCAATGTTTGGCTATGGAGATTGCATGGCTGTGTGCTCAATTTTATACACCAGTCAGCAAAGGGTGTGGCTGAAATATCCAAATCCACTAATTTTAAGGGGTGTCCACATACTTTTGTATATATATTTTAAAGACTAAAACCCAGCAGGTGGCCTCTCACCTTTGGCGGCTGTTCGATCTCTGGCAGGCGGATCCAGGGGCCGCGGTCCTCCCTTTTGCGAGGCTGTGGGGCGGGGCTCTCGGAGGTGGGGTCAGAGTTCTGTCGGACCAGCTCCCTGGAGTGGACGGGGCGGGGGGTGGGGGAGGGATCCTGGGTGGGGAAGGCGGACATGGTCTTAGTGGGCTGGTCACACAGGGACTGGGAGCGGGGGACAGGGGCAGCGTAGGGCTTGAGCGGGACCAAGTGGGCCATCTGGAACTGAAGGGGGGCAGCAGTGAGGGAGGAGGGAATGGAGGAGGTGAATATGGCAGTGGAGGAGAGGGCAGGGTCGGCAGTGAGAGCAAGCAGAATAGAGTGAGATAGGAGGGAGGATTGTGCGGGGAATAAATTAGGGCAATAAGACAATATGAAAGCAATAAGAAGGGAAGAGGGTGGGTCCAGGAGGAGGAGAGGGGAGAAAAGGAAGGAAAAGAAGATTGGAAATAAATAAAGGTAAAATAAACATTATTAGACAGTCCAAGGAAAAAGACATGGGGAAGAATAGAACATCTCATTTTTCTCTCAACTTTGACACATTGTAGCCTCCACTGTGATAAACCAGTATTTAAACATGTCTACACTATATTGTAACAAGGGGAAACATATTAATAAAGTACACACAAATATATTCTCAGATTAACATAAACGCCAACACACACACACACACCTTGCCCTGCCCCCCCTGAGGTTCAACAGGCCGCTGCATAGGCGGGGTCTGAGCAGCCTGGCCCCCTCCGGATTGGCTGATGGAGTCGGAGCGTGATTGGATGGCAGTGTCAGAGACAGTGGTGCAGATTTTGGGGGAGCCCTGCCTGTTGAGCTTACTGCGCTCCTCCACCTGAGACAGAGGGAGAGAGGAAAATGGAGGGAAAGAAGGGGAGAAGAGATGGGGGAGAGGGAGGGAGAAAGCACATCACAGAGATGTCAAATCAGACTAAGTTACAGGAAAAAAGATGACACCTAAGGTGATACAGCATAACTGCTTGATGCTAGCTTGTTACAGGGTAATTGCTAAATATATTCCTCTGGTAGTACTCTATATTACTCTAGGTTATAAAACCCTATTTAATGAAAGGTGTGGTCCCTAGGGTTATTTAATGTGAAGTAAGAGCACGTTCCACTGTTCATGTCTGTGTGGCATTATTGTACCTCTCTGGCCCAGGCAGGCTTATTGTTGGGCTCCACATTCTTGCTGTAGTGGTAGAGGGGCTGGGGCTTCTTGTCCTGTTGCTGCTGCTGCAGGGACACCAGGTAGGCATGCTCCTGCTGCAGCTGCCTCTGCAGACGCTCCGACTGCCTCTGCTCTTCCAGCTGCTTACGCTTGTACTCCTGCACAAACACCATGATACGGTCAAAGCACACTTTTGTAGGACTGAGCAGGGCTAGTACACAATATACATCCCTTTGACATGCCCCCAAAACAGACACAATCCTACATACAAAGATGGGGACATCATGCAGGGTATACATAGACAAGGGCCTTATTCTCAGGGTTCTCTCAATGATTCTCCAGTTCTCTCAATACATTATTTCGTAAAGTAAGGAGCAAAATACAGTGCGTTAGTGCAAACCATCAAACTGGCGTGTTTGATGCCTCTAGTGGTGAGAGGTGTGAAGTGCCAGTAGGAGGAGGAAGAGGGTAAGCAGTATGCACTGCAGGCAGAGGTAGGGGTAGACTAGGGCTGAGGAGAGGAGGTGACTGCAGGATAAAGGAAGGAAGAGAGTTACCATGAGCAGTGCCTGCTCCTGAAGCAGCTGCTGCTGAAGGATTTCTAACTGCCGCTGTTCCTCCTCTAACTTATGTCTTATGAACTCCTGAAGAGAGGTGGAGGAGGGGTGAAGAGGGAAAGGAAAGACAATGGAGAAGAAGAGGATAGATATAAATAGACCACGATGTAGGGGGGAATTATGACTGTCATACACTAGTTAGTACACAGCCCTAGTGATTTGTCAAGGCTTTAAAGTTCTACAGGTAAACTAAAAGCTACTGCAAACGGTATTCGTTTTTACAGTTAGACTGTTTGACTCTACAATACAAATCCATATAAATTGCATCACTTCTTCATTTAGGACTCGATGCAGGTTAGTTATCGTGAAGAAACGGGCAATGGTAGGAGAGTTAAACGGTTTATGGAGAAAAGGAGAATTGATTATAAAACGTAGGTTGACTGTGATATAATGCCAGTCACAGTGTTACTAAGGTAGAGCGGAAACGAAGCAAAAGAGAGACGCAGAAACTGAGCTCACCCACAGAAAACTCATCTCTGTATAAATACACTAATTTAGATCACTGCTGCCATGGCAACCAGCTCACAGACATTCCACAGCCAGAGTGGCTTGCAGTAGCCTGCAGAGTAGGCTTCGCCCACACCTCTCCCCAATTGGCTGATTGTGCTCCTGAGCTTCTCGTGGTTGGTTACCTGCTCCCTTTCGGCCAGCCTCCTATCCTCCTCCCTCCTTATATCGTCAAGTCTCCGATGGGGGCCCTTTTCTTGCTGTCTCACCATCTCTCGCTCTTTTCTCTGTTGCTGAGAGGGAGAGGGATGACAGGAGAGAGAGGGAGAGAAATGAGTAGAGGCCACTTTTGCACATTAGGTTGTGGTTAGAATGGATGCCTTTCTTTTGCATAAACCGTTAGTTTTTTTCCTCCACTGTGAGAGGAAATAAAAGGTGTGAGAGAGAGCAAGCGAGAGAGAAAGAGAACGGAAGGAGGAGGAAGGAGATGTTGGTCGTGAGTCACACATGTACTGCCAGCCACTGCAGCCCTGCTCCTTCTCTGAGACTGACCTGCTCCCTGATTCAAACACTTGGACAGTTGTTTTTTTAACCCTTTAACTGTCTCTTATAAAACATTTAAAAAAAAATAATTATATATATATATATATATATATATATATATATATATATATATATATATATATATATATATATATATATTTTTTTTTTTTTTTTTTTGTATTATTAAAAACTTACATTCCTACTACTAAGAACTCAAATAGGAACTTTCAATATTATTTTTTTCAACTTGATGTGCAACAGAGCTCTACCAGGCTGTTGAGAAGTCGAAATACGGCCATACCAGCAATGCCATAGATGAGGTAAATGGCTGCTAAACGCTGACTCTGGTTCATATAAGCTAGTTAGCATACAGAAGTTAGTCACTTTTTTGGTTAATACATGATTCCATGTGTTATTTCATAGTTTTGATGTCTTCACTATTATTCTACAAATGTCGAAAATAGTAAAAATAAAATAAAAACCCTGGAATGAATAGGTGTCTCCAAACTTTTGACTGGTACTGTATACATACAGTTGAAGTCGGAAGTTTACATACACCTTAGCCAAATACATTTAAACTCAGTTTTTCACAATTCCTGATATTTAATCCTAGTAAAAAGTCCCTGTCTTAGGTCAGTTAGGATCACCACTTTATTTTAAGAATGTGAAATGTCAGAATAATAGTAGAGAGAATGATTTATTTCAGCTTTTATTTATTTCATCACATTCCCAGTGGGTCAGAAGTTTACATACACTCAATTTGGTATCATTGCCTTTAAATTGTTTAACTTGGGTCAAACGTTTCGGGTAGCCTTCCACAAGCTTCCCACAATAAGTTGGGTGAATTTTGGCCCATTCCTCCTGACAGAGCTGGTGCAACTGAGTCAGGTTTGTAGGCCTTCTTGCTCGGATTGAGGTCAGGGCTTTGTGATGGCCACTCCAATACCTTTACTTTGTTGTCCTTAAGCTATTTTGCCACAACTTTGGAAGTATGCTTGGGGTCATTGTCCATTTGGAAGACCCATTTGCGACCAAGCATTAACTTCCTGACTGATGTCTTGCGATGTTGCTTCAACATATCCACAATTTTCCTTCCTCATGATGCCATCTATTTTGTGAAGTGCACCAGTCCCTCCTGCAGCAAAGCACCCCCACAGCATGATGCTGCCACCCTCGTGCTTCACAGTTGGGATGGTGTTCTTCGGCTTGCAAGTCCCCCCTTTTTCCTCCAAACATAACGATGGTCATTATGGCCAAACAGTTCTATTTCTGTTTCATCAGACCAGAAGACATTTATCCAAAAAGTACGATCTTTGTCCCCATGTGCAGTTGCAAACCGTAGTCTGGCTTTTTTATGGCGGTTTTGGAACAGTGGCTTCATCCTTGCTGAGCGGCCTTTCAGGTTATGTCAATATAGGACTTGTTTTACTGTGGATATAGATACTTTTGTACATGTTTCCTCCAGCATCTTCACAAGATCCTTTGCTGTTGTTCTGGGATTGATTTGCAATTTTCGCACCAAAGTACGTTCATTTCTAGGAGACAGAACGCGTCTCCTTCCTGAGCGGTATAACGGCTGCGTGGTCTCATGGTGTTTATACTTGCGTACTATTGTTTGTACAGATGAACGGGGTACCTTCAGGCATTTGGAAATTGCTCCCAAGGATGAACCAGACTTGTGGAGGTCTACAATTTTTTTTCTGAGGTCTTGGCTGATTTCCTTTGATTTTCCCATGGTGTCAAGCAAAGAGGCACTGAGTTTGAAGGTAGGCCTTGAAATACATCCACAGGTACACCTCCAATTGACTCAAATGATGTCAATTAGCCTGTCAGAAGCTTCTAAAGCCATGACATAATTTTCTGGAATTTTCCAAGCTGTTTAAAAGGCACAGTCAACTTAGTGTATGTAAACTTATGACCCACTAGAATTGTGATACTGTGAATTATAAGTGAAATATTCTGTCTGTAAACAATTGTTGGAAAATTTACTTTTGTCATAAACAAAGTAGATATCCTAACCAACTTGCCAAAACTATAGTTTGTTAACAAGACATTTCTGGAGTGGTTGAAAAACGAGTTTTAATGACTCCAACCTAAGTGTATGTAAACTTCCGACTTCAACTGTACATAGAGAGATTTTTGGTTCCAACCGCCATGTCTTTGTGAGATGCAGAGTAGGTGAACGGATGATCTCCACATGTGTGGTTCCCACAGTGAAGCATGAAGGCACACTAAACTAGCATGGCTACCACAGCATTCTGCAGTGATGTGCCATCCCATCTGGTTTGCGCTTAGTGGGACTATCATTTGTTTTTCAACAGGACAATGACCCAACACACCTCCAGGCTCTGTAAGGGCTATTTTACCAAGAAGGAGAGTGATGGAGTGCTGCATCAGATGACCTGGCCTCAACAATCACCCGACCTCAATCCAATTGAGATGGTTTGGGATGAGTTGGACCGCAGAGTGAAGGAAAAGCAGCCAACAAGTGCTCAGCATATGTGGGAACTCCTTCAAGACTGTTGGAAAAGCATTCCAGGTGAAGCTGGTTGAGAGAATGCCAAGAGTGTGCAAAGCTGTCATCAAGGCAAAGGGTGGCTACTTTGAGGAATCTCAAATATAACATTTGTTTAACACCTTCAGTGAGTAGGTGTGTCCAAACTTTTGACTGGTACCCTACATATACATACATACATATTTTTCAAATATATTTTCCTTTATTATTTTCCACTAACCCTACCACCCCTCCCCTAATTGGAGTAAACTAATGAACAACAACACTTCGGCTTCTACTTCCTGCTTATACATATATTTTACGGACACAATCTATTTTACAATAGTTATCTTGTGTTTGTTTTTACTCCTATCCTTCCGCTACCTTCAACCCCTCCCATCTATTTCTGAAGACCATCCAGTTTGATTTCTATTTGCCATATATTTTTTAACTGTGCTGTTTCACAAAAGCTCTGAACCTATACACATTTTACGGACACAGTATATTTTACATTAGTTTTTATTAATCCCACCCTTCAGTGCCATTCAACCCCTCCCATCTATCTCTTAACACCATCCATATTGGATTTCTATTTGCCATATATTTTTCAACTGTGCTGTTTCACAAAAGTTCTGAACCTTTCTATTCTCATAGTTTCTACAGATTGTAAATTAAACATAAATTTTTTTGCTAAACGTATTATATATTATTGATCGATTGACTGACTTTTCAAATCACCCATTAGTGCTATCTACAGAGTTAGCGCCTGGTAAATGTTGCAATTCTTCAGCCATTCCTGGACCTGCGACCAAAAAAAAGCTACATATGGACTGTACCAAAACAAATGATCTAATGATTCTGTCTCTTCACCAATATTAGGAAGGTGTTCTTAATGTTTTGTATATTAGAATTGCAATTTGCATAGCATCTCAACAATATTTTTTAAAAATACTTTAGGTCTGCTTCAATGGAGTTTATAGGTTTGTAAGCTTTGGTAAATGAGGATTGATATCAAATTTTAACAAATTATGGTAATTTATGTCCAAACATTAATATTCAATTACTTTGAAATGAATGTGTTTTCAGGTGGTGTATAGTGCAATGCCCCTCAAAATGAATGATACATTTCATATGATCCAGGTTCTTCTACCATGTTTCCCACATATTCAGAGATTTGGAGATAATATGACAAAGTGCAGTTTCCTTTTATTACATACAGTATCAACTGCCTGGTTAAGCACATTTTTACAAAATTCTTGCTTTTTAGGCTTTTTACATTTTAACTATTTATTTTCATAATGAAATCAAATTTTATTTGCCACATGCGCCGAATACAACAGGTGTAGACCTTACAGTGAAATGCTTACAAGCCCTTAACCAACAATGCAGTAAAAAAACAAGAAAAAACAAGTGTTAAGTAATAAATAGATAAGTAAAAAAAACAACAGATAGAAAATAATTAAAGAGCAGCAGTAAAATAAAATAACAGTAGGGAGGCTATATACAGGTGGTACCAGTACAGAGTCAATGTGCAGGGGCACTGGTTAGTCGAGGTAATATGTACATGTGGGTAGAGTTAAAGTGACTATGCATAAATAATAAACAGAGTAGCAGCAGCGTAAAAGAGGGGGTTGGTAACGCAAATAGTCCGGGTAGCCATGATTAGCTGTTCAGGAGTCTTATGGCTTGGGGGTAGAAGCTGTTAAGAAGCCTTTTGGACCTAGACTTGGTGCTCCGGTACCGCTTGCCGTGAGGTAGCAGAGAGAACAGTCTATGACTAGGGTGGCTGGAGTCTTTGACAATATTCCTACTCTTCAATGTCTCTACTAACAGGAATGGTGCAATATTAATCCCTCACCAACTGAATTCCTGCCTCTTGTGTACAATTCTCAGGGGCCCGTTTTGGTTCGTGAGCACTAATTTTAAAACTACTGGCTGAAATGATACAAAACCTCTGGAGCATCACTTTAGAGCATCACTTTAATTGATATCGCCCTGAATAGTTTTAAGCCGCCTTCTCAAAAGACACTACAGCCTCCCTATTAAAGCATCTCCCTTAAGAGAGGCTGCCTCTTTGTTGTATTAAAACTAGATAGAACTTGCTAATGACATGTTTTACATTTAAGATGCTTGTCTTCTCTTGTTGATCTATCTCCAGAGAACATTCAGCAATAAAAATAAAAAATCTCTCCATGAAGAAAGGTTGATACCTGACCTTGTGATAGTCAATTCCCATCTACTGCATACTGTATGTGGTGAATCCAACATCTGAGATTTAAATCCAGTGGAATTATTTTAGTTGGCACAGAAATTATGTAAAATGATGTATTATTATAATTAATAAAAAATGTAATATAGATATCGTGGCCAACTTGCTAAATTAGCAACCTTCATATCACGCTGTATAACGGTATCTCCAAAAACACTGTACAGTGTGTTATGGCAATATACATAACAGCCTAGTACAAGCCCAGTAAACCTGGCTACTGTGACATAAATAGCTGGATAAAATAGCGATAGCCTCCTTTTATCGATAAAAAAAAAAAAGTTAGTTATGCAAGACATTTGATCACTTTACACATTTATTTGGGAATCCACCCCTGTAAATGTAATTTGCCTGATGACGCGCGAGTCGAGAAGGAGAGTCATTTCATACGAGCGCATTTGTCCACTTTCCCTCTCCGACTCTCCTCGATTAACTTTTACCTTTTTCAAAAGGAGGTGAGAGAGGACGGAGGAGAGAGGGCGCAGGAGGTGAGCAAATCTAATGAATAAAAGGCCTGTGTGTATTACCTCTTCCAGGCGGCGGCGCTGTTCTTTCTGCTCCTCGATGCGTTTCTGTCGGTCGTGCAGCAGCTGTCTCTTGTGTTCCTCTGGGTCTCGGCGCTGGGCAGCCAGCTGGGCCTGCTGTCTCTTCAGAGCCTCCGACCGCTCCTTGTTCTCCTGCTGCAGACGCAGGAAGTCCCGCCTCAATGTCGACTCACCAGGCACATTCAGGATGGAGGTACTAGAGGACAGAGAGAGAGAGAGGTGGAAGGGTTAGAGAGGTGGAAGGGTTAGAGAGGTGGAAGGGTTAGAGAGGTGGAAGGGTTAGAGAGGTGGAAGGGTTAGAGAGGTGGAAGGGTTAGAGAGGTGGAAGGGTTAGAGAGGTGGAAGGGTTAGAGAGGTGGAAGGGTTAGAGAGGTGGAAGGGTTAGAGAGGTGGAAGGGTTAGAGAGGTGGAAGGGTTAGAGAGGTGGAAGGGTTAGAGAGGTGGAATGGTTAGAGAGGTGGAAGGGTTAGAGAGGACGACGCAGATAGACAGAGAAATATAGTAGGATGAGGTGATGGAGAGATCATAGTAGAGAAGCAAGAGATTGTGTCATTCATCTCAGGACACTGTGACCTTATATTCCTGGGGTATTGCATTGGGTAGTAACGTTATTGGGGGAGTGTTGTGTTACCTGGACTCTCCGTCTTCCCCACGGTTCTCATCCTCCTCATCACTGCCACTGTACTCATACTCTGTCTCCTCTGAAACAAAGAGAGTGAGAGATAGAACAGAAATCAGAACGCATAGCATATACAGTGCATTCGGAAAGTATTCAGACCCCTTGACTTTTTCCACATTGTTACGTTACAGCCTTATTCTAAAATTGATTAAATTGTTTGTTTTTCCCCCTCATCAATCTATACACAATACCCCATAATGACAAAGCAAAAACCGTTTTTTAGACATTTTAGCAAATGTATAAAAATAATAATGGAGATATCACATTTACATAAGCATTCAGACCCTTTACTCAGTACTTTGTTGAAGCACCTTTGGCAGCGATTACAGCCTTGAGTCTTCTTGGGTATGACACTACAAGCTTGGCACACCTGTATTTGGGGAGTTTCTCCTATTATTCTCTGCAGATCCTCTCAAGCTCTGTCAGGTTGGATGGGGAGCGTCGCTGCACAGCTATTTTCATGTTCTCTCCAGAGATGTTCGATCGGGTTCAAGTCCGGGCCACTCAAGGACATTCAGAGACTTGTCCCGAAGCCACTCCTGCGTTGTCTTGGCTGTGTGCTTAGGGTCATTGTCCTGTTGGAAGGTGAACCGTCGCCCTAGTCTGAGGTCCTGAGCGCTCTGGAGCAGGTTTTCATTAAGGATCTCTCTGTATTCATCTTTCCCTCAATCCTGACTAGTCTCCCAGTCCCTGCCGCTGAAAAACATCCCCACAGCATGATGCTGCCACCACCATGCTTCACCGTAGGGATGGTGCCAGGTTTCCTCCAGATGTGACGCTTGGCATTCAGGCCAAAGAGTTCAATCTTGGTTTCATCAGACCAGAAAATCTTGTTTCTCATGGTCTGAGAGTCCTTTAGGTGCCTTTTGGCAAACTCCAAGCGAGTTGTCATGTGCCTTTTACTGAGGAGTGGCTTCCGTCTGGCCACTCTACCATAAAGGCCTGATTGGTGGAGTGCTGCAGAGATGGTTGTCCTTCTGGAAGGTTCTCCCATCTCCACAGAGGAACTCTGGAGCTCTGTCAGAGTGACCATTGGGTTCTTGGTCACCTCCCTGACCAAGGCCCTTCTCCACCGATTGCTCAGTTTGGCCGGGCGGCCAGGTCTTGGTGGTTCCAAACTTCTCCCATTTAATAATGATGGAGGCCACTGTGTTCTTGGGGACCTTCAATGCTGCAAAAATGTTTTGGTACCCTTCACCAGATCTGTGCCTCGACACAATCCTGTCTCGGAGCTCTACGGACAATTCCTTCGACCTCATGGCTTGGTTTTTGCTCTGCCATGCACTGTCCACTGTGGGACCTTATTTAGAAAGGCATGTGCCTTTCCAAATCATGTCCAATCAATTGAATTTACCACAGGTGGACTCCAATCAAGTTGTAGAAACATCTCAAGGATGATCAATGGAAACAGGACCTGAGCTCAATTTCGAGTCTCATAGCAAAGTGTCGGAATCCTTCTGTAAATAAGGTATTTCAGTTTTTTAAAATTTTGATACATTTGCTAATTAGCCGTTTTTTCTTTGACATTATGGGGTATTGTTTGTAGATTGATGAGGAACATTTTTAATTTAATCAATTTTAGAACAAGGCTGTAACGTAACAAAATGTGGAAAAAGTGAATGGGTCTGAATACTTTCCGAATGCACTGTAGTACTGCAAACATACGTACTTATTATGACCATAATACACCCCACCCTCAGTCTCCATACCATAATACACCCCACCCTCAGTCTCAATCAACCATTATGCACACAGACATGGAAAACACAAAATAGCTCAACCCAAATTACAGAGGCCTCAGGCCGGCCCTTCCCTCTCTCACCCTTCTCTCCCCTCTTCTTGCGTGTGCGGTCAATGTGGTCTTTGAGCTGGATGCGGACTTGGCGCTCCGTGGGCTGGTCCCGGATGAACGAGTGCTTCAGGAGCTGCTCTGTGGATGGCCGGCTGGTGTACGTCTTCACCAGGCAGCCCTCAATAAAGTCTATAAACTTCTTAGACCTGGTGGGGGGGGTGGGGGGGGGGGGGGGTTAACGAGGGTCAGAGTCAGGTGAGGCAGAGGGGGGTGTTGAGTAACAGCTGTTTGGTGGAGAGAGATAGGACAGCTGTTGTGAGTGGGACTTTTAGGAGGCCTGGTATCTCCTGTAGGTCACATGTAATTGGGAATGAAAACTATCCCAAGATGAGTGTTCAGAAAAAGAGGAGAAGAACAGGAAAGGTGTGTGTGGGAGAGTGAAATAGAGACAGACAGACAGTCAGAGTGTCCATACATTTAAAGTGGCAATGTACAACAGTGCTCCTTTAGGTAGATCTTTCACTGCTATTTTCATGGGAACGCAAGGCTTTTATCATTGGGTTCTGTACAGAAATGTTTGGTGATCGACTATGAATGACTTGGAGATCGACTAGTTGGTGACCACTGGACTAATAGAGCTCCCCAGCTTGTAGTCCTAAAAAACGGAAATGAGTTACCTCTGGTTCGTTCAGCCATTCATATGGGGGGAATTAATGGGGAAAGAATAGTTTTTGGGGGATAAACACAGAAAATAAGGTATGTGGTAAACACAGGCTTAGAAGAGCTTACACATTTTGTTATATGAGATCATTTGTGAATTTTGAAGCATTTTTGTAATCAAAATAAGCATTCATAAAGGTCATGTTAACTGACTGATTATACAAGGAACAGAGAGCAAGCTTTTTTTGCTACTTTCTCAAATCATCAATAGTCTATAGTCGCATCATGCAGCCCATACATCTTTTGATTTCTAAGGCATCCTAAGGTTTGTATCATTCACAACTAAAGTTGCCAAATAACTCTAAATCTAGCATATAGGACCTGTTTCAAATTATCACTTTTACGCTCAACCTAGCCACTTCATATGCACACTCGCTCTGTAATGGTAAAAAGATCCGTTCTACTTTATTCAGCTTAGTTCAATTATATTCTTCTTACTATAAAATAAAATAAAATAAAATAAAATAATGGCACGGGACATAAGCATATCTTGTCAGCTAAATGAACAAGCCTAAAGCCTATGGCATGGAGAATAGCCAAATAACATACGCCTACAGTAGGCCAACTCATATCCTGTTTATTTTATCAACATTTTCTTCATATCAAAATGTTTCTTTAGACCTGACTAAAATAAATAATGGATTTATTGTGGTGGTGTATATTCAATTGATTTATTATACTTTTTTTAATGTAGATGTTCCAAAGGCGCGTATCAGTGGCTTGTATGTGTTGAGGCCTGGAGATACTAAATGTGTTTATGTTAATTAACAGTCAATTACCGTGAGACCGGCAGTCTTTTGCATTACTATAACTGACTGACAAAATGTCATGACCGCCACAGCCCTAATCTTGACTCAGAAAAGGTTGGTGAGCACTGTATTACTCTTAGTGATAACATTTCTGACATGCCACTGAACTTCCAGTGGTAAGTACAGTATATGAAACGAATCCATGGCCAGTTGGTGTTGGACGTAAATAGTTCAGTAAAGCGCAGCAGGGCTAGGGTAAGGAAATAATCTTATCACTGCATAGGAAGGGACGGAGGGTGGGGAGGGGAGCCAAGACAAAATAGCTAGGTCCTTAAATAAAACTGAAGTTTCAGAAAAAATAACAGCAGGAACCAAACAGCACACTCACCACTTCTTGGACTTGAGTTTGGGAGGGGGGTTCCTCGGGATGAGGAACAGAGCTCTCATAGGGTGCATATCACACAGAGCTGGAGAGGGAGAGGGGGGAGAGAGAGATATGGGGGAAGGGTATTATGGATTGGTATTATATCCACCAAGCATTTCAATCCAAAAAGCATTTAAATACCAGTAGTATATTACTATACAGTATAAAGTTGTAATGGATCACATCATTTTATGCAGATAATTGTGACACTAACAGCCTAGGTACTCCCAGTCAATATCTGTGGTCTTCCTAATCCCGATCCTTACTTTGTTGCCTCACACCTATTGCCCCATTGTCTTGTTTGAGCAACACTGTTACTCATTGTCTTCCCAGCGTAGCTAGCAAATCTGTCTGGTTAGGTTATCAGCTCAACAATAAAATGCATACACTGGCATTACTTCTGATACTGCCCAAGGCATGCAGTGGGTTTCATTTCAGCACTTTGTGACTACACAATGATTACATGACCAGTTTAAGTTGGTCGTTCCTTACTGTCGACATGTAGGGTTTGTGCCGTATATGTATCTGTGGGAACTGAAATGTGATACCTGTACAGACAGACGCCTGTACAGACAGACGGGCACATTTAACCTGTTTTGCACATCTAGTCAACACAACAGAATGTATATTGGTTTGTTCAAATAAGTGAAACCAGTCTGCTCCTGTCAGACCACAGGGTGGTTTGGTAAGGTTTTGAAAAACAACAGCAATGCTAGCTAACAATTAGCCAGTAGTATCCCACAGTAACCAGTAGAAACTAACACAGTATTAGTGAGAATGTAAGTCCATGTTGCATAATTCATGACAGCACACCATCGACAACAGGCCTTGCAACAATAACAGCCCTTGACTGTTGACCTGCCTGTAAGGGGGATGTTTCACCAATTGGGTGCCTTTTGAGTTGTGTAACTTGGTGATAAAAATAAAAATTGTGTTTCACCAAATTTTAACATTCTGTCATAAAGAGCACATGTTCAACTGAATAAATAAATAAAATCCCCATCTCAAGAGGTTAAATAAAATAAATGACTATTAAGTGCCAAGTAAAGTAACACGGTTGACAATTTCATCTTCAAATCTGCCATGAATCCCCTTGTGACAGGGGGAATGGAAGTATGTGTGCAACAGCGAGGGGAAATTGAATGCAAGCTTCATAAATTAAATTAAAACATTTCTAGCCTGTCTATCTATGGGTAACAGGGTTGACGTGTTATGCTTGACCCACTCAGTTTTCTACCACAAAACACCAGAACATGGCCAAAAAGAGTAGAACCAGCTCACCTGCTTTTATACTAGGGTTTGACCATAAGATGTTAAAATGATTCTTTAGAAAAAACTTTTTTTTTAATGAACAGTTTCACCATATTAAAATGCGTTCAGTTCACGTAACAGGGTTGACCTTAAAATGAGGGAACAGTTTTTTTTGTTTCACCTTAAAAGGAATCAATAATAACATTAAATAAATAATAATTGCAAGAAATGACTTTGTCAAAGCAACATAATAACTAGGGCTTTACAATGATGGTGAAAACTTAAGTGGGTAAAAATCTTCCTAGAAGTCACAAAGGGTGCACAGAGGGTTATGTCAAAATGCTTAATTTTAGCAAGTCTTCATTCATATAAAAAAATCGGAATAATTTAATTTTTCATGTGGTCTATATAGAGGGCTCTTCATTTAATATCACAGGCTTTTAAAATAAACATTTTGTGCACAATTTCTACTTAAAATATCAAAAGGGACACAAAAAGGCACTAATTTCATGGAACGACCCATGGGCTATGTCATGCATACTGGGTGGGCACAGCAACAGCAGGAGCACCAGGCTGCCGAGAGAGACTCCTTCTCCAGGCAGGCATCCCCCCTTCAAAGCTGCCTACAGTGGGACCAGTGTGCGGTGATACAGTGCCTTCAGAAAGTATTCATACCCCTTGAATTATTCCACATTTTGTTGTGTTACAGCCTGAATTCAAAATATATTATATAGACAGGTGTGTGACTTTGCAAATCATGTCCAATCAATTGAATTTACCACAGTTGATCTCAAGGATGATCAATGGAAACAGGATGCACCTGAGCTCAATTTCGAGTCTCATAGCAAAAGGTCTGAATACTTATGTAAATAAGGTATTTCTGTTTTTAAGTTCTTATACATTCGCTAAAATTTCTAAAAACCTGTTTTTGCTTTGCCATTTATGTGTAGATTGATGAGGAAAATTTTTTATTTAATCAATTTCAGAATAAGGATGTAACGTAACAAAATGTGGAAAAAGTCAAGGGGTCTGAATACTTTCCGAATGCACTGTATATGCTTGTAGTTGTGTTTTGTGGTTTGATATAAAGTAGGCACTCTAGCACCACAGATCAATAGCCCCCTCACCTCGTATATTACACGAGCAGCACAGTGGTGAATGAGCCATCTCTTAAACACAGGGCTTGATTTATGGGCCAATAATGAGACAGGAGTTTTATAATTTGGGAGGAAGATTATTCAATCTCTCCACTGCAGGCTTATGTTATGCGGAATGTGTTCTTGAGAGTTGGAGATAAAGCTGTTTTGTGGCTGCGTGTCTGTGTGTTTGTAGATGAATAGGGTAATAAAGTGGAGTCAGATGTGTGTGTGGGTGCACTGTACTTACGAGGAGCTCCCTCTGCCGTCTCTATGGCTGTGATCCCCAGGGACCAGATATCACTCTGTGGACACACAGGTGAGAATTAGTAGCCACTCTCAAACACAGACAGACACAGACACACGTTAGGATGGAAAGGGGTCATTACCCTGTAGTCATAGGTGGAGTCAGGGTTCTCGTCACAGGCGATGACTTCAGGGGCCATCCAATAAGGCGTGCCGATGAAGGTGTTCCTGCGCCCAACGGTCCTGTCCAGCTGAGCACTCACCCCAAAGTCCACTGGCCACAGTGAAGAGGACAGAAGTCAGTATTAGTAGTAGAATATTAGCAGCTATTCTCTCTTTTTTGACGTTTCAAGTCTTGATTTAATTAAGTTGTAGATAAAGACATAATACAAATACATAGTGTGCCTGAGGGTGAGTCAATTAAGCACATTGTATAGACTGAGGAAATCTGCTGTAAACACACACTGGAGGATAACATACAGGCACAAAGAGCAGAGGGGTATACTACGAAGCCAGCTAGAGCTACTCAGTGTTTTCTAAAGTTAGCCAGCTTCAGTTAGCTTCCCATTCCAGCTCAGGCTTCATCCGTACTACGGTGTATATTGCTCGACCGCCTGCCGCTAACTCTAGCAGGCTTGTAACTGCGCGTGCATCTTGCACGTGGCTAGTTGAACGCCAAACTCTTCATTGAGAAAATGCTGAAATATCAATCCATGGGAGAGTCAGTGCCACATTTATATTTTTGCTGAAATCAAAATGAAAGAAAATGTATCTTGCAAATTCAGCAGGCTATCGTGCGAAATAGACTTTCAGAAATGGCGTCCTTATTTTATTACTTTGGTGTGCTTTGATGTGGTTATCAATACATGACCACCTTTCTCCACACTCCTATTGATAAAATAATTGTATTAAGTCATACAAAAGGTTTCTGTGCGTGACGTTCATTTGTCATACAACGTGATAGGTATTTTAACAAATCTAGACTAACAGTGTAGTGCTTACTTACGGGCCCTTCCCAACAATGCAGAGAGAAAAAGAGAAATAATAGAAAAATAATAACAAGGAATAAATACACAATGAGTAACGATAACTTGGCTATATACACGGGGTACCAGTACCGAGTCAATGTGCAGGGGTACGAGGTTATTGAGGTAGACATGTACATATAGGTAGGTATAAAATGACTAGGCAACAGGCTAGATAATAAACAGTAGCAGCGTATGTGATCAGTCAAAAGAGTGCAAAAAGGGTCAATGCAGATAGTCCAGGTAGCTATTCGTTAAGTATATACCTAACTATTTAGCAGTCTTATGGCTTGGGTATAGAAGCTGTTCAGGTGAAGTGGATGATCACGCCATCTTTGAGAGAGGGAGGGAATCTGATTTCATTGGTCCTCAACTCGCCGCTCAGACACTACATTCAGGATAAATGTAGTTAGCCCTGAGTTAGCCTGCCCTGGATCAGATTAGATCTGAAGGATTCGTTGCCATAGAAATGTACCTGGCTAAAAGGTGAGCCACTTTTGTGGTACCGGTTATCCCGAGTTGAACTCAGAGTTGACCAAAGTTACCTCACTAACTCCTCAAACTAGATTCATAGTATAGGGCTCAGGATTACATATTCATCACAACAAGCCAACACACTGTACATATAAACCCATGTAAACAACACACAAGAAGCAGCAGAGCAAACACATGAACAGTTTAGCATCCATCATCTCACCGAGTTTGACCTCTGCATTCTCCGTCAGCAGCACGTTCTGGCCCTTGATGTCTCTGTGGATGACCTTGTGTTGGTGGAGGTGCGAGAGGCCCTGGGTATCAAAGAAGGGTCAGAGTTCAGTCAGGGGTTTGACACCCTCTGGAGGGAATCTGTGATGGTGCTTGGCCTAAAGACTCAGACTGTTGTGCAATGGTTCTACAGTTGGGTGCAGTGTGGTTCTCACCCTAAGGATCTCTCTGCAGATGTAAGCGATCCAGTCCTCCTTCAGAGAGTTGCCCTTGGTGTTCTTCACCAGGTCTGTCACAGAGCCCGCCCCACAGAACTCCATCACCAGCTATACACAGACAGGAAGGAACTTAGCACACATAAATACACACAGACACACTGCAATGTTCACTGTAATAAATAATGCTGCCTGCAGTAATCCTAATCTTGTTTCTGTGCATTAAGCCATTCATGGATATCAGAGAGAGCCCATTAAATAATGAAGCTCTCCCTCAGATTATACCACCAGACAGGGACAACAGCCATCAGACTGACCCAGAGATGGTCATCATGTCCAGGTGGGCTCTTCTTGATGAATGCTCCGTAGTAGGTGGCAATATTGCGGTGATGGCTATACTTCTTCAGCATGTTGATCTCAGCCTTGATCTCTTCCTCTTCTTCCTCTGTCACGTCCATTACCTTGATGGCAGCCAGCTGGCCCGTCTTAACGTGACGCCCCTGATTAAAGGCAGAGCAGACTTGATCATCTTAACACAGGGGTTCTCAAAGTGGTGTCTGTAGAGGTACTGCAGGAGGTCCGTGGCCAAATCTTTTTTTATGAATATTACTAACAGATTAAGCTAATTTTGGCCAAGGGATCCGTGGAATAGGTTTATAGGGTGTAATACAATATAATAATATTAAAGGTACTATATGTAATATTTTTGCATTGTAATTTCAGAAAATGTCTTCAATATATCTACAGTAATAGTGGAATGATAGTGTTTCAGATTTTTTTCCACCAACGTTTTTTTGTGGCACACACAAAATTGCATTCTATTGGTGCAGCCTTCTTATTGGTCAACAAAAGATGGGCCGTCTCGTTGTCAAATTGACTGGGGCCAGCAAACAAGTCAATTTGACAACAGGAGACGGTCTGTCTTTTTTTGACCAATAAGAAGGCTGCATCATTGGAATGCAATTTTGTGTGTACCCAATAGCCTTTTGGGGGGGGGAAATATTGTGAAACACCATCATTCCACTATTAATGTAGGTATATTAAGGACATTTTCTGAAATTACAATGCAAAAATATTACATATAGCTCCTTCAATCAAACATTTATGTTCTTAACCCTGGGAAACATGGGCCTGGGAGGCTCAAAGGGATATTGGTATTCACAGTACTCCACCAAATATACATTTTTCTACTTAATACTTATTGTATCCGCTTAAAATGTTTTTGAATATAAATGCACAGTAATTCAAGCTTCAAAACTAATATTTATTCTCTCTGTCTCAAAATGTGTCGAATTGCAGGATTTTGGCCTTAAATCTGCAACAACAAAAACTCTGCCCCATGACAAAATGTGTAGAACTGCAGGAAATTAGCTTGAAAACTGCAAAATACTATTTTTGAAAATGTTGCTAAAAAAGGGTTCCTTCCAAGGGCCCGAGACTTGGTTCGTCCGGCCATGCCCTGCCAAAGTCATAGTAGAACTCCTTGTATGCCATTTCTCATCTCACTCGAGTTGTGTTATGATTATGAGGGGGGTCCCTGATGACTTTGCTATCACAAAATGTGTTCCAGGCCCCCAAAAGTTTGACCAGTTAAGACAGAGTTCTCAATCAATCAAAACAAGAAACTGAAGGCTAGTACAGCAGATGTCAGCTCTAAAAATATATCCTAACTTCGAGCAGAAATTCGAATAGTTAAAGGAACTCTGCCCTGGTTAAATCTGTTTTGAAAGTGATTATGCTGTATGTTACACCACATCATTTTCTATCTCTACTTTTTAGTTCTCTCCATATTCTCATTACCACTACCCGTCTCCTCGGCTCCTCAGACTGACAGCCTCAGCGTGGTCCAGCACAGCTGCACTAATCTGGCCTAATCTCAGACTTCCTACCACAACGAGGGTTTGATAGGGGGAGCCACTCAGACAGCCTCAATATAAGCTTCAACTGGCTCGGTGGTTCAGTGTCCCTCACCTCCCATGTTGGATCGCTGATCCAAGCCCCATCCATATGTCTTGTCTTACCTTGTACACCTGTCCATAAGTCCCATTGCCCACCACCTCCACCAGCTCAAAGATCCCTGCTGGGTCCTGGAAAAAAAGATGGACAGATTAATTAAGATAGTCGGACCGAGAGACACCAGACCACCAGGCCAGACGGACTGGGAGACAAGATGGCGAGACAGACATGGTGAGCATTTGAATAGACTGGCAAACATATAGAGTGCCTTCAGAAAGTATTCACACACCTCTACTTCTTCCAAATTCTGTTGTGTTACAGCCTGAATTTAAAATGGATTAAATTGAGATTTGTCACTGGCCTACACACACACACACACAACACCCCATTTTTACAAATTAATTAAAAATGAAAAGCTGAAATGTCTTGAGTCAATAAGTATTCAACCCTTTTGTTATGGCAAACCTAAATAAGTTGAGGAGCAAAAATTTGCTTAACAAGTCACATAATAAGTTGCATGGACTCACTGTGTGCAATAATAGTGTTTAACATGTTAATCTCTGTACCGCACACATACAGATAATTTTAAGGTCCCTTAGTCGAGCAGTGAATTTCAAACACAGATTCAACCACAAAAACCAGGGAGGTTTTCCAATGCCTCGCAAAGAAGGGCAACTATTGGTAGATGGGTAAAAAAATATCCCTTTGAGCATGGTGAAGTTATTAATTACACTTTGGATGGTGTGTCAATACAACCAGTCACTACAAAGATACAGATGTCCTTCCTAACTCAGTTGCCGGAGAGGAAGGAAACCGCTCAGGGATTTCATCATAAGGCCAACAGTAACTTTAGAACAGTTAGAGTTTAATGGCTGTGATAGGAGAAAACTGAGGATGGATCAACAACATTGTAGTTACTCCAAAATACTAACCTAATTGACAGAGTGAAAGGGAAGCCTGTACATATTACAAATATTCCAAAACATGCATCCTGTTTGCAACAAGGCACTACAGTAATCCTGCAAAAAATTTGTCAAAGCAATTAACTTTTTGTCCTGAATACAAAGTGTTATGTTTGTGGCAAATCCAACACAACACATTACTGAGTACCACGCTCCATATGTTCAAGCATAGTGGTGGCTGCATCATGTTATGGGTATGCTTGTAATTGTTAAGGACTGGGGAGTTTTTCAGGATAAAAAAAGCTAAGCACAGGCAAAATCCTAAAAGGAAAACCTGGTTCAGTCTGCTTTCCACCTTTCAGCAGGACAATAACCTAAAACAGAAGGCCAGATCTACACTGGAGCTGCTTACCAAGAAGACAGTGAATGTTCCTGAGTGGCTGAGTTAGGTTTTCAAGTAGATTCAAGTCAAAACTATGGCAAGACTTGAAAATGGTTGTCTAGCAATGATCAACAACCAATTTCACAGAGCTTGAATAATTTGTTGCACAATCCAGCTCTTAAGAGACTTACCCAGAAAGACTCACAGCTGCAATCGCAGCCAAAGGTGCTTCTACAAAGTATTGACTCAGGGGTGTGAATATTTATGTAAATTAGATATTTTTGCATTTCATTTTCAATACATTTGAAAAAATTTATAAAAACATGTCTTCGATTTGTCATTACATTTAAGTCATTTAGCAGACGCTCTTATCCAGAGCGACTTACAGTTAGTGAATACATATTTTTTTTATACTGGCCCCCCGTGGGAATCGAACCCACAACCCTGGCGTTGCAAACGCCATGCTCTATCAACTGAGCTACATCCCTGCCGGCCATTCCCTCCCCTACCCTGGACGACGCTGGGCCAATTGTGCGCCGCCCATGAGTCTCCCGGTCGCGGCCGGCGGCGACAGAGCCTGGATTCGAACCAGTATCTCTAGTGGCACAGTTAGCACTGCGATGCAGTGCCTTAGACCACTGCACCACTCAGGAGTGGTCTAAGGCACTCATTAGGAGTCATTATGGGGTACTGTGTGTAGAAGGGCGAGAGAAAAAATCAATTTAATAAAATGTTTAATTCAGGCTGTAATAGAACAAAATGTGGAATAAGTCAAGGGGTATGAATACTTTTTGAAGGCACTGTAGGCCTAGACCACACAAATAAGGAGGCCTGAGAGATATTGAGATGTTTTGAGTCACATAAAAGCTCTTGACATCATCCATCCACCACTTGCATTATAGGAAAGGGAGTAATTGACTTTTCTATTTTATCCCCACCATAAGATAAAAACCACAGGTGACATTCATAATGGCTACTTCAAGCGAAATATTAAAATCAGTCATCGCTTTTTTCCCTGGAGAGGGCAAAAAACAGACAAAGGTTCCACTTTCAGTGTGATTCAATATGGCCTGTGTAGGATCTGTGGGCGGTGGGGCTGCTGCTGCTTTAGGTTGGAAATGTTCAGCGTGACCATCCTGCTTTCATATTGTTTCAATAATGGGTCTGTCTATTCCTGACTTTTTCAAGTGTCTGTCTTTAACAGAGGGAAATCATACAAGGAGAGGTGAGAGAGAGGTGCACAAGAGAATGAGGCATAAATAGATTAGAGCTAGGGGGTTTGAGAGAAAAATATTAAATAAACATATACCTAATGGGAATGACAAATGGTCCAATTACTTCATCTATACTGTGTGTAAGAGGAGCACTATGAGCAGGAGAAGCAGGATCAACAGACTGCCAAAAGGGTTGGAGTAAAAGCACTGGAGTACAAGTGTTCAAAATAGGGGAAATTAATGGAATGACAGGGATGAAAGGGAACGATGGAATAGAGGAGGCTAATATAGAGATCATCCAGAGGGAGGAGAGAGAGATGGCAGCATCGCCCACGTCCAACACAGAGAGTGGGAAGAGAGGGAAGAAAGAAAGAGATTGAGGGGGAGGGTGGAGCTGTATTAAAGCTAAGGAGTGCAGAGGGCTGTACCAGCAACAAACTGTCAACACTGATCACAGACAGAGCATGAGAGCAACACATTGTGGACCAACTGGTAACGTCACTTCCCACAACTTAACTTGGGTGCAGAAGTGCAAACTCCATCCATTGACAATGCTGTTGGATCTTTGCGTGTGTCAGAAGACCCCCCCTAATGTGTGTGTACTTACCTAGAGAAAACCAGCTATCCGACAATTTGAATATTCAGCTAGTATTCCTCTCTCCCTGGACAAGTAGGCCTATCACATTCACAAATAATGAGGCCTTTAGACTCACACTGTACCATCAAAAATGTCAAATAATGAAAAACAACAACGGTGTCTGCAAGGGGGCGGTCGGGCAAGAAATAGCCTAGAACAGATTTGATAGTTGAAGGTAAGCGTCGATTCAATGTGTGTTGACACTTGTCAGACCACCTGATATGTTCTGTTGTGGGGTCTCATGAAGAATGTAGCCTATTCTACTAACTACACCACTGTAATATTTGAGTCTTCTACAGAAAGAGAAATTATAGTCATGCACTATTACTAGCCTACTGTAGGTTATACTTGCAGGCATGTGAGTGTGTGTGTGTGTGTGTGTGTGTGTGTGTGTGTTTATGTGCAGCAGGAAGAGTGGGTGTTATAAGGACAGCTATCAAACAATAAGCTCAAGTGAATCATCTCTCTCAGAGCCCTCTCTCTCTCAAAATGGAGAATTAAATAGCATTGCATGGAGAGGTCTGGTCTGTAACTCGTTGTACTTAAATTGCTAGAGTGTGTTGGTGAGAGATACCGGTATATATTAAATCACCCTTTATCAAACTATACTCTACCCTGTTAGATGCTTCTTAGTCTTTGTTTGACGATATACTGACACCGGATCATGGTATTAGAATGGCCAACCTCAATGATGGCCCACATTACAAATGAATCTCATTTTACAGATACCTTAAAAGTATATGGTCCCAGAGAGTCAGCAACCGAAGATCTGGGTTTGTTTATCCTTTATGTTCAACTTCTAATTTTGATGGATTTGGAACATGCAAACAGGTGTTTTACAATCCACCACAGAGTACAGTCAAAATCAGTGAGTTTTAGAAATCTATTTCAAAATCAGGTTTTGATAGCCCCTTTTAGGAATGTTTTTTAGATTACATTTTCTACTTCTGATGATGCAAAAAAGAAAACGGCTACAAGGAAGTAGCTGACTAAATTGAACAATTTACGATGGAGTTAAGCAGCGACTAATGTGGGCGGACTGGACATGTAAATGGATTTGGTAACCAATAGGGGTGTGGCGGTCACTAAATTTAGTCAGCCGGTGATTGTCAAGCAAATAACTGCCGGTCTCACGGTAATTGACCGTTAATTAACATGAGCACATTTAGCATCTCCTAGCTTCCACACATAGCCTACAAGCCACTGATGCAGACCTTTGGAACATCTACATTTTAAAAAGTCTAATAAATCTATGTAATATAGCCTACACCTTCACAATAAATCCATTCTTTATTTTAGACAGGTCTAAAGAAACATGATATGAAGAAAATGTAGACTATTTCAGAAGACCAGAATAGCACACTCAGTTGTCCTTATGTTAGGTCCTGATCTAGCTATGCATTATGGCTGTGTGCTACACTAGTTCATTTGGCAGACAAGATTTGCTTAGAATTCCGTGGCATTGTTTTAAATTATTTTATAGTATGAAGAATACAATTGAACAAAGCTGAATAAAATAGAAAGGATATTTTCTCCAAACGATTTGAAGGAGTGTGCACATGCGACTATTCTGTGTTGAGCGGTTAACAAAGAAATAGGTACTCCTATATGCTTAATTTAGAGTTATTAATGTAACTTTAGTTGTTCTATAAATGTTGGGCTATATTGTTTTGATTTTTAATACATTGTAAGGCTGCCTGATGATGATTTGAAAAATGTCACAGGAAAGGCATGAGCTCTGCTTTGTTTTTTTGCGCAGGCTGTACACACACGTCATCAGTCTCTCATTCACAATTTGACAAGCACTTGATAATGCCTTGAATTTCCCAGCGGCATCCCCTTTGTGTGGCCATAATACCCCCTAAAAAAATCCATGCCTTTTGCGGCCAGTGGCCATTGTGCCCTTGGGCTAAATATAATAATTCCCTTCTCCCCGAGTGCTGCGAAGCACCTCTCACTCACATGGCTCTCCATCACGTGACCGGGTCTCTCACACAGGCTACAAGTGAAGAGACACATCGGCAATGCAACTGCGCGTGTCCTTATCCAATTCCGAGGTGCATATTGAAGATATTGGAAGAACTGTCCACATTTACTTTGTCAGCCAACAAGATGTGTAGGCCTAACGAACAACAAAAGCACTAGCCTATGTCAATCTACTATCCCCATAGTACAAAAGTTGACCTATTCTATTCTGTGCGAGAAATAAATATTCCAAACATAGTCTGGGCCAGTTGTGGGATGCGAAAGATCCCAAATTAATACAACCACTAGCATCAAAAAACCTTTTTTACGCAACATTGATAAACTATTAGGCTATTTCTTCATATTATAAGCGCAGCAATGCGCACACGGCAGTAGGCTATAAGCGCAAATGTTCCATTAGCGGGAATCGCAAATGCGATTATATATATAAATTTTATTATGAAGGTGCATTTCTATGGTGAAAATTATCTCCCTAAAACTTGAAACTCACGCGCTGCTTATGTATGCCAGTTAGGCTCTACACCCCTTGTAAAGCGGATTAATGTGCTTAATTTTAAGAATTATTTGGCCACTTTAGTTGTGATACAAACCTTATCAAAACATATAGGCCTATGGACTAGGCTAAATGAGGTGTGCGACTATGATTCAAAAAAGTCAAGAAGAAAAAAAAGGCATTGTTTTTTGCCTTACGATGGGCATCATTCACAAGTGATAATATATAATTCACAAGTGATAGGCTAATATTGTCACCCAGCAGACTATTCTTGATTTAATCGTGTCTTTACATATACAAAATAATGTGTGTGGAATCTGTTTTGATTTAGAATGGACCATTATCATGCACCTATCTCGAAACAGGGGCAGGGGAAAAAATACATCTATGCACTTAAATAGCGAACGGAGGACGCTTTTCCCGTGGTTCATTTTTATGCCAGCCAAGTCGGCTATACTGCTGTTGTAAAGAGAAGCAATGTGCTTAATATTAGGAAAGTTGAGAAATAAATATAGTAGGCCACATGCAATTGCATAGCCTATAGAAATGTTGCGCAACATGAGCTCATGCGCTCTCATTAAGTGTTTGATTTTAGATTACATTTGTATTGATGTCAGAGTGGTTAGAGGGACAATGGAGTGCTGAGTACCAGGCAGTTAGCAAGTTTGGTAGGCTACTAATGACCATCAGCAGCATCAGAGCTTGGAGAAGCCTAATTACCGTGACTAAACAGTCACGTGGAATTTGACTGCCTTCATGACCACAGGTGTGTGGGTAATACGGTCACCGTAACAGCCCTAGTCACCATCTCCAATTTGTTCCACCCCACTTTATTTTATTTCGAGTCGGATTGCAGCCTACAGGAGAAATAACTTGTAAGTATGAAAATGTATGCACTCACTAACTGTAAGTCGCTCTGGATAAGAGTGTCTGCTAAATTACTAAAATGTAAATGTAATATTATTTGTAGTAACCATTTGGATGTCACCATGATACTGTCTACCCTGCTTAATAGGGGAGATTTTGCGCTGCAAGCCAACAACACGGGGCAACGTGTCCTTGGCTCCTGCTTGCCGCAGTAAGGAGAGGGAAGTAGCTAGACCAGGGGTCTCCAACAGGTCCCAGTAGCTCGCAGCCCACCTATGAGTAGGCTAGCTCACCAAACAATTCTGATCGTGAATGTATTTTTCACGTGTTCCACAGCAAACTGTCAAACAAATCTCAAGTATCAGACAGCTCAAGCTCTATCCAATCAAATCCACATTATCCCTCCCTTAGCCAGAATTGGGTTAAAAAGCACAATATCTGCCAATTAAGTTCCATCAATATTGCCCCTGTATGTATGTGTGGTGCACGCATTTCCCTATAATTTACTTTGTGTAGCCAGTTAGCGATAATGATAACTGTCTTCTGGGTAGACAGAAAGACTTTCCCCAAAACATTTAATTGAGAAGGTTAACTGCAAAGTAGGCTTACCTGGCAGAATTATATTATGACTATTTGTATCAATCGGGTATGATTTTGATTTGCAAACTCTATCAAGACATATGCAGCAGCAAAAACATCCCTAGACCAGCATGTTCCTCTCTCACAAAATGGGCAATTAAAGGGGTATTACACTCAAATCTAAATGTGTTAGTTATTTTTCAGCCCTCAATTGTCTTCTGTTGCGATTTAAGAATTGACATGGACACATAACATTCATTGTAATTGTTTTTTCTATGAATAACTGTAATTTAGAGTGAAAAACGTTTAGAAAATCCCAAAACGGGAAAAATAAAACGGAGAAAACAGAATTAGGGAAAATACAAACAGTGCCTATTTGAAAGCTAGGAAGAAATGTATGAGTAGCTCATATATAGCTCACTATAGATAGTGTAGCCAATATCAGGCCAGGGTGAAAGCTAAAGCACATTTATTGTAGTGATTTTCACCGAAAATGTACAACTACAGCATTAATGTCAAATGTTACATTTTTGTAAAAAAATAAATAATTACTCATAAAATCTTAATGATTCCAACATCGGCAGACATGTTTGAAAATCTCGCTGCAGGTTCTAGACACAAGCATAAACTCACTAGCTGGGCTCATTAGGACGCATCCTTTTTAGGGCTGTCCCTGACAAAAAAAAGTATTAGTCGACCAAGAGTCCTCTGTTCTTTCGACCACTTTTTAAACGTGTATTTTTCCATATATTAACACATCCTATGTGTTTTAATCAAATCAACTATATTCACTGAGCTTGTCTGATGCTTTAAGCACACGGTTTGATTAAATAATTAAGACACAAATGACTAGAGGGTGTCCGACCAGCAATTGATTTGATTGGGCCGGGCTCAGACTTGCTACGCTATGTAAAAAAATAAAGACAGCGAGTGATGGACCCGTTCTCTCTCTCCTCCCTGCTGCAGCGACCACCACAGAACATCAAAGTGTTTATCGCGCTGTCCGTGTTGCTGAAGCTGGAACATAATTACAGCCATTTATGACAGAAAAGTTCTGTTACCGAAATCCCTCATTTGTTTAGGAAAAACATTCCCTATTCCCTCAACCCTTGCTCTCTTTAAATGCGCACGTGACCAAATACCTATTTGCATGGGACTAGTATTACTAGAGAACGTTGGTTATGTAATTATTACTTCAGAATGTCCGACAATTCCACAGGAGGACTCGGACGGGATAAAAAAAATCCAAACTGCCCCCTGTAATTCTTCTTTTTTTTCTCCAATAAATTGACAGTTATGAAGGAGGCTTGGGGGGTTTTATTCTACGCGTGAAGATACAGTATTTCAACATGTCCAGGTGATAGGGCCACACTGATAACTCGAGCTTGGTTCCCAAGTATCTAAACCATACCAAACCATATTTCCTATATTGTTGCCATAATATTTGAATTGAGGAAGTGTGATCATAATCATTAGGATATTTTTACAATCCGCAGAACGTCCTAAATGCCCCAAGCCTTCAGATGTGAGCTAAATAGTGCAATTGCACTTGAGATGCATTTTAAGGCTATGGATGAGAAAGTTAACTTTCCAAACGTTTAGGTCAGTTGTATGCTGCTGCTTTGCGATCTATTAACAGTTGCATTAAATAGGCTCATTATTTTTTACTGATGCATTTGCCAATATTCAATTCATACGCACAAAACATATAAACAAAAGCATTCCATGTGAAAGTTGATAGGCTACATGTAGGCCATTCATATATAGCTTAGCAGCACTTAGTTCAATTTATCCAATCAGTTATTGTTTTCTTGCGCAAACTGCGAGCAACACCTGTCGAACTCAGACATTTCTCTCAAAACACAGGGATGTCATTTCGCACAGGACTAGTATTATCAGAGGACATTGGAGTTCGCCAAAAATAACAGTAGGTTATTCTGGCTGAAATTGTTACTCTCCTGCCATGTAAAACTTACTGCCATGGCAGGTTCGGACTGGCCAAAAATGACAGATGTGGTGTTTTGTGCTCGTGCACATAATTACATTACCCGACCTCCCCCTGACCTATAGCCAGGGCGGGTCTTTAACGTTCTGCCACCATTGGCGAGACAAAAAAATGCTGCCCCGAGAGGTTTAATAGTCCCAGTAAGCCAAATTACGTTTCCAGACGTTGAAGTTAGGTTCAATTTAGGTTCTGAATGAAAGTTGAAAAGGTATTTTCCTTATGTTTAAAATATATTATTTTCCAGGACACTGAAAAGGCATATTTTCCGGAAGTTGAAAAATACATATTTTCCAGACGTTGAAATCAGGTTCAATTTCGATTCTGAATGAAAGTTGAAAATAAGTCATTTATCTATGTTTGGCCCAAATCAAGGCAGGTCCAGACAGTAACTGCACCAAAAAAAAAATATGTCCAAAAGGCGTCGCCGTCAGTCCGTGATTACTGAGGTGTAGCCTACAGTGTTACCTGAAATTGAATTTTATGAATGCCCATCTGTGGTAAGCCTACCGTTTGTAAAACCCCCCCAAAAGACGTTCAGACAGGACCAAAATCAGACATCCAAAAGATGTTGGGCTCGTGCTTACTAGGGTGTAGCCTACCATGTCAGCCTGCAATGGAATTTTATGAATGCCCATCCATGTGGTAGGCCCACCATTTGTAAAACAGGCCATTGCACTGGCTTTATTAGTCCTGGTTCCTGTGACTAATCAATTTGGCTATTTAAGCTCTGAATATCAGCTACCCAACTTTATCAGGAGTTATCACGAGCCTATTTGCAATGTGTTTACACAGTGAGAAATGCAGAAGTATTTTATTTTTCGCTTTGATCAGCTTGTCAAAAATGTACGGATAGAAAAATGTAAACCACTGATCATGACAATGGGGTGAAACTCCTGTACAACAGTTGTGATTGTCCGTTCCATAATGTCAATTTTACTTTGACCTGTCCTGTTTTTAGGATATGTTGCTTTGTTAACATAACAGCTCATTTTGTATTTGATTGAGAGCCATTTAGGTTAGGCTATTTGATCTGAGAACCTGCATGATGTAAAAAGTGTCCGTCTCATTACATTGTCATACTTTTGACCTAATCAACGTCAACAAAACAAAGGAGATGATCGTGGACTTCAGGAAACAGCAGAGGGTGCAACCCCCTATCCACATCGACAGGACCGCAGTGGAGAAGGTGGAAAGCTTCAAGTTCCTTGGCGTACACATCACCGACAAACTGAAATGGTCCACCCACGCAGACAGTGTGGTGAAGAAGGCGCAACAGAGCCTCTTCAACCTCAGGAGGCTGAAGAAATCCGTCTTGGCACCTAAAACCCACACAAACTTTTACAGATACACAATTGAGAGCATCCTGTCGGGCTGTATCACCGCCTGGTATCGCAATCGCAGGGCTCTCCAAAGGGTGGTGCGGTCTGCCGAACGCATTACCGGGGGCAAACTACCCACCCTCCAAGACACCTACAGCACCCGATGTCACAGGAAGGCCAAAAAGATCATCAAGGACATCAACCACCCGAGCCACTGCCTGTTCACCCCGCTATCATCCAGAAGGCGAGGTCAGTACAGGTGCATCAAAGCTGGGACTGAGAGAATGAAAAACAGCTTCTATCTCAAGGCCATCAGACTGTTAAATAGCCATCACTAGCACATTAGAGGCTGCTGCTGCCTATTGAAAATCACTGGCCACTTAAAAAATGGAACACTAGTCACTTTAATAATGTTTACATATCTTGCACTACTCATCTCATATGTATATACTAGGGTTGCACGATATTGGAAATAACTGACATTGTGATATTTTGTTTTTCTGCGATATATATTGTGATATTAAAAAATACAGGATGTATGCATGATCCTCTGGGAAAAATGCAGTTTGCAAACAGCGACTTTTCAGGTGGAAGTCCTCATTAATAAAGTGTACGGTCAGACTTATGTAGGGCTCCGTTGTCCGGCTGGACCACAAGTCCGTTGTTGCTGTATAATATTCCACTAGTGACAGCTCTGTTTCAACTTGTGCCTTGCATTTCTCGTACAACTCTGGGATGGCAACTTGAGAAAAATACTTGCGTGATGGCATTACCTACCGCTTGTCAAGTGACCGGATCATGTTTTTAAAACCCTCTTTGGTAACCGTGTTAATTGGTACCATGTCTTTGGCGACGTGAAATGTTATTGAATCTGTGATTTCTCTCTGCCGTTTGGAACCTTTCTCGTATGGTGTAATACTGGCAAAGGCATCCGAAATAGATTGTTTGCTTTGGAGGGCATTGAGATGCTTTGCACTCGTCATACGAAGATTTGTGGTGCCGCCTTAAATGATTGAACAAATTGGTCCTGTTGCCTCGTGTTATGGCAAAAATTGTAAGGCACTCTCGACAAAGTACCTGTTTTTGGTCAACATCATCCTGTCTGTAGCCAAAATATTTCCATATACAGTGAGGGAAAAAAGTATTTTATCCCCTGCTGATTTTGTACGTTTGCCCACTGACAAAGAAATGATCAGTCTATAATTTGAATGGTAGGTTTATTTGAACAGTGAGAGACAGAATAACAAAACAAAAATCCAGAAAAACGCATGTCAAAAATGTTATAAATTGATTTGCATTTTAATGAGGGAAATAAGTATTTGACCCCTCTCAATCAGAAAGATTTCTGGCTCCCAGGTGTCTTTTATACAGGTAACGAGCTGAGATCAGGAGCACACTCTTAAAGGGAGCTTGTTACCTGTAGAAAAGACACCTGTCCACAGAAGCAATCAATCAGATTCCAAACTCTCCACCATGGCCAAGACCAAAGAGCTCTCCAGGGATACACAAGGCTGGAATGGGCTACAAGACCATCGCCAAGCAGCTTGGTGAGAAGGTGACAACAGTTGGTGCGATTATTCACAAATGGAAGAAACACAAAATAACTGTCAATCTCCCTCGGCCTGGGGCTCCATGCAAGATCTCACCTCGTGGAGTTGCAATGATCATGAGAACGGTGAGGAATCAACCCAGAACTACACGGGAGGATCTTGTCAATGATCTCAAGGCAGATGGGACCATAGTCACCAAGAAAACAATTGGTAACACACTACGCCGTGAAGGACTGAAATCCTGCAGCGCCCGCAAGGTCCCCCTGCTCAAGAAAGCACATATAGAGGGCCGTCTGAAGTTTGCCAATGAACATCTGAATGATTCAGAGGAGAACTGGGTGAAAGTGTTGTGGTCAGATGAGACCAAAATCGAGCTCTTTGGCATCAACTCAACTCGCCATGTTTGGAGGAGGAGGAATGCTACCTATGACCCCAAGAACACCATTGTAGTTGCCAAACGTCAGCCTCAAAACCTTAATGACTTGGAGATGGAACAAAATCCCTCCTGAGATGTGTGCAAACCTGGTGGCCAACTACAAGAAACGTCTGACCTCTGTGATTGCCAACAAGGGTTTTGCCACCAAGTACTAAGTCATGTTTTGCAGAGGGGTCAAATACTTATTTCCCTCATTAAAATGCAAATCAATTTACAACATTTTTGACATGCGTTTTTCTGGATTTTTTTGTTGTTATTCTGTCTGTCACTGTTCAACTAAACCTACCATTAAAATTATAGACTGATCATGTCTTTGTCAGTGGGCAAACGTACAAAATCAGCAGGGGATCAAATACTTTTTTCCCCTCACTGTATATGTTGTGAAATTGTTATATATTACTTGATAGATATTACTGCACTGTCTGAGCTAGAACCACAAGCATTTCGCTACACGTGTAAAAAAAAAAAAAAAAAAAACGTGTATGTGACAAATAAAATGTGATTTGATTTGATCCTGCCTAATGAGCAGGCAGGCCGTGCCTATAGCATATCATAATCACATCAATATTTATTTATTTATTAACCCATCCAGGACACATATCTTTTTTGTTTTTTACAGCTTTTCTGCTACAAACAGTGGGGAGAACAAGTATTTGATACACTGCCGATTTTGCAGGTCTTCCTACTTACAAAGCATGTAGAGGTCTGTAATTCTTATCATAGGTACACTTCAACTGTGAGAGACGGAATCTAAAACAAAATTCCAGAAAATCACATTGTAATATTTTTAAGTAATTAATTTTATTGCATGACATAAGTATTTGATACATCAGAAAAGCAGAACTTAATATTTGGTACAGAAACCTTTGTTTGCAATTACAGAGATCATATGTTTCCTGTAGGTCTTGACCAGGTTTGCACACACTGCAGCAGGGATTTTGGCCCACTCCTCCATACAGACCTTCTCCAGATCCTTCAGGTTTCGGGGCTGTCGCTGGGCAATACGGACTTTCAGCTCCCTCCAAAGATTTTCTATTGGGTTCAGGTCTGGAGACTGGCTAGGCCACTCCAGGACCTTGAGATGCTTCTTACGGAGCCACTCCTTAGTTGCCCTGGCTGTGTGTTTCGGGTCGTTGTCATGCTGGAAAACCCAGCCATGACCCATCTTCAATGCTCTTACTGAGGGAAGGAGGTTGTTGGCCAAGATCTCGCGATACATAGCCCCATCCATCCTCCCCTCAATACGGTGCAGTCATCCTGTCCCCTTTGCAGAAAAGCATCCCCAAAGAATGATGTTTCCACCACCATGCTTCACAGTTGGGATGGTGTTCTTGGGGTTGTACTCATTCTTCTTCTTCCTCCAAACACGGCGAGTGGAGTTTAGACCAAAAAGCTCTATTTATGTCTCATCAGACCACATTACCTTCTCCCATTCCTCCTCTGGATCATCCAGATGGTCATTGGCAAACTTCAGACGGGACTGGACATGCGCTGGCTTGAGCAGGGGGACCTTCTGGATTTTTGTTTTAGATTCCGTCTCTCACAGTTGAAGTGTACCTATGATAAAAAATTACAGACCTCTACATGCTTTGTAAGTAGGAAAACCTGCAAAATCGGCAGTGTATCAATTACTTTTCTTCTGATAGTGGATATAATGATGAAGATCTGACATGGTTTCAAAGGTACAAACTCAACATATTTTATACAAGGTTTGTCTATGTTGAACATTTATTACCATGATGACATAATCCTGTGGTTGCAATTTCACCCTCAAAACATCAGTTTATGTTGATAACTTTTTTCAAATTCAATCTATTTTCCAAGTAGATTTCATGTCAAAATACGTTGAAAGATTACGTTAAAACAAAGTTGATTCAACCACTTTGTGCCAAGTGGGATGGCTCCATACTATGATATGATTATAATTACACTGGGACTGGGTAGGGTAATTATGGTGCTCCTCTCAGCTAGATAGGAGTAATTGAAACACAGGAAAATGGTTTTGTAAACAGTGTTTTTTGTTAACCTTCCATCTTCCCCGACTTGGTATTAAGAAAGTTTGCTGCTACCTGCTAAGTGTACCTATGATAAAAATTACAGACCTCTACATGCTTTGTAAGTAGGAAAACCTGCAAAATCGGCAGTGTATCAAATACTTGTTCTCCCCACTGTATACATACATTGTACATAGACATTTTACATACAGTATCAGTAAAAAGTTTGGACACACCTACTCCAATGAACTTATCCTCTGCAGCAGAGGTAACTCTGGGTCTTCCTTTCCTGTGGCGGTCCTCATGAGAGCCAGTTTCATCATAGCGCTTGATGGTTTTTGCAACTGCACTTGAAGAAACTTTCAAAGTTCTTGAAATTTTCCGGATTTACTGATCTTCATGTCTTAAAGTAATAATGGACTGTCATTTCACTGCTTATTTGAGCTGTTCTTGCCATAATATGGACTTGGTATTTTACCAAATAGGGCTATCTCCTGTATACCAACCCTACCTTGTCACAAGACAACTGATTGGCTCAAACGCATTAAGAAGGAAAGAAATTCCACAAATTAACTTTTAAGAAGGCACACCTGTTAATTGAAATGCATTCCAGGTGACTACCTCATGAAGCTGGTTGAGAGAATGCCAAGAGTGTGCAAAGCTGTCATCAAGGCAAAGGGTGGCTACTTTGAAGAATCTCAAATATAAAATATATTTTGATTTGTTTAACACTTTTTCGGTTACTACATGATTCCATATGTGTTATTTCATGGTTTTGATGTCTTCACTATTATTCTACAAAGTAGAAAATAGTAAAAAATAAAGAAAAACCCTTGAATGAGTAGGTTTGTCCAAACTTTTGACTGGTACTGTACATGGTACTTTTATATAAAGCAATCACATAACAATAATATATTACCAAACATAAACTCTTTAATCCCACCCCCCCAGCCACTCTCAGCCCTTCCCACCTATCACCATAGACCACCCTCGTTTGGTTTTCATGTGCCATATATTTTTCAATTGTGCTGTGATGTTTTATATAAATGTAGAACCTTTCTAAATTGTATAGTATCCACAGATTGTGAGCTAAAGATAAAACCTTTCGTACAAGTATTATTGACTGACTATGGCTTTCCAAATCTCCCCACATCAATAAATTGGTTATAACAAACTCTGAACACCGTAACACGTGACAGCCAAATGGATGCAGAGGACGTGACAAATACACTCAAAATGAGGGAATATTTACAGGTTGCTCAGGAGGTAAAGGCAAAATCAGATGTGTGGAATAAATGTGACTAGTTGTGGAAAATACTAGAGATCAACAATAATAAGGTAAGGAGCAAGTGCTGCTTGCATTTTATGTATGCCAAACAGGTGCTGTATATATTACAATATAATTTCTGACCGTTTGGAACAATGTAAACACAAAATAAAGTGTAAGCATACCAGAGAGTCTGTAACGTTTTTTTGTTACGCCTTTATTACAGCAAAGACTTAAAACTGTCACATTAATTTGTGAATGCAATTTCCGAAATGGAACAGTTTATTTATTGTTTAAGGTAATTATTCAAGGCTCACTTTATTTTATTTTAAAATTAAAATGCTTGATTGCATTTCAAATCATGAACGACTTGTATGCGGTGTGATGACATTAACTAATTAATGATCGATTGATACAGTAGCCTATAGAAGTATTGAAATATAGGCCTTAGTAAGTTACGGTATCAAGACTAAACAGGATGTGCTCTTAGGTCTACAGCTCGATGGTGGTTATACAAGGCTGCTATACTAAGCCTATTAATGATAATGATATCACTTATTATTATAATGATCATCATAATAATAATAATAATAATAATAACAACAATAAGAAGGAGATCAAGAAAAAGGAGCGTTATTATTATAAATATAATTTTCCAGACAATTTGGAACAGTGTAAACACTAAATAAATTATAAATATTACCAGAGCCGCTATTCTAACGGGGGGAAAAAAATGTAAAGCCTTTATTACAGCAAAGCAACGATTAAAAACAGCCTAATTTTTGAAATTGTTTACTTGACATGCCGTTGCGTGAGGCTTGGTGCTCACGGAATCAGTAGGCTACTAAACAAACACTCAAACAGGCAACAGAAGCAGGATCTGTCTTTTTTTTATAAAGCCAGGCACATTTAACAGTTAGGCTATTGATTATAGACCTAATTAAGTTGGGGTTTCCTCTCTCCTCACTTTTCTTAGATAATAAGGCAAGGGCTGTTTTCTCATCTCATTCTGCTGCTGCCTCCGCCGCATTGTTCTCAACACCAATATGCTGGTTAACTTTGCTATTATGCACATAGCAACATGATCTAGGAAAAGGCGCCAATTCAACAGCGCACTGATGTGTTTCAGAACCGTGGATGACGACCGCTATCCAATGAGGGAGAAAGCGCATGTTATAAAATAATCATATTTTTATTAGTGTTGCACCATTGTTCTTATGGACTGTGCCATCCCCACGGCCTCCACAATGGGTCTGTCCACTCCACAATGGGTCAGTCCACTCAGTGCGAATCAGACAGGTTTCTTCTACACCATGATAGTTTTTTTGCTACTGCTCCACTAAAGAACTCTTGGTCGACCAACAGCCTATCGACCAAACAATCGTCCAGGACTAAATTGGGTCAGCCCTAATCCTTTTTATCCAAGCCAAACTTGGTGCAAAACCACGCCCACGGGTAACCTAGCAACATTCAAAGCCTCGCTGACTGGTCAGAGTTCTGACGTTCCCTGTGACTGGAAGTAAATGCACCTGAGAGGAAGAAAGTGCAAATAGGGAGTGTGATGGTGCCTGCCATTCCAGGAATCATGGGAGATGCACAGTTTCCCGGCCTCATTTGAAATGAGCTAAACGGAAGGCAAGCAACAAGTGACTGTAGATACAGTAGCTAACATTACATGATTGTCAGTAATTGGGAATCAATGGAACTTGCTTTGCCCATTTAGCTAGAGCTAGCTATGCAACTAGCACAAAAACGAAGTCTCTCAATAGTCTATCAATCAAATGTGTTTATAAAGCCCTTTTTTACATCAGCAGATGTCACAAAGTGCTATACAGAAACCCAGCCTAAAATAGTCCTTTCTTAAACACTTACATAACCACACTAAGCTAACGCTAGACAACGCACACTACTAGACAGCTTCAGCCCAATCAGCGTTGTAAACTAGCGATGACACTTGTCTTCACAGCTTATCGACCTCCAAAAACAACGCAACTATCCATGATGTCGATGCTATCCATCTGGTCAGTTAGACTGGCTGCAATCACTCACTAAAAATATACATAGTTCAATGCAACTTCATATCCAAATTCGGGAAATGCAAGTTATGGCTGACAATGTTTTGATTTGGTTGGGATTCTTTCTCTCCCGCGCCTTTACTTCGTCACAGTGAACAACTGAACTCTGACCAATCAGCGCGGCTTTAAATGTTGCTAGGTTTCTCATGGGCGTGGTTTTGCACCAAGTTTGGCGTGGACAGATTTGGACGACTGACTGAACCGAATCAGTACATCTCCACTCGACAAACGTCATCAATTTAGGCACTAAATGTCCGTATAGCCTCTCCCTATGCAAATACTGCTTGCTAATAAGATTATCTTAAACAAAAGCTCTAAAATGATATGTCCTTAACCCACAACTGGCCATTTAACCTAAATAGAACGTTAGCTATAGATGGAAGCACCTCAAGACTGACAACTAGTCATTACAAGTTTCCAAAAATGACAATCATCAGTGAAGCTTTAGCACGCGCTGTACTTACCCTCAAAGCTGCGAGGTCGATGTCATCCAAGCTTCGTGTGGGGGCGTTTTCGGACATACTGGCAAAAGTAGTAAATTAGCACAAAAAGTAGCAGCCAGTAGAAAATCCAGGTGGCCCAATGTTTAATTTAGCTGTGTCTTGCGCTGTCAGGTCCCAATCAGACAGATATGGGGGTACCTTATGAGACTTGACTTGCTAACTTACAGTAGCTAGATAGCTAACTAACATAAACAACCGGACGCAAAAACGGCAAGGCGAAACGCAGTTAGCTAGCAAGCTAGTCCCATTGCGTGACAGAGACCCAATCTTGTGCTGCACTCTATGCGTTCATTTTGGGAATATTGGTGCGTATGTTGCATGACAATTCGAACGAGGTCGTCGACAGATACTTTGAATTTTAACTACACGATACAATTATGTTTGTGAGATGAAACAAAAGTTAGAATAAGTAGCTAGATAGCTAGCTGCTGGCTAAATAACAGCGCAATAATACAAAGCAAAGGTAGTCCGCAGCAGAGCTGTCAGGCTGAGAACGTTATCTAGCAAGCTAGCTACCCACGCACAAATCAAAAATAAGATTTATTTTGAAGCTTGCATTATAGCTGCTCGCAATTTCCGTCCTGCATAGACTTCAAATGTTCCACAAATGAAGTATCAAGCAAATGGCGCGCTCAGTATATGATATGTAGTTAGCTAGCCAGCTAGCTACGACGAATGTCCGACATTCGATATCTGAACACAAACTTTCATTCCTTTCGCGTTGACACTGATCGCGCCTTGCAATGCCTGTACCGACGGTGGAAAAAAAACAAGCAGTTTCTGTACGGACCCAATTGTACGAATTGGAGCTGGTTCGTACTTCTAAATATATACTTTAGTTAGGAGTATAGTTGATACCATCCAAGTAATTTCCCGACACATATAGTGCATAAACTATTTCCTCGCCATGTTTTGGTAACGTTAGCCCTGTTCGTCTGTATGGTCGGCTATGACGTCCCTTTATAGCAAGTGTCTGTATATATAAACACACACACACAACACCCTTTCCTCTACTATTTTTTTCTCTCTTCCCACTCCCTACTCTGAAGAGTGCTACGGTACTGCATCGGGGACAAATTACCTGAGAGAGGATCAGTAAACATGCATACTACTGCTGCCTTGGCCTGTAGCTAGCCTAGTGTTTACCTGGCTGACTGGGACAATCACAAATGGATTGACATGACTCAAAAACCAGAGGCAAATGAACTAATACTGTTCACATTAAAACTTATAAAAATGTTTATTAAATGTTAAAGATATAGCTACATTCGTACACATGACAATTTGGAAAAATAAAAGCCTATAGGCTATAGCCTAGTTATTCTAATAATTAAGTGATAAGTGATCAGGCTGGTTTCATGGACTAGACGTAAAATAGTAAACGAAAATCAGGGACACTCAGTATGATATGTTATGTTTAGTACGGTTACATAAGACAGGTTATTTAAAGCAAATATGAAAGGTGGGTGGTTGGTCGGGTGGATGCCACCTAGCTAACGTTAGCCACAACCAATTGGAATTCATAACATATGTATTGAACATTTGCATTTGTAACATATATGAAATGATGGACATCCACAAATTAATACATACCATACCAAATGTAAAATATCATACTAATTTGAGTCCCAGATTTTAGATTACTATGCTACGTCTACCCCTGAGTCCAGGTTGCAGGCATACATACATTTAATGCACATTAAAATGTTTAAAAACATAGTGAAAGTTTGGCCTACACGGTTTAAAAATAAGTAGAAAATACTTCATTCATATAAAGGTTATTCAAATGTTAAAGAGCTACAACTCTCCCCTTCTTTCAAGATTCAACATAACATAGTGTGGTGAATATAATCAACATATATGGCGCAAAAAAATTATAAATGTAATTTTAGTAAAAAAGCAATGATGTTGGTGAAATGAAAATGTGAAACCAATGCAAAAATCTAAACAAAAGTAGTTGTAGTAGGCCTGGTAGTAGTAGTAGTAGTAGTAGTAGTGGTACTAGGTGCTTTTAGCAATGCGGGTATATTTACATACACTAGCGATGCATTCAATTGTATTGGTGGGAATGGAAATTTGAGACAAAATATCTAAAGTATCGTATTATTAAACAGACTTTCCAAATGTGACCCACTTCCTCTCTGCTTACCCCGTGTCAAAATAAAAAGTCCTGCATGTGCTCCATATGTGGACAAAAAGTAATAATTTGTGGTGGACTTTTATTTTGACATGAGGTAAGCAGAGAGGAAGTGGGTCAGCAACAGACCCACGTTTGGAAAGTCTGTTTAATAATATGATCCTTTAGATATTTTGTGTCAAATTCCCCCCTTAATAACTACCAACTGTCCTGCACATATCCACAGTAAGTTGAAATTGAATTGTATTTAACTTCTAGCTTCCCACCAACTGCTTTTGTGCAACCCAATACAATTAAAAGCAACACTAGTGTATGTAAACACACCCGAGTTGCTAAAAGCACCTGTAGTAGTGGTAGAAGTAGTATCACAAAATAAATGTTACTATTTCAGTGAGTCACCTTTTCCTTGATCAAAACTGTCAAAAAGTTACTCATCCCATCCCAGATTAGAAACTGTGCTTTACAAAAAAATAAATATATTTGCTCCCCTTTCTCAAAATGTAGTGGAATGTTCTGGACCACTGACAACAGGGTAAATTAGTAACAATAATTCACTTGGTTGGCATGGTGACAGCAAAAATAAGCAACAATTAAAGCAAGCCAGGAGCACCCCCTGAATATCTTTCTCATTCCCCTCTATTCACCGCATGCCCCTCATATGGTCCTTTGCCTTCCTCTTTTGTCATTGCCTATTTTCATATACCTCTGTCTGATTCAGTCTATCGCTCATCTGTCCTTTCCTCTTTCGGCCACAATCTAGTCAGCTCTTTATAACCGTCACCATAACAACCACAAATGTTCTGACAGATTTGCTGGCACTGCATTGAGAGTGGAAGCTAGAGGCAGAGAGAGAGAAAAAGAGGCATAGGGAGAGAGCAGCAGAGGGAGAGAGAGGCTGAGAGAGACGTAGAGAGAGAGAGAGAAGAGCTATCCACCCACACAACCTTGCAACAATAAATGTACGCAATGTTCCTAAATCATCTGAGACTCTTGACTTCTGATCTCCATTCCTCCTCCTGCATCTCATACAGTGGCATTCTGTTCCTGTTATGTTCTATAATGGCGGACTCGTACCTAAGACCTTTAAAAAAGGAAATACTCAGGTTCATTATTATATTAACAAACAAATTTGGTCAGTTGAGTGTGGCAATGATCCAATGTCATAAAAATTTACATTTGACATTAAAACAGTGGTAATCCTTCAAATAGCCATGTCTCAAAGTCACTTGGAGCCCATAAAAGTCTCATAATGTGTTAGTATACATCAGGGATCAACTAGATTCAGTTGCGGGCCGTTTTTTCCTTTAGCGGATGGTCAGGGGGCAGGAACATAATTACAAATACATTTGTAGACTGTATATTGACCACAAGAAGCCCAAACAGATATAACATTTGACAAAAACATAATCATTTTAAACCTTGCTTACATTTGTATACAATCATGTACACTGAGTGTACAAAACATTAGGAACACTTTCCTAATATTGAGTTGCACCCCCTTTTTCCCCTCAGAACAGCCTCAATTCATCGGGGCATGGACTCTACAAGGTGTCGAAAGTGTTCCGCAGTGATGCTGGCCCATGTTGACTCCAATGCTTCCCACAGTTGTGTCAAGTTGGCTGGATGACCTTTGGGTGGTGGACCATTCTTGATACACACAGGAAACTGTTTAACATTTAAAAAAACAGCAGCGTTGCAGTTCTTGACACACTCAAACTGGTGCGCCTGGCCCCTATCATACCCCGTTCAAAGGAAGTTGCCCATTCACCCTCAATGGTACACACACAATCCACATCTCATTTGTCTCAAGGCTTAAAAATCCTTCTTTAACCTGTCTCCTCCTTCACCTACACTGATTGAAGTGGATTTAACAAGTGAGATCAATAAGGGATCATAGCTTTCACCTGGATTCACCTGGTCAGTCTATGTCATGGAAAGAGCAGGTGTTCCTAATGTTTTATACACTCAGTGTACATCTCTCTATTATGCGTGGGAATACCTTGGAAAATATTTCCAAAATTAAAATCACTTGGAGCTGATTTGCTAATGTTTTTACAGTCTTTTGTTTCCAACAATAAAATAAAATAAATATATATTTTATTTATTTATTTGCTCAGAAAACTTGGGGGGATCAAATACAATCACCTGCAGGCCGCCAGTTGGGGAACCCTGGGATACATTATCATCTGGTGTGTTTTTAAATGTTTGACCGTTTTAACAGAGTTAAAATCCACTCTGTATCAACAGCTATGTAAAAATCTTGCATCTAATTGCATTCTTTGTAGACACATCAGTTAGTGTTTTTTAGCTAGGTGAGTTTAGAATACATTTTGTTCCAATCTTTTTATTAACAATGGAGTGGAATCTGGCGAAGGTGATACAAATCTATAAAGGTCTTCCCTGCTGTACTGGGATTTTTCAGTGTCATCCTGGCCCTTGTGGCTGGTAGCCTGGTACTCTTATGTCCAGAGTCCCGTAGGAGCCATGCCCTCCTTACTGCCCAGTGGGGGGAGCAGACTCTCCTCTGACAGGAAGTTGAGGGGGAAGTGGACCAGTAGCCCCCTGATGGCCTCCAGCTCCTCTTTAGCTTGCTGGGGGTCTGTGTCACACAGGCGCTCTATGCCTGAATGCTCTTTCAGCTCCCTCATGCTGTGGACAGAGTTGCAGGGGAGGCAGCGGAAGACCTGTTCCAGGTAAAGGGAAGGAACAGCCAAGGGGAAAGGTGAGTAGCAGAGAGGACAGGGAGGGAGGTTAAAGGGAAAGAGAGATGAATAACTATGCACATGAAAGAGATCCAAACATAGCATTTAGTCCTATTCATTTCCATTTATACCTTGTCATAAATCTTAGCATTCAGTTTTGCTGTCGTGTTCCATCCCAACAAGAAAAACTGATCGCTGATCGGGTCATCAATATCGATCTTGGGGTCAGAATCGGCTCCTAAAAGCACCCTGGGAAGCACATGCACATAGACTTGTAAGTCAGTTACTGCCAAACAGCTACATTAACTGCACATTCAAACTGTTGCTAGAGTGACAGTTCGTAATACAGCATCTGAGTAAAGGTTGGTGCACAAATTCACATTTCAAAAAACGGAATTCCTTCATACAGAGAATGACGACCACGCTTGCGCAATATTGTCATCTGAGATGGTTCCCTTGGAAACTAGAGGATATACTTGGTAGCTGCTGATTCGAGCCAAAACTAATAGCTCTGCTGGCATAATAGGCTTCAGGCAAGCTCTGTGAAGCGTATGCATATTCTGTCTAGGACTCTAAGGGACAGTTTTAGTGCATCACAAAAGCCAACAATTACTAATCAATAGATCCATCCACTAGTAGTGCAGTCATCGTTATTAGTATGTCAGTGTAGGGACCTTGGTTACCCCCTCCCTCACTAACATAAGGATGACTATGTGGGAGTTGTTCATCTCATGAGAAGTGATTCACTTCTGCAGAGGGGATAACCCTTTCATGTCCAAACACACCCAGGTTCACCCCAGATATATAATTTCTATACCCCTCAAACTCAGTAAACCTCTCTATCAGTGAACTAACTGAATGTAAAATCACAGAGAGTGCAGAAGTGTATGGACCCTACTGACATATTTTCCATAGTCCTGACCTGAAACACTCTTTGCGCAGTGCCAAAGTGAGGGGTCCGGCCTGGTACTCCTCTCCCCCCATCATGGAGAGGACCCTCTCCTCATCCTCCACCAGCAAAGCCAGCTCACTGTCCCGGCTGCCCAGCATACTGCGGTCATTGATGTTGGCCGAGCCTGGATGGAGGGAGAACAGAGAGCGGAGGGAATAGAAACCGGATAGGAGAGGAAAGAGACAGAGCCAGAGACAGAAAGAGAGAGCAAAGAGGAGAGTGTAGTGACAGTACTAATATCAGTGATGATGGCCATAGATTCTGCAGTGACTTGCTTACAATAAAGTATGTGAGTTGGTAGCAGCAAACTTTCTTAATACCAAGTCGGGGAAGATGGAAGGTTAACAAAAAACACTGTTTACAAAACCATTTTCCTGTGTTTCAAGGACTCCTATCTAGCTGAGAGGAGCACCATAATTACCCTACCTAGTCCCAGTGTAATTATAATCATATCATAGTATGGAGCCATCCCACTTGGCACAAAGTGGTTGAATCAACTTTGTTTTAACGTAATCTTTCAACGTATTTTGACATGAAATCTACTTGGAAAATAGATTGGAATTGAAAAAAGTGATCAACATAAACTGATGTTTTGAGGGTGAAATTGCAACCACAGGATTATGTCATCATGGTAATAAATGTTCAACATAGACAAACCTTGTATAAAATATGTTGAGTTTGTACCTTTGAAACCATGTCAGATCTTCAACATTATATCCACTGTCAGAAGAAAAGTAATTGATACACTGCCGATTTTGCAGGTTTTCCTACTTAAAAAGCATGTAGAGGTCTGTAATTTTTATCATAGGTACACTTCAACTGTGAGAGACGGAATCTAAAACAAAAATCACATTGTATGATTTTTAAGTAATTAATTTGCATTTTATTGCATGACATAAGTATTTGATCACCTACCAACCAGTAAGAATTCCGGCTCTCACAGACCTGTTCGTTTTTCTTTAAGAAGCCCTCCTGTTCTCCACTCATTACCTGTATTAACTGCACCTGTTTGAACTTGTTACCTGAATAAAAGACACCTGTCCACACACTCAATCAAACAGACTCCAACCTCTCCACAATGGCCAAGACCAGAGAGCTGTGTAAGGACATCAGGGATAAAATTGTAGACCTGCACAAGGCTGGAATAGGCTACAGGACAATAGGCTTGGTGAGAAGGCAACAACTGTTGGCGCAATTATTAGAAAATGGAAGAAGTTCAAGATGACGGTCAATCACCCTCGGTCTTGGGCTCCATGCAAGATCTCACCTTGTGGGGCATCAATGATCATGAGGAAGGTGAGGGATCAGCCCAGAACTACACAGCAGGACCTGGTCAATGACCTGAAGAGAGCTGGGACCACAGTCTCAAAGAAAACCATTAGTAACACACTACGCAGTCATGGATTAAAATCCTGCAGCGCACGCAAGGTCCCCCTGCTCAAGCCAGCGCATGTCCAGGCCCGTCTGAAGTTTGCTAATGACCATCTGGATGATCCAGAGGAGGAATGGGAGAAGGTCATATGGTCTGATGAGACAAAAATAGAGCTTTTTGGTCTAAACTCCACTCGCCGTGTTTGGAGGAAGAAGAAGGATGAGTACAACCCCAAGAACACCATCCCAACCGTGAAGCATAGAGGTGGAAACATCATTCTTTGGGGATGCTTTTCTGCAAAGGGGACAGGACGACTGCACCGTATTGAGGGGAGGATGGATGGGGCCATGTATCGCGAGATCTTGGCCAACAACCTCCTTCCCTCAGTAAGAGCATTGAAGATGGGTCGTGGCTGGGTCTTCCAGCATGACAACGACCCGAAACACACAGCCAGGGCAACTAAGGAGTGGCTCCGTAAGAAGCATCTCAAGGTCCTGGAGTGGCCTAGCCAGTCTCCAGACCTGAACCCAATAGAACATCTTTGGAGGGAGCTGAAAGGCCGTATTGCCCAGCGACAGCCCCGAAACCTGAAGGATCTGGAGAAGGTCTGTATGGAGGAGTGGGCCAAAATCCCTGCTGCAGTGTGTGCAAACCTGGTCAAGACCTACAGGAAACGTATTATCTCTGTAATTGCAAACAAAGGTTTCTGTACCAAGTTCTGCTTTTCTGATGTATCAAATACTTATGTCATGCAATAAAATACAAATTAATTACTTAAAAATCATACAATGTGATATTCCGGATTTTTTTTTTAGATTCTGTCTCTCACAGTTGAAGTGTACCTATGATAAAAATTACAGACCTCTACATGCTTTGTAAGTAGGAAAACCTGCAAAATCGGCAGTGTATCAAATACTTGTTCTTCCCACTGTATATGCTGCGCAGCACCTCCTACTGGAAAGTTGATCTATCTATAGCTATCCGTTTGGTCTCCCATCAAGGGTTTTAACCAAGCCCTGCTTAACTTTGATTTGTCACAAACTACTACCAATGTGCTATCACGAGAATTATTAGAGAGATCTCTTAATAATTAAATAGATTCACTGTTGTTGTCAAATTCATTCAAAAGGGTAGGTTTAACAGAGAAAATGTTAAAGAATAGGACTAAATAATATCAAACGTTATTTAAAAGTGCATTTAAAGTTTGATTTGATTTGACCTATTCTTTAAAGGAGATTCTCCAGTACTTTTGTATACTTTTTAGCCAATAGTTCTGAAAGTAGCACTCACGAGCCAAAAGTGGTCTTCGGATATTGTGTACTACGTCACATGTGCAGATATGTGCACCACATCATTGCTCTCTCTCTCTCTGCTGTGTGTGCATCTTGCTAGCTGTCACTCAAATGGCGAGGGGCTGAAGCTCATAACTCAAACACTGTTTGCAAAAAGACCGTTCAATGCAGCGTGTAGTGGAATAGGCCTAGACTAGGCTATATTTAAGCAATAAGGCCCGAGGGGGTGTGGTATATGGCTAATATACCACGGCTAAGGGCTGTTCTTATGCACAATGCAATGCCGAGTGCCTGGGTACAGACCTTAGCCATGGTATATTGGCCATATAGCCCCCAAGATTCCTTATTGCTATTATAAGTTCCCTTGGAGAGTTCATCAATGAGCTTGACGCCTTGATATGTTCCTTTCCTGAGGATGGCTCACCCCTCACAGTTCTGGGTGACTTTAACCTCCCTACGTCTGCCTTTGACTCATTTCTCTCTGCCTCCTTCTTTCATCTCCTTTCCTCTTTTGACCACCCTCACACCGTCCCCCCCCCCTACTCACAAGGCAGGCAATACGCTTGACCTCATCTTTACTAGATGCTGTTCTTCTACTAATCTCAATGCAACCCCTCCAAGTCTCCGACCACTACTTTGTATCATTTTCTCTCTCGCTCTCCTCCAACACTACTCACTCTGCCCCTACTCAGATGGTAATGTGCCGTCGCAACCTTCGCTCTCTCTCTCCCGCTACTCTCTCCTCTTCCCTCTGCTAAATCCTTCTACTTCCACTTCCAATCTCCTGATTCTGCCTCCTCAACCCTCCTCTCTGAATCTTTTGACTCTCTATGTCCCCTATCCTCCCGGGCCGGCTCGGTCCTCCCCTCCTGCTACGTGGCTTGACGATTCATTGCGTGCTCACAGAACAGGGCTCCGGGCAGCCGAGCGGAAATGGAGGAAAACTAAACTCCCTGCGGACCTGTCATCTTTCCACTCCCTCCTCTCTACATTCTCTTCCTCCGTTTCTGCTGCTAAAGCCACTTTCTACCACTCTAAATTTCAAGCCTCTGCCTCTAACCCTAGGAAGCTCTTTGCCACCTTCTCCTCCCTGCTGAATCCTCCTCCTCCTCCTCCCCCTCCCTCCTCCCTCCTCCCCCTCTGTGGATGACCATTTTGAAAAGAAGGTTGACGACATCCGATCCTCATTTATTAAGTCAAATGACACCGCTGGTCCTGCTCACACTGCCCTACCCTATGCTTTTGACTTCTTTCTCCCCTCTCTCTCGAGATGAAATCTTGTGACTTGTGATGGCGGCCGCCCAACAACCTGCCCGCTTGACCCTATCCCCTCCTCTCTTCTCCAGACCATTTCCGGAGACCTTTCCCTTACCTCACCTCGCTCATCAACTCATCCTTGTCCACTGGCTATGTCCCTTCCATCTTCAAGAAAGCGAGAGTTGCACCCCTCCTCAAAAAGCTACAATCGATCCCTCCGATGTCAACAACTACTGTCCAGTATCCCTTCTTTCTTTTCTCTCCAAAACTCTTGAGCGTGCCGTCTATAGCCTAATATAGCCAACTCTCCTGCTATCTCTCTCAGAATAACCTTCTTGATCCAAACCAGTCAGGTTTCAAGACTGGTCATTCAACTGAGACTGCTCTTCTCTGTGTCACGGAGGCTCTCCGCACTGCTATAGCTAACTCTCTCTCCTCTGCTCTCATCCTTCTAGACCTATCTGCTGCCTTTGATACTGTGAACCATCAGATCCTCCTCTCCACCCTCGCCGAGTTGGGCATCTCCGGCGCGGCTCACTCTTGGATTGCGTCCTACCTGACAGGTCGCTCCTACCAGGTGGCGTGGCGAGAATCTGTCTCCGCACCACGTGCTCTCTCCACTGGTGCTCAGTTCTAGGCCCTCTCCTATTCTCTCCAGGTGGCTCTGTCATATCCTCACATGGTCCCTCCTATCATTGCTACACAGATGACACACAATTCATCTTCTCCTTTCCCCCTTCTGGTAACCAGGTGGCGTATCGCATCTCTTCATGTCTGGCAGACATATCAGTGTGGATGTCGGATCACCACCTCAAGCTGAACCTCGGCAAGACGGAGCTGCTCTTCCTCCCGGGGAAGGACTGCCCGCGCCATGATCTCGCCATCACGGTTGACAACTCCGTTGTGTCCTCCCAGATTGCAAAGAACCTTGGCGTGACCCTGGACAACACCCGGTCGTTCTCCGCTAACATCAAAGCGGTGACCCGATCCTGTAGGTTCATGCTCTACAACATTCGCAGAGTACGACCCTACCTTACACAGGAAGCGGCACAGGTCCTAATCCAGGCACTTGTCATCTCCCGTCTGGATTACTGCAACTTGCTGTTTGCTGGGTTCCCTGCCTGTGCCATTAAATCCCTACAACTCATCCAGAACGCTGCAGCCCATCTGGTGTTCAACCTTCCCAAGTTCTCTCACGTCACCCCGCTCCTCCGCACACTCCACTGGCTTACAGTTGAAGCTCGCATCTGCTACAAGACCATGGTGCTTGCCTACGGAGCTGTGAGGGGAACGGCACCTCCTTACCTTCAGGCTCGGATCAGTCCCTACACCCAAACGGTTCTTCCACCTCTGGCCTGCTGGCCCAGTCAAAACTGTTCGCTGCTCTGGCACCCAAATGGTGGCAAATTTTAAATATACTCTAAAAATAAAAATAAATAGAAAAATAAAAAATTATAAAGTGGTTGTCCCACTAGCTATCATAAGGTGAATGCACCAATTTGTAAGTCGCTAAGGATAAGAGCGTCTGCTAAATGACGTAAATGTAAATGTTAATAAACTGGTTACCAACGTAATTAGAGCAGCAAAAATACATGTTTTGTCATACCAGTGGTATATACCACGGCTGTCAGCCAATCAGCATTCAGGGCTCGAACCACCCAGTTTATAATAGATACATTTCTTACCCTTTCTTTTCACAGGAAAAATGTGGCCTTTTATAAAAACATTTCATGCAATTCTACTATACTTTATATGACTGGAAACATTTGCATAATCTTTTATAATACAACAAAAATTACAGGGTGGCCTATACTTTGCTAACTGACAAACAGATCAATAAAAATGACGTTGTCTGCAACGATCTAATAGGCCAACAAAAAGGGGAGACACAAATATTGTCCAAAATATTGCCATATGCCTGGCTTGGCCTCTCGTTCAGACATTCGCAACTCAACAATCATCTACAGTTGAAGTCGGAAGTTTACATACATCTTAGCCAAATACATTTAAACTCAGTTTTCACAATTCCTGACATTTAATCCTAGTAAAAATTCCCTATCTTAGGTCAGTTAGGATCACCACTTTATTTTAAGAATGTGAAATGTCATAATAATAGTAGAGAGAATGATTTATTTCAGCTTTTATTTAATACATAATATTCCCAGTGGGTCAGAAGTTTACATAAACTCAATTTGATATTTGGTAGCATTGCCTTTAAATTGCTTAACTTGGGTCAAACGTTTCGGGTAGCCTTCCACAAGCTTCCCACAATAAGTTGGGTGAATTTTGGCCCATTCCTCCTGACAGAGCTGGTGTAACTGAGTCAGGTTTGTAGGCCTCCTTGCTCGCACACGCTTTTTCAGTTCTGCCCACAAATGTTTTATAGGATTGAGGTCAGGGCTTTGTGATGGCCACTCCAATACCTTGACTTTGTTGTCCTTAAACCATTTTGCCACAACTTTGGAAGTATGCTTGGGGTCATTGTCCATTTGGAAGACCCATTTGCGACCAAGCTTTAACTTCCTGACTGATGTCTTGAGATGTTGCTTCAATATATCCACATAATTTTCCTTCCTCATGATGCCATGTATTTTGTGAAGTGCACCAGTCCCTCCTGCAGCAAAGCACCCCCACAGCATGATGCTGCCACCCCCGTGCTTCACGGTTGGGATGGTGTTCTTCAGCCTTTTTCCTCCAAACATAACGACAGTCATTATGGCCAAACAGTTATATTTTTGTTTCATCAGACCAGAGGACATTTCTCCAAAAAGTATGATCTTTGTCCCCATGTGCAGTTGCAAACTGTAGTCTGGCTTTATTATGGCAGTTTTGGAGCAGTGGCTTCTTCCTTGCTGAGCGGCCTTTCAGGTTATGTCGATATAGGACTCGTTTTACTGTAGATACTTTTGTACCTGTTTCCTCCAGCATCTTCACAAGGTCCTTTGCTGTTGTTCTGGGATTGATTTGCACTTTTCGCACCAAAGTACGTTCATTTCTAGGAGACAGAATGCATCTCCTTCCTGAGCGGTATGACGGCTGCGTGGTACCATGGTGTTTATACTTGCGTACTATTGTTTGTACAGATGAACGTGGTACCTTCAGGCATTTGGAAATTGCTCCCAAGGATGAACCAGACTTGTGGAGGTCTACAATTTTTTTCGGAGGTGTTGGCTGATTTTCCCATGATGTCAAGCAAAGAGGCACTGAGTTTGAAGATATCCCTTGAAATACATCCACAGGTACACCTCCAATTGACTCAAATGATGTCAATTAGCCTATCAGAAGCTTCTAAAGCCATGACATCATTTTCTGGAATTTTCCAAGCTGTTTAAAGGCACAGTCAACTTAGTGTATGTACATTTCTGACCCACTGGAATTGTGTTACAGTGAATTATAAGTGAAATAATCTGTCTGTAAACAATTGTTGGAAAAATTACTTGTGTCATGCACAAAGTAGATGTCCTAACCGACTTGCCAAAACTATAGTTTGTTAACAAGAAATTTGTGGAGTGGTTGAAAAACGAGTTTTAATGACTCCAACCTAAGCGTATGTAAACTTCCGACTTCAACTGTATTTGTTATTTGCCACACATGCTGCCCAAATTGCAGGCCCTTCCGACAGGCTATGCGATTGAAAACAATCCACGTTTTTGAAGAAGCTAATGATCCTCCGATCCTCCAAATCATGCTTTCTGGTGTAGTAGCCTATTTTGAATGATTGTAAGTATTTCTGTATAGACAGGAGTAGGCTAATTAAGCGATATAATTTTGGCAATTTAATTCAATTTACTTTATGGATGCGCCGCCTATGCCCCAGTGGGATGCCAGGTGAAGAGTTTCATTGGGTGGTACCAAAAGGAGGGACATTACACAGTGAGGAGTGCATGTGTATAAACATATTACAAACCATGAAATATTGTATAACGATTCCAATAGAACTACTTAGAAATCGCATTAATCTTTAATGAGGGTGGTGCCTTTTAAGTTCCTTTCCTCACCCTCCCCTTAAGTCCAGGATGGATGTATATATAGCAGCATGTTTTTTTAGCTCTGCATATTATTCACCTTGTGATTATTATGCAGAGGCAGTAATTAGCAGCCTGTGATTGATCCCAGCGATTAATCACAACCTGCATTGGAAATGGCACCCTATCCCCTATATAGTACACTACTTTTGTCAAGAGCAAAATTACTGCATTATATAGGGAATAAGGTGCCATTGCAGACACAATTATGTCCCATCCCATCTCTGAATCTGTCTCAAGTGTGGCTGTGATGATGGTGACTCACCGATGATGTAGCGGCGGTCATCGGCTATGAGTGTCTTGCTGTGTACGTAGATGAGCTCTGTGACCAGGGACTGGGAGAGCTGGGAATGCGTGCGCAGGCCACACAGGGTGATGTACTTGCTCCACTGGTCCTCAACTGGGGGGAGGGGGTAGAGAGACACACTGGTTGGTTGGCACACTGGCATAGAGCTAATTCCAATGAAAAAACTAACGCTAAGGAAACGGGAGCACAAATTAAACATGAGAAGACATATGGACGTTATAGGAAAACAGGATGAACTGATGAAGTATGAGGAGAATGGAGAACTATACTATAGTAAGTATAGATAGTAAAGGCAGATACTTTTAGTGTATGTGGTCACCTCTTCAAATTTGTGGATTCGGCTATTTCATTCATTAGTGGATTCGTTGCTGACAGGTGTATAAAATCGAGCACACAGCCATGCAATCTCCATAAACAAACATTGGCAGTAGAATGGCCCATACTGAAGAGCTCAGTGACTTTCAACGTGGCACCGTCATAGGATGCCACCTTTTCGTCAAATTTCTACCCTGCTAGAGCTGCCCCAGTCAACTGTATGTGCTGTTAATGTGAAGTGGAAACGTCTAGGCATAACAATGGCTCAGCCGCGAAGTGGTAGGCCACACAAGCTCACAGAACGGGACCGCCAAGTGCTGAAGCGTGTAAAAATCGTTTGTCCTCAGTTGCAACACTCACTACTGAGTTCCAAACTGCCTCTGGAAGCAACAAGAACTGTTCGTCGGGAGCTTCATGAAATGGGTTTCCATGGCCGAGCAGCCGCACACAAGCCTAAGATCACCATGCACAATGCCAAGCGTCGGCTGTAGTGGTGTAAAGCTCGCAGCCATTGGACTCTGCAGGAGTGGAAAGCAAGTCACCTGGGGTGGTGAATCACGCTTCACCATCTGGCAATGCGACGGATGAATCTGGGTTTGGCGGATGCCAGGAAAACGCTACCTGCCCAAATGCATAGTGCCAACTGTAAAGTTTGGTGGAGGAGGAATAATGTCTGGGGCTGTTTTTCATGGTTCGGGCTAGGCCCCTTAGTTCCAGTGAAGGGAAATCTTAACGCTACAGCATACAATGACATTCCCAGAACAGCGCCGGAGAAGATGGCTGCCGTTTTACAGCCCTCTAACCAATTGTACTATTATGTGTGTTTTTCTGCGTTATTTGTAATTTATTTTGTACATAATGTTTCTGCCATCGTCTCTTATAACCAAAAAGAGCTTCTGGATATCAGGACAGCGATTACTCACCTCGTAATGGACGAAGATTTTTTCTTCAACGAGGCGGCCGCGAAGGATATCATACAGACACCCGACAAGGCCCAAATCTCCGTCATTCGCGTGAGGAAGAGACGGAGATATCGCGGACGAAGATCGGGGTGCCTTGTAAGGATCCGACGGCGAGCGAGTAAACTGCCTCTTCCATCAATCCTATTAGCCAACGTTCAATCTTTTGAAAATAAAGTGGACGATTTAAGATTACGGTTATCCTACCAACGGGACATTAAAAACTGTAATATCTTATGTTTCACGGAGTCGTGGCTGAACGACAACAATGATAACATTCAGCTAGCGGGCTATACGCTACATCGGCAGGACAGAACGGCCGACTCCGGTAAGACAAGGGGTGGCGGTCTGTGTATATTTGTAAACAACAGCTGGTGCACAAAATCAAATACTAAGGAAGTCTCTAGGTTTTGCTCGCCTGAGGTAGAGTATCTTATGATAAGCTGTAGACCACACTATTTACCAAGAGAGTTTTCATCTATATTTTTCATGGCTGTCTATTTACCACCACAAACCAAGGCTGGCATTAAGATTGCACTGAATGAGTTGTACAAGGCCATTAATCAACAGGAAAACGCTCATCCAGATGCAGCGCTCCTAGTGGCCGGGGACTTTAATGCAGGGAAACTTAAATCCGTTCTACCTCATTTCTACCAGCATGTTAAATGTGCAACCAGAGGGAAAAAAACTCTAGACCACCTTTACTCCACACACAGAGACGCATACAAAGCTCTCCCTCGCCCTCCATTTGGCAAATCTGACCATAACTCTATCCTCCTGATTCCTGCTTATAAGCAAAAACTAAAGCAGGAAGCACCAGTGACTCGGTTAATAAAAAAGGGGTCAGATGACGCAGATGCTAAGCTACAGGACTGTTTTGCTAGCACAGACTGGAACATGTTCCGGGATTCTTCAGACAGCATTGAGGAGTACACCACATCAGTCACTGGCTTCATCAATAAGTGCATCGATGATGTCGTCCCCACAGTGACCGTACGTACATACCCCAACCAGAAGCCATGGATTACAGGAAACATCCGCACTGAGCTAAAGGGTAGAGCTGCCGCTTTCAAGGAACGGGACTCTAACCCGGACGCTTATAAGAAATCCCGCTATGACCTCCGACGAACCATCAAACAGGCAAAGAGTCAATACAGGTCTAAGATTGAATCATACTACACTGGCTCTGACGCTCGTCGGATGTGGCAGGGCTTGAAAACTATTACAGACTACAAAAGGGAAGCACAGCCGCGAGCTGCCCAGTGACACAAGCCTACCAGACGAGCTAAACCACTTCTATGCTCGCTTCGAGGCAAGCAACACTGAAGCATGCATGAGAGCACCAGCTGTTCCGGATGACTATGTGATCACGCTCTCCGTAGCCGATGTGAGTAAGACTTTTAAGCAGGTCAACATTCACAAGGCCGCAGGGCCAGACGGATTACCAGGACGTGTACTCCGAGCATGTGCTGACCAACTGGCAAGTGTCTTCACTGACATTTTCAACATGTCCCTGACTGAGTCTGTAATACCAACATGTTTCAAGCAGACCACCATAGTCCCCGTGCCCAAGGACTCTAAGATAACCTGCCTAAATGACTACCGACCCGTAGCACTGACGTCTGTAGCCATGAAGTGCTTTGAAAGGCTGGTCATGGCTCACATCAACAGCATTATCCCAGAAACCCTAGACCCACTCCAATTTGCATACCGCCCCAACAGATCCACAGATGATGCAATCTCTATCGCACTCCACACTGCCCTTTCCCACCTGGACAAGAGGAACACCTACGTGAGAATGCTATTCATTGACTACAGCTCAGCATTCAACACCATAGTGCCCTCTAAGCTCATCACTAAGCTAAGGATCCTGGGACTAAACACCTCCCTCTGCAACTGGATCCTGGACTTCCTGACGGGCCGCCCCCAGGTGGTAAGGGTAGGTAACAACACATCTGCCACACTGATCCTCAACACGGGGGCCCCTCAGGGGTGCGTGCTCAGTCCCCTCCTGTACTCTCTGTTCACCCATGACTGCATGGCCAGGCACGACTCCAACACCATCATTAAGTTTGCCGACGACACAACAGTGGTAGGCCTGATCACCGACAACGATGAGACAGCCTATAGGGAGGAGGTCAGAGATCTGGCCGTGTAGTGCCAGGACAACAACCTCTCCCTCAACGTGACCAAGACAAAGGAGATGATTGTGGACTACAGGAAAAAAAAGAGGACTGAGCACGCCCCCATTCTCATCGACGGGGCTGTAGTGGAACAGGTTGAAAGCTTCAAGTTCCTTGGTGTCCACATCACCAACAAACTATCATGGTCCAAACACACCAAGACAGTCGTGAAGAGGGCACGACAAAGCCTATTCCCCCTCAGGAGACTAAAAAGATTTGGCATGGGTCCTCAGATCCTCAAAAAATTATACAGCTGCACCATCGAGAGCATCCTGACTGGTTGCATCACCGCCTGGTATGGCAACTGCTTGGCCTCCGACCGCAAGGCACTACAGAGGGTAGTGCGTACGGCCCAGTACATCACTGGGGCAAAGCTTCCTGCCATCCAGGACCTCTATACCAGGCGGTGTCAGAGGAAGGCCCTCAAAATTGTCAAAGACTCCAGCCACCCTAGTCATAGACTGTTCTCTCTGCTACCGCACGGCAAGCGGTACCGGAGTGCCAAGTCTAGGTCCAAAAGACTTCTCAACAGCTTCTACCCCCAAGCCATAAGACTCCTGAACAGCTAATCATGGCTACCCGGACTATTTGCACTGCCCCCCCACCCCATCCTTTTTACGCTGCTGCTACTCTGTTAAGTATTTATGCATAGTCACTTTAACTCTACCCACATGTACATATTACCTCAACTACCTCAACTAGCCGGTGCCCCCGCACATTGACTCTGCAACGGTACCCCCCTGTATATATAGCCTCCCTACTGTCACTTTATTTGACTTCTGCTCTTTTTTTTCTCAACACTTTTTTTTGTTGTTGTTTTATTCTTACTTTTTTTGTTTAAAATAAATGCACTGTTGGTTAAGGGCTGTAAGTAAGCATTTCACTGTAATGTCTGCACCTGTTGTATTCGGCGCATGTGACCAATAAAATTTGATTTGATTTGATTTGATTCTAGATGATTCTGTGCTTCCAACTTTGTGGCAACAGTTTGGGGAAGACCCTTTCCTGTTTCAGCATGACAATGCCCCCGTGCACAAAGGTCCATACAGAAATGGTTTGTCGAGATCAGTGTGGAAGAACTTGACTGGCCTGCACAGAGCCCTGACCTAAACACCATCAAACACCTTTGGGATGAATTGGAACGCCGACTGCGTGCCCAACATTAGTGCCGACCTCACTAATGCTCTTGTAGCTGAATGGAAGCAAGTCCCCGCAGCAATGTTCCAACATCTAGTGGAAAGCTTTCCCAGAAGAGTGGAGGCTGTTATCCTCTGTAGCTCAATTGGTAGAGCATGGCGCTTGTAACGCCAGGGTAGTGGGTTCGATCCCCGGGACCACCCATACGTAAAAATTTATGCACACATGACTGTAAGTCGCTTTGGATAAAAGCGTCTGCTAAATGGCATATTATTATAGCAGCAAAAGGGGAACCAACTCCATATTAATGCCCATGATTTTGGAATGAGATGTTCGACGAACGCAGGTGTCCACATACTTTTGGCCATACTTTTAGTGTACCTAGGATGAGCCTTCAGTTAGCGGGAGGATAAGCCAAACATAAGAGAAAATGACAAGCAGAAATGTTATCAGAGATGAGACAAACGGACGGGCAGTGATGCCAGATATTAGGTTGAATTGGAAAGAAAACTCACGTTCTCGCAGTCTCATCAGTATGGAGTACTCTCCACGGCACATGGTCCTGTGACAAATACATATAACTTATAGCATCAAATCAACAACAATCTTAGTTGTTGTCTAAAAAACAAATCACAACAAAATGTATGTTTTAACATCATATAAGTGATTGTGTCTTAGTGTCTATGCAGCAAACCAAAATTGGTTCTGTGAAAGTTCCTAGAACATTCGTTAGGTCTCGGCAATGTTATCATAACGCAGAACTGATGACTATAGAATGTTTGTGTAAAACATTCGCCTGATGTTGCAAGAACGTTCCTAGAACACATTTAATCTGTTCTTTAAAAAGGTTCCCAGAATGTTTCATTAGGTTTTGGGAACAGTCTGGTGAAAACATTGTGGGGACATCACAAAATATATGTTACCAAAACACAAAAACGTTCCAGTTGTGCGGTTGATTCTACAATGTTTATTTTAGGGTGCAAAAAGCATTCACCTGATGTTGCAAGAACATTCCTAGAACACATTTCATCTGTTCTTTAAAAGGTTCCCAGAATGTTTCTTTAGGTTGTGGGAACATTGTGGGAATATGACAAGAGATAGGTTCCCAAAACACTAAAACTGTCCAGTTGTGCTGACATTCAGATAATGTTTGTATCAGGGTGCACAAAACATTCCTCTGTTGTTGCAAGAATGTTGACAGAACAGCCGTTCTGAGTTCTTTAAAAGGTTCCCAGAACGTTTAATTAGGTTGTGGGAACAGTGTGGGTACATTACAAGAGATACATTCCCAAAACACAAAATATGCTCAGTTGTGAGGACCTTCATACAATGTTTAAATTAGGTTGCACAGGAAATTCCTAGAATGTTCTAAGAATGTTGACAGAACACCTGGACTAAGTTCTTAAAGTTTTAATGAAGTTATGGGAGTTGTCTGGGATGTTGCACAGAACATTCCCACAATGTTCCAAAATGTTCTACAATTTCCAAATAAGTATGTTTTTATGACATTCATATCATATTTATTTTAGGTTAAAAAAAATATTTCATTGATGTTCATGCAATATACATTTTACCTCTTGGAGGTCCTCAGGACATTTCAAGAACATTTAGAAAATGTTATATTTAAGTTTTACCTAATATTACCACATCACTCAGCATACAAATGTGTAGCTCCTTAAAGCATAAGAAAACCGATTGGATTACATCCCCATTATGTTTCTCCAGATGTAATGGCAATTCGCATTTGAGAGCTGTACTGTAGGTGATATAGAGACACATGAGATGTTATTTTCATTCATAGGACATTTGAACATTATTTAATCATTCAAACACAACCATATTTTTAGCATGATAAAAAAATCCCCATACAAATCTGTCAGTTTAAGCTAGAGATATGTTTTTTTGCATTGGATGCATCTCAATCCACCACATCCGCCTATGTCGCACTTCCGCATCTGCGGTGAATGGTGACAGAGCTACAGTGGTGTTTGTCAGACCATGAGACATCTCGAAAGTCGCTCTTCTCACAAAATCGTCTGTAGCGTCCGAACAGTTATTACCCCTTTATGGAAAGATTAGACTCTCACGAACACGTCGGTTGTTTTGCTCTAGGACGCCCACATGCCTCACAAGACTCAACTAAAGGTCCCCCGGTACCAGTAGAAAACATTTATGAAAGCATATATTGAGACTGTTTAGTGCCAAATATAAGTGGTTAAATACATGTAAAAATACAGTGAGGGAAAAAAGTGAAATGCTTTGAAAGGCTCACATCAACACCAACATTCCAGACACCCTGGACCCACTTCAATTCACATACCATCCCAACTGATCCACAGTCTACGCAATCGTGAACACAGTCGTGAACAGGGCACGAAAACACCTCTTCCCCCTCAGGAGGCTGAAAAGATTAGTTCTACAGCTGCATCACCGCTTGGTATGGCAACTGCTTGGCATCCGACCGCAAGGCGCTACAGAGGGTAGTGTGTACGGCCCAGTACATCACTCGGGTCGAGCTCCCTGATATCCAGGACCTCTATACCAGGCGGTGTCAGAGGAAGGCCCTAAAGATTGTCAAAGACTCCAGCCACCCAAGTAATAGACTGTTCTCTCTGCTACTGCACGGCATTGATGCACCAAGTCCGGAACCAACAGGACCCTGGCTGCTAAATAGTTAGTTAAATAGTTACCCGGACTATCTGCATTGACCCTTTTTGCACAAATTTTTTCTTGACTCATCACATACGCTGCTGCTATTATATATTATCTATATGTACATATTTACCTCAATTACCTCGTAGCACTGCACATTGACTAAGTTATCCTTACTCATTGTGTATTTATCATTATTATTATTATTATTATTATTATTATGTTATTACTTTCCTATTATTTATCTATTTTCTTTCTCTCTGCATTGTTACACCTGTTGTTTACGAAGCATGCGATGAATAAAATGTGATTTGATCTGCACATGTGGAGTTTGAACCTCACACTGAAATTGAGACTCAGATATACTCTACTAAAATAGATTTATAAATCCAGTCAGCATTGCAGAATTTAGACTAACTGTAAAAAATAAAAATAAAATACAGTGTAAATATATACTGTTTACCTTTAAGAAATGCACCCAATATAATTCCTAGATTGAGAGGCTTGATATTGCCCCTTCCAGTTTTATTCTTCATTATCTGAAAAGCAAAAGTGATCCTAGATCAACACTCTAAGTCTTGGATACCTTGTAAATATGGGCCCAGAAGTACACAGCATATACAGTGGGGAGAACAAGTACCTGGTCAAGACCTACAGGAAACGTATGATCTCTGTAATTGCAAACAAAGGTTTCTGTACCAAATATTAAGTTCTGCTTTTCTGATGTATCAAATACTTATGTCATGCAATAAAATGCAAATTAATTACTTAAAAATCATACAATGTGATTTTCTGGATTTTTGTTTTAGATTCCGTCTCTCACAGTTGAAGTGTACCTATGATAAAAATTACAGACCTCTACATGCTCTGTAAGTAGGAAAACCTGCAAAATCGGCAGTGTATCAAATACTTGTTCTCCCCACTGTAACAAGGATGGGTGAAGTGATGGTGAATAACCCAGTTACCAGTATTTCCCTGTCTAAGAAGGCTCAAAAGGAAGCATGGAATTCCTGATTGCCATGGCTATATACTGAAAAAAATAATTTTGAAGAGAACTTCCCTGGTGGCGGAGAGGATAAAAGACCTGCCTTGGGAATCAAACATGTGCAGATTGTCAACATATAAAGTGTAAAACATATCGTTGTTAGTATGACTGAATGCTGTTCAAATGTCCTATGAATGAAATATTTTTTTTTGTCTATCACCATGTAGTGGTGCGTGGGTAGCTGTGCGTGGGTAAAATCACTGGGAAGCCAAGCCCCCCCCCCAAAAAAAAGCCATATTACAACCTATGTGTTGTGATAATTGCGTTGTTTGCTCTATAACCTGTTAATTCATATGCCTTGCAACCGTGACCTCAAGGCCTAGACAATAAGAAGACACTGTGGCAGAATTCAACCACACCTTTGTTTTAACACAAAACCTCACTGGGGCCAAGCTTCCTGCCATCCAGGACCTATATACTAGGCGGTGTCAGATGAAGGCCCAAAAAATTGTCAAAGACTCCAGTCACCCAAGTCATAGACTGTTCTCTCTGCTATCGCACGGAAGCGGTACCGGAGCGCCAAGTCTAGGACCAAAAGACTCCTTAACAACTTCTACCCCCAAGCCTTAAGACTGCTGAACAATTAAACAAATGCCCACCCGGACTATTTACATTGACACCCCCCACCCCCTTCATTTGTTTTTACACTGCTGCTACTCACTGTTTATTATCAATGCATAGTCACTTTACCCCTACCTACATGTACAAATTACCTCGACTAACCTGTACCCTTGCACATTGACTTGGTACCGGTACCCCGTGTATAGCCTCGTTGTTATTTTGTGTAACTCTGTATTATTTTTTACCTTCCTTTATTTAGTAAATATTTTCTTAACTCTTTCTTGAACTGCATTGTTGGTTAAGGGCTTGTAAGTAAGCATTTCACGGTAAGGTCTACACCTGTTGTATTCGGCGCATGTGACAAATAAAATTTGATTTGATTTGAAAGGGCCAATTTTAGCTAGCTGGCTAGCTAGCCACCGGAGGACAACAACACAATGAAATGCAACAATTCAAGTTTTTCTGTCAATGACGTATGCTCTCAATGGGATTTGACAGGAGTGACGGCAAATCCAAGCTGGCTTCCCTTTATACTTTTTTGGTGCGCCAGGACCGTTCACAGTTGAGCTCGCTCAGTTTAGCTCAACGCTGATTGGCTCATTTTCTTAGACGTTTTTTGTCATGGGAGGCCAGATGCTCGCTGGCTTCCCTTGCCTTCAACGCTACAGGTGGCAACAATGTCATACTTGTTTGGACCAGACAGCATCAGATAGATGGTCTACACAGAGAAACAGAGGGGCGCTGCTTCGCTGGCTTGGACGCTTTCTCTTGTGAGATACATTCAGCCTCTTGCAAATTTAAGGAAAATTATGAAACACAGATAGACGGAAGATAAATGTTTTTTTCTTGGTGAATTTTTTTGGGAAGCCTGGCTTCCCTTGGCATCCATGAATACACACCACTGCCTACAATACAGTCCTCAAATGCGAATTGCCATAAAATCTGGAGAGAAACATAATGGGGATGTATTCCAATCTGCTTTAAGTAGCAACACATTTGTATGCTGAGAATGCTGTGGTAATATTAGGTAAAACTTTAAAATATAATTTTCTAAATGTTCTTGAAATGTTCTGAGGACCTCCAAGACAAGGTAAAATGTATATTGTGTGAACAATACAATATTATGTTAAACCTTAAACAAATATGCTATGAACGTCTTAAAAATTGACATTTGGAAATTGTGGAACATTGTGGAACATTGTGGGAATGTTCTGTGCAACCTTCGTGAAAATCAAATGAATATTCTTGCAACATCCCAGACAACTTAATGACATTTTCTGGGAACCTTCAAAGAACTTAGACCAGGTGTTCTGTCAACATTCTTACAACATTAAGGGAATGTCCTGTGCACCCTAAAATAAACATTGTATAATCATCCGCACAACTGGACAGTTTTTTGTGTTTTGGGAACATATCTTTTGTGATGTCCCCACAATGTTCGCACCAGACTGTTCCCACAACCTAATGAAACATTCTGGTAACCTTGTATGTGTGCCATCACCCTCTGAATGGCACACATACACAATCCATGTCTCAATTGTCTCAAGGCTTAAAAATCCTTCTTTAATCTGTCTCCTCCCCGTCATCTACACTGATTGAAGTGGATTTAACAAGTAACAGCAATAAGGGATCATAGCTTTCACCTGGATTCACCTGGCCAGTCTGTCATGGAAAGAGCAGGTGTTCCTAATGTTTTGTACACTCAGTGTATAATCTTCAGCACAACTGGACAGTTTTGGTCTAATGAGAACATTTGCCGCAACCTAACGAATGTTCCGGGAACATTTTGGTTTGCTGGGAAAACATGACTGGTACATTGTGTTATTACATTACCTGGAAACCTAATGACAACTTTTAGGGAATGTTCTGTGGTGGTTGTTACGGATGTTGTGATAAAACCCTAACTAGAACTTGGGAATCTTAGCTAATGTTCGGGGAATGTTCCCAGTTTGCTGGGTACAGTGTGTGTGTGCGTGCATGTGTGTGAAGGCCCATAAGGGAGGGTTCTGACCTGTAAGTGAAGTGTAGTATAGCTTGGATGGCATTCCCACCCCCCTCACGGATGTCTCCTTCAAACCCAGGCAGCAGGGGCACCACCACAAACACCCTGTACTTCTTCTGCTCACTGCGGAACAGCAAGAGAGTTAGGGAATGGGGTAGCAGAGGAGAGAGAGTTATATAGAGAGAAACTATTGTCAACAATGTTTTTGTAACATAAACAATATTGAATCATGATAATTTAACTTGACTTATCGATACAGATAATCAACTGACAAACATGTATAAAACATGTATAAACCAGTCCAGTAATATCATGTTATACAGTAAACCAAGCTGTGTGTTGACAGATTAAACACAGAGAGACATGGTGGTAGAACCACACCTGTGTGCACGTAGGATCCTCTTCACGATCGCGTCACCAATGCCATTGTGCACATTCTTCCCGTCAGCACAGCTGATGAAGAACTGGTTCTGAGAGCAGAGAGGTAGAGAGAGGGACAGATGGAATCTCTGTCAGAGCCATGTATATATGGCTCTGGTCTCTGTATGATGCTGTGGGGTGTGATGGGTAGGGAGCTGGACTTGTGACCACAAAGGGACATTGCTGTTAAAGCATTCAGACTTCAAGCTGCTCACATAGAACAGCAAATACAGCCCACATGACAATGTTAGAGGGATAGGAATAAGCAGGGATACAGGGGATTGGGAAATAAAGCAGGATCTTTAACGCAAACGCTGGGAGAAAATCCTTATCTTTCTAACCCTTGTGTCCCATTAATAAACAACCATTTCCAGTTAAAAACAAAGATATGGAAACAATGCATATTTAAAAACAAACACCTCATTGAACTATTAATCTCATTTGAAAATCTATACTATAACCCATATAACCCATGCATTCAATTGGACTTCAAAACAATAGGATCATGTGGACTGTGGAGGCACATGAGGACTGCCGTTATCTCAACCTTGAGCTACAAGTTGACTTCAGTACAGAGACACAGTCACAAGACAGCATCGGGGAGGCCAGGGCACTGAATACTGGCTGGCTAACAAAAAAAACAACCTTGACCCCTGGTTGATTTCAATGTTTTTCAGCAAGCAAACAGGTAGAGAAGATGGATATGGCATAGAAGTAGTGTGGTTATGAGTCTAGTAAATGGGTGCAATGAAATAATGTGTATTTAATGTATGTAATGTGCTGGCAGCAGAATTACCTCGATGTAGATGTAGTGTTCGCTGTTTTCGATGGTATGGATGTAGGCATTGAGGATAGAGCTTTCACAAGTTCCGGCTGACCAGCGATCCACAGAACGCAACACCTGAGAGAAATAATGAAAATCATTGAACAATTGGTCGTAAAAAAATAGGCATTTCTCTGTGAGCTTGTATGTGTCTGGGTGGGTTTGTTCCCTCTTATGTGTGAGCATGTGTACCTGCACAGAGGCCTTCGCAGAGCCAGGCACAGTGAATGGCAGTGCGTCAACAGTACTGTGAGACTTGGGCAGAAGGCAGGGGAAGAACTTGCCTCGGATGTTCTTGTACTTAAAGATCTGCAGGCAGACAAAGCAAAGACAATAAGAGCCAGATGTATATCTCAGCTGGCGCTAAGGAGGCGCAAGTGTCAAACGCACGTTAGTTTGCAATTTCATCATTTAAAACTGCCGCACTGGCATTTTCCACCACTTACGCAAGTTTTGGCAATTTACCTGTCTAATATCAGCTCACTTGCGCTGAGGTGGGAGGGGTGGCTATATTTGAGGTGTGTCCTTAAAGACAAGCTAAATATTACAATTTCATGCAGCACTAAAGGGAGGTTTTAAGACCCACCATAAACAGGTCTTAAAGGTAATGCAGTTGGTAATGGCATGGATTTTGAGAGCGGAAGCGTAGCCTATCCAGCCGTGTCACACAATGCCCATGGAATCAGAGATGTGCCTTTTGTGCCGGTGAATCTCATATTTAGAAACATAAAAAAATTACTGGTTTCCCCCCATTTTGTAGACTTAGCCTATTTAAAACAAAAACTAAATTTTGGGGTGGATTTGACTGGAATGATTCACTCTCTTTTTAAGCCTTATCAATGGTGAATTTAATTTTGCTAATTGACAACGTTTGGCATGTCTTTTTATTTTTATTTTTTTAGTCATTTAGCAGACGCTCTTATCCAGAGTGACTTACAGGAGCAATTAGGGTTAAGTGCCTTGCTCAAGAGCACATCGACAGATTTTTCACCTAGTCGGCTCGGGGATTAACCACTAAACTACCTGCCGCCCAGGTAGACATGGCAGACATAATGCAATTAGAAGGCCTAGCTAGCCCCTATATCAGTGTGAATCAGTGATGTGCAGTCAGGGTAGGCAGTGCTTACCCTGTGATAATCTAATAAAAAAGCTGTTATGAAAAGCCAAATAAAATGTATGCACTCAATAACTGTAAGTCGCTCTGGATAAGAGTGTCTGCTAAATGACTAAAATCTAAAACGTAAATGTAATTGTTATCTAACGTTATCTACTGTTTTTTCTCAATGATTCTAGTGTTTTTTATGCTCCCCCCAAAAAAATGTTTTGCCTAAAACTGCATCAAAACCTAATGCCTTTCTTTCCATCCATTGAAATCCATGACGCGCGCGGCCTTTCCTTACTCCAGTCACTGTTAATGGACAGGGTCAACATAGGCGTCGCTGATTTGCCTAGCTTGAAGTAGCTTCATTCGTTGCATTGAGCCAATTTCATATTTTGCGCATGCGTACTGCCTAAACATGTTGTGTGGGTAATGCCTGGAGTCTACATAATCTGGCGCTCGCATCCCTTGAACTAAACAAAACTAGCTAGTTATCAAAATCAACCTGTGTAAAAAAGGCCCTTCCTTTCCTTACTCTGGCTCCGCCCGCTCTAGTTTAGAGTGTTTTTAGTCGTCGACAGAAGATGTAATCCTTCTACCCCCCCACCCCACAGCGGAGTCACTCACCACCTTCCGGAGACATTTGAAACCCCACCTCTTTAAGGAATACCTGGGATAGGATAAAGTAATCCTTCTACCCCCCCCCCAAAAAAAAAAAAAAAAAATTGTAAAGTGGTTATCCCACTGGCTATAGGGTGAATGCATCAATTTGTGAGTCGCTCTGGACTAGAGCGTCTGCTAAATGACGTAAATGTGCCCTTGAGCAAGGCACTTAACCCTAATTGCTCCTGTAAGTCGCTCTGGATAAGAGCGTCTGCTAAATGACTAAAATGTAAATGTAATGTAAAATGATGTAAGTTTGGCTGCCGACCGAGTTCACAGTGTTTATTTTAGAAGTGTTGTGCGTGCATCCGGAATTAATATCACAAATCATTCAGATTACCATACATAAAGAACTACCTACAATGGAAGTAGCTGTGTCCGCGTGCGTGTTTGGTGGTGACAATTAAGACAGTAATGGGCCTCAACATCATGTTTTAACTGGACAGCACTATAGTGGGCAGAACCAAAAACCAATCAGCGTTAAGTACCAGCGGGTGAGGGCATTCACAGCCGACCTCTCAGACGAGCTCCGGCTAGCTGTTTTTTTTACAACCTGACAAATGGACATTACTATACTGCACCTTAAACAATTTTCCAAGTTGGAATAATGTAACGAGCTGTTTGGAGGTTTCGAAAAGTGGAACGTCAACTATAATGAAAGACCAGACAGAGGCAACATACAACACGTGACTTTATTCATGACAGGCAGGCAAACAGTGAGTACTGGACTGTCCACTTGACTGAAAGGGCAATATCAATTAATACTTTTTTTACCCAGACTTTTACACATCTTGGACATTTACTTTGTGGATGTAGTGGGAATGGGTCTTCTCCTACCACTTAATGTGGGCCGAGCCTTGGCTTCTACAAGATGGATGCTATTAACTACACTACAACCATTCTACGTGCGTGGCTGCATGGGGGCGCACTCACGCGGGAGAATTCTGCTCTCCGACTGGCTGGAAGCCCTAATCATGGAGCTGCCTGTGTGCTGCGTGGGAGAACTGTGCTATCAGCTACTGTTTGTGTGTGTATTACTTTTTGTGTCAGTGTGAAAATGGAACTGAAGGAGGCCTCCCACACGGCCGTGGGCCTGCTGTGTGCATGCAAAATAAAATAATGGACATGGGGTTCTGCTGTGACTTCTACAACGCTGTCACGAGTGGTTCACCAGACGAATTGACTTTTCCTTTGCAATTTGCGGGTTATGCTACAGTTGAATCATGAGAATATACAACATCCCTTTGGATGCATTTTATTTGCTTTGCTTTATCTTGGCCAGGTCGCAGTTGTAAATGAGAACTTGTTCTCAACTGGCCTACCTGGTTAAATAAAGGTGAAAAAAATACAAATAAAATATCAAGCTAGAATTACATTTTGAACTGCATTTTTCAGTCATTTCGATTGTTGATATATAATAAAAGGTTCTAACACTTCTATATGTGTGTGTGTTTGCGAGCGCCGCACATTGGAAGAATTGTAAATCCATTGTGAAAGGCTATGGAGTTTGCGTTGCGAATTATTCGGATGAAATCTGTCCATATATTGGTATTTTAGTGCCACCTATCAGTTGTAACTGTGGATGCTACATCGGCCTATGGCTGAGCTGAGTTGAGCAGTGTGTCATTTTGTAAGATGATATGAAATATGCCGTCAACGGAGGCTATCGCATGTGTATCTTGGCTACATTGGTATTTACATTTGGTGAAAATTGTTTGTCAGTTTAAGTTAATAGCCTATGTCACTCTGGTTGTTGGAGCTATCTGTTGTATGGTGAACTTGGGCTTCATCAAGGTTTATTTGTGAGTAAATCTGGCTTTGATCATTAACAGTGCTCACCCAGCCACTGACCTCGCCGCACGTTACTGGTTCAAATGTTATGTTTAACAATATATTTCCATATTGAAGCCATGCAATTGACCCTTCGCTAAGCCCTGCCCCATAATTTTGAGCAACCAATCGCAGCGCTCCAATGGATAGCAACATCTCAAACAAGCGCGCGTCTAAAACGATCATCATGCTTGATTGAGCACAACCGCGCTGTATACATGTGCATTTGTTTCCTCAGCTACAGTTTGAGTTGTATCCTGTCTGACAGTAAAATATTGCTAGCTTTTACTGTAGCTTGGACTATGGATTAGCTAGCTAGTGTTGCAAAAGCCCATTGCTTGCATTGTAAGGTAGCAGCGTGACAATTTGCCAAAAATGTGGTGCTGGTTTTGAACTGATGTACGTTAGCAAAGACAGTACAGTATGAAGATAGGTTAAAACTGCTTCTCCAATAGAAATCCCCGATCACACTTGTAGGCAATGTCATGGCGAAGTTGGCTAACTATGCTCATGTGTAGAAACACGTCATCGGGTCTAGCGCCGAAGTGCTCATGTGCAGGCCGTGAAGTCGAAGGCACCCTAACGAAAAAAGATTGCACTCAGAGTGCAATATAACTGCAGTATGCAGCAAATACTGCGTCCAAAATAAGTTTTTTTTACTGCAGTAATTTTGCAGTGTCACTGCAGTGGTCTAAGGCAGTGCTAGCTGTGCCACTAGAGATCCTGGTTCGAATCCAGGCTCTGTCGTAGCCGGCCGCGACCGGGAGACCCATGGGTCGGCGCACAATTGGCCCAGCGTCGTCCAGGGTAGGGGAGGGAATAGCCGGCAGGGATGTAGAGCATGGCGTTTGCAACGCTAGGGTTGTGGGTTCGATTCCCACGGGGGGCCAGTATGAAAAAGAAAAAAGAATGTATGCACTCACTAACTGTAAGTCGTTCTGGATAAGAGCGTCTGCTAAATGACTAAAATGTAAAAGTAAAATGTCCTAAAGCAGACCATTGCCTCGTTTTGTATCGCATTCCAATGATAAAACTGGAGGGGACAAAAATGTATAAAAACCGTCTCCCGAGTGGCGCAGCCGTCTAAGGCACTGTGGTAGAGGCGTCACTACAGACCCGGGTTCGATCCCAGGCTGTGTCGCAGCCGGCCGAGACCGGGAGACCCATGAGGCGGCACACAATTGGCCCAGCGTCGTCCGGGTTAGGGGAGGGTTTGGCTGGCCGGAATGTCCTTGTCCCATCGCTCTCTAGCGACTCCTTGTGGCGGGCCGGGCGCATGCACGCTGACTTCGTTCGCCAGTTGTATGGTGTTTCCTCCGACACATTGGTGCGGCTGGCTTCCAGGTTAAGCGAGCAGTGTGTCAAGAAGCAGTGCGGCTTGGCAGGGTCGTGTTTCGGAGGACGCATGGCTCTCGACCTTCGCCTCTCCCAAGTCAGTATGGGAGTTGCAGCGATGGGACAAGACTAACTACCAATTGGATATCACGAAAAGGGGGTAAAAAGTACTAAAAAACTGTTTTTGCTTTGGTATTGTGTGTAGATTGATGAGGGGAAAAAAACAATTTAAGACATTTTAGAATAAGGCTGTAACATAACAAAATGTGGAAAAAGTCAAGGGGTCTGAATACTTTCCAAATGCACTGTACATCCAAGTAAAGTCATGAAAGAAAGATCCTTAGGAACCTCTGACCTTGGCAAAGTTCCAGCGCTGGATGAAGTGGCGGGCCACATCCCTGGCAGCTTTGCCATGGAGTGCGGCAGATAAGTCACGCCACGGCATACGGGGCACCTCAGTGCGGTCAATGTTGTCTGGGGACACAAAGGACTAAATGTAAGAATGAGCCCTCATGTGTGTGTTGTGTGTACATGTACGTGTGTGTTAGTGAGTGCGGGAGTAGTGGGTGTATACTGTACCTTCGAATGGGCGGTCCAGTTGGACCCAGTCCTTCCTGATGAAGTTGCTGTAGTCCTTGCCAAGCCACAACTGGGTGTTGTTTTTCAGGTCCACAGGGTTGACTTCCTCTGGCTCTGTAGGCTTTGGATCCTGGGCCAAGTCTGACCCATCCACCTGGTCACCTGAATCAACTGCCTAGGGGGCAGAGTAGGACAGTCTGGTAATGAAGTCACTGCTCAACACCAGGTAACACTATGAACTATGGATTATCAGAACAACACCGGAGAAAGAGAAAGATGAATCTTGACTTTGTCTTGAGGTGTCTCACTTCTGGCTCAGCCAGTGGAGCTTTTGGCGCTTCTTCAGATATGTGATTGGTTGTCTCCATGGGAACCGTATCAGTCAACCGGTACTGGCTGTCATCCCACCTCCCGAAGGCCAAGTCCAAGCCTCCCACAAAGGCCACTGATTGGTCGATGGCCACCATCTTCTCATGATGGGCCCACAGAAACACCACCGCGGACATGTGGTTGGGGTGTCGCATCACCTGTTGGAGAGATGTCAGGGAAGCTAAGGACACAAATCTAATAAAGTTTTGAATTTAAATTAAAGACCTAGTTTAACACTAGTATTGAAAGCATGAGGATGTGTATGATTTCTCTGTTTAGTGTGACACTGCGCTACAGTGTTATGACTAAGAGCCAGCTATGTGGATTGGTTTATCAGGTGTAAAGCACCACCTGATTGCACAGCAGAGATTGGAGCGTCTCAGACAGACCTTGATGTTGGGGTGCATGTCCATCAGTGTCCTTTTGCTGTGGCCACTGTTGATGCCCAGCGCCATTTCTACCTCCTTGTACAGGAGCACACACACTTTGACACCTTGTTCCTGCACAGAGAAAAGAACGTTTTGAGAATGACACAAATACTAATTTTCAAAAAATCTGCTGCCTCAGTTTTGATGATGGCAATTTGCATACAGTGGGGAAAAAAGTATTTAGTCAGCCACCAATTGTGCAAGTTCTCCCACTTAAAAAGATGAGAGAGGCCTGTAATTTTCATCATAGGTACACGTCAACTATGACAGACAAAATGAGAAAAAAGAATCCAGAAAATCACATTGTAGGATTTTTTATGAATTTATTTGCAAATTATGGTGGAAAATAAGTATTTGGTCACCTACAAACAAGCAAGATTTCTGGCTCTCACAGACCTGTAACTTCTTCTTTAAGAGGCTCCTCTGTCCTCCACTCGTTACCTGTATTAATGGCACCTGTTTGAACTTGTTATCAGTATAAAAGACACCTGTCCACAACCTCAAACAGTCACACTCCAAACTCCACTATGGCCAAGACCAAAGAGCTGTCAAAGGACACCAGAAACAAAATTGTAGACCTGCACCAGGCTGGGAAGACTGAATCTGCAATAGGTAAGCAGCTTGGTTTGAAGAAATCAACTGTGGGAGCAATTATTAGGAAATGGAAGACATACAAGACCACTGATAATCTCCCTCGATCTGGGGCTCCACGCAAGATCTCACCCCGTGGGGTCAAAATGATCACAAGAACGGTGAGCACCACACGGGGGGACCTAGTGAATGACCTGCAGAGAGCTGGGACCAAAGTAACAAAGCCTACCATCAGTAACACACTATGCCGCCAGGGACTCAAATCCTGCAGTGCCAGACGTGGCCCCCTGCTTAAGCCAGTACATGTCCAGGCCCGTCTGAAGTTTGCTAGAGTGCATTTGGATGATCCAGAAGAGGATTGGGAGAATGTCATATGGTCAGATGAAACCAAAATAGAACTTTTTGGTAAAAACTCAACTCGTCGTGTTTGGAGGACAAAGAATGCTGAGTTGCATCCAAAGAACACCATACCTACTGTGAAGCATGGGGGTGGAAACATCATGCTTTGGGGCTGTTTTTCTGCAAAGGGACCAGGACGACTGATCCGTGTAAAGGAAAGAATGAATGGGGCCATGTATCGTGAGATTTTGAGTGAAAACCTCCTTCCATCAGCAAGGGCATTGAAGATGAAACGTGGCTGGGTCTTTCAGCATGACAATGATCCCAAACACACCGCCCGGGCAACGAAGGAGTGGCTTCGTAAGAAGCATTTCAAGGTCCTGGAGTGGCCTAGCCAGTCTCCAGATCTCAACCCCATGGAAAATCTTTGGAGGGAGTTGAAAGTCTGTGTTGCCCAGCGACAGCCCCAAAACATCACTGCTCTAGAGGAGATCTGCATGGAGGAATGGGCCAAAATACCAGCAACAGTGTGTGAAAACCTTGTGAAGACTTACAGAAAACGTTTGACCTGTGTCATTGCCAACAAAGGGTATATAACAAAGTATTGAGAAACTTTTGTTATTGACCAAATACTTATTTTCCACCATAATTTGCAAATAAATTCATTAAAAATCCTACAATGTGATTTTCTGGATATTTGTTTCTCATTTTGTCTGTCATAGTTGACGTGTACCTATGATGAAAATTACAGGCCTCTTTTTAAGTGGGAGAACTTGCACAATTGGTGGCTGACTAAATACTTTTTTCCCCCACTGTATACTCCAGAATGTCATGAAGAGTGATCAGATGAATTGCAATTAATTGCAAAGTCCCTCTTTGCCATGAAAATGAACTTAATCCCCAAAAAACATTTCCACTGCATTTCAGCCCTGCCACAAAAGGACCAGCTGCCATCATGTCAGTGATTCTCTCGTTAACACAGGTGAGAGTGTTGACGAGGACAAGGTTGGAGAACACTCTGTCATGCTGATTGAGTTAGAATAACAGACTGGAAGCTTTAAAAGGAGGGTGGTGCTTGAAATCGTTGTTCTTCCTCTGTTAACCATGGTTACCTGCAAGGAAACACGTGCCGTCATCATTGCTTTGCACAAAAAGGACTTCACAGGCAAGGATATTGCTGCTAGTAAGATTGCACCTAAAATCAACCATTTATCGGATCATCAAGAACTTCAAGACGAGATGTTCAATTGTTGTGAAGAAGGCGTCAGGGTGCCCAAGAAAGTCCAGCAAGCACCAGGACCGTCTCCTAAAGTTGATTCAACTGCGGGATCGGGGCACCACCAGTGCAGAGCTTGCTCAGGAATGGGAGCAGGCAGGTGTGAGTGCATCTGCACGCACAGTGAGGCGAATACTTTTGGAGGATGGCCTGGTGTCAAGAAGGGCAGCAAAGAAGCCACTTCTCTCCAGGAAAACATCAGGGACAGACTGATATTCTGCAAAAGGTACAGGGATTGGACTGCTGAGGACTGGGGTAAAGTCATTTTCTCTGATGAATCCCCTTTCCGATTGTTTGGGGCATCCGGAAAACACCTTGTCCGGAGAAGACAAGGTGTCATGCCAACAGTAAAGCATCCTGAGACCATTCATGTGTGAGGTTGCTTCTCAGCCAAGGGAGTGGGCTCACTCACAATTTTGCCTAAGAACACAGCCATGAATAAAGAATGGTACCAACACATCCTCCGAGAGCAACTTCTCCCAACCATCCAAGAACAGTTTGGTGACGACCAATGCCTTTTCCAGCATGATGGAGCACCTTGCCATAAGGCAAAAGTGATAACTAAGTGGCTCGGGGAACAAAACATTGAAATGTTGGGTCCACGGCCAGGAAATTCCCCAGACCTTAATCCCATTGAGAACTTGTGGTCGATCCTCAAGAGGCGGGTGGACAAACAAAAACCCACAAATTCTGACAAACTCCAAGCATTGATTATGCAAGAATTGGCTGCCATCAGTCAGGATGTGGCCCAGAAGTTAATTGACAGCATGCCAGGGCAGATTGCAGAGGTCTTGAAAAAGAAGGGTCAACACTGCAAATATTGACTCTTTGCATAAACTTAATGTAATTGTCAATAAAAGCCTTTGACACTTATGGAATGCTTGTAATTATACTTCAGTATACCATAGTAACATCTGACAAAAATATATCATAACACTGAAGCAGCGAACTTTGTGAAGACCAATACTTGTGTCATTCTCAAAACTTTTGACCACAACTGTACACAGAAGGTAGTCTGGCTGATACCAAAGTCCTCCTGACTTCAGAGTCTGGAAAGGCTGTTTTGATGTTGTCGGCATGCGTTGATAATGAAGGGGGCTGTGCTTTTACTGGTTGGGTCTCCTCAGTGTCTTTCTCACTCAAACACACACAGGCACAGCCACACACATCCCCAGAGCGCCGCCCCCTTCCATTACAACCTCAACCCCCCAGGAAAAAATTACATTCGAGAGAACCAATCAATGCATCCGCTTAATTTCTAGGCGAAGATTGCATTAACAAACAGCCTCCTTTTCAGACCAGTGGGTCACAGCTGTGTGGTCACGAGGTTCACGTTAGCCAGTCTACACAGAAGGTGGGAAGGATGCGGAAAGGAGGGATTAACCTTCAGTGCTTTCAGGGGAGAGGAGGGAGGAGAGGTAAAAGGGAGACTAAAGACATGTTGACAGGAGAAAGTTGGGAAGTAGATTCGTACTGCTTTGCGATTGAGGATCTGGTCCAGGCGCCAGTATGTGTCTGTAGCTGGCCTCTTCAGGAAAACCTCTGGGCTGAGCCTGGGAGGGAGGGTGGGAAAGACATATTCACCATGCAATGTTAACCATGTACATATTTACACTGTGTCCTGCTGTTTACAGACTAATTAGAAACAAACCTAATACATGTTGGAAACAGTGATCTCCGTTGATATTGATATTGGGAGAGTGAAATCAAATATTTGTTTTGTTTGCTGTATGCTCTAATTTAGCTAACGGCAGAGCAGAGCCATTTTCTACAGTATATGGCTCTGGATAACCACTCTATAAATTATGGAGAGCACTGTGCTTACATCAGTACACGTGTTGGAACACACAGTAGGCTTACTAGCCATAGAGATATACTGTATAATAATAGAATGTTCAATTCTATTTCTATGGTGCTAGCTCTGCTACTCACCACCAGTCTGTGATGAAGATCTCCTCCTTGGCCTGCTCCAGAGCATCAGCCAGGTCTGCAAAGTAGCCACTTCCATTTACATACCTTTAATATGACCAATTCATAAACAGAGACATTACATTTAAGTTAAGGGTGCACAAAGCTATGGGTGTATACAGCAGGTACACATACCACATTATCATCATCTAATTGGAAGCAACATCTGACCATTTAGTGAGTGTGTTCTCCCGTGGAGGGGCAAAGCCCCCGAAGCGTTGGACCTGGAGGAATTCACAGGGCTCAGCCAGCCTGTTGATCTCATGGCTCCACCAGCGAGCCTGTCTGTAGCTGTTACACTTGATGACCAGATCCCTTCACACACACACACACACAACTATTTTTTATAAGTCTAAAATGAGGCTACATAGCCTACAAGGATAGACCATTACATTCAAAATGTTAATAAAACATCTGTTTTATGAGTGCGCTGCATAAAAAAGACACACCGGTAGTTTACACACGTTTCACACTGGTTTTAATGTCTATGGTTTCATTCATGTAGCTTGTTGTTATTGTCAGTCAATCAAAGCGGCACTACATTCAGAGGCTCCATATGTAGCAAGTGAAGTGGGAGATTTCTAACCAATACAAAATGGAATTACATTTATGGAATTAAGTTGGCTAAATGAGAAGGGGTAGGCTATAATGATCAACCAACAGGTAGGCTGTTGTTTCATATGAATGGAGTTGTTGTAGACATTGGATGGGGAGCGCAGCAAAATAGCCTCAATTAGCCTTGCTACTTTAGCTAGCTAGCTGGCTAGCTTTTTTACAACAATTTGATGTAGTCAAGACAGGCACTACCAGATGGTCTGATAGATAAGTTTGTCTAACTAGCGCAAGTCAGTTTAGCTATTTTCTCTCTCTCTCTCCCTCCGTGCACAGTGCACCCACTCCATCTCGAGTCGCGTGAGCAAGTCTCCATTGAAGTAAAACATTTATTATTATTATTATTATTTGTATTTCGACTATCCCAAAAAATATCATGACATTATTTGAATACTGTAGCTCAGTTGGTAGAGCTTGCAACGCCAGGGTTGTGGGTTCGATTCCCACAGGGGGCCAGTATGAAAATGTATGCACTCACTAACTGTAAGTCGCTCTGAATAAGAGCGTCTGCTAAATGACTAAACATTTTTTTTTTTAAATATAATAATTCAAATACCCATCCCTAGAACACACATACACACAAGGTTAGGGCCCTGTGTAGCTCAGTTGGTAGAGCATGGCGCTTGCAATGCCAGGGTTGTGGGTTCGATTCCCACGGGGGTCCAGTATGAAGAAAAAAAAATGTATGCACTCACTAACTGTAAGTCGCTCTGGATAAGAGTGTCTGCTAAAATGACTAAAATGTAAATGTAAGGTTACACAGCGAGACAATACTTGCCCGCACAAATACACAAACAGCTAGGGATTGACTCATAAATAAACAGTTAGGAATACAAATGTATATTTGAGGGTACATTTTTATGAATGTCTGCCGACAAGTAATCATATTTTGGACAGCACTATGGACTTACCTAGTGAAGTTCTGAATGCAAACCCCATATTTGGTGTCAGTGTGTGCACGACCCACTTGAACTTTGAACTCCGGGTCAAAGACCAGTACGAAGCAGACGACCCCGTTTTCCCGGTTCATATAGAGCAGGAAGGAGTCCTTGACCACCAGCCAGCGCTTTGACCAGCGGAAGCAGAACTGGTGATGACCAATACAGTTCAGCCCCTGGATACGGTGACCTCCTGATCTTTTGAAGATGGAACCCTCCCTGAAACAAAATGGCATCACTTACATGGACATAGAATCAGTCACATTAAAATATACTGAATAACACTCAGTCTCATATATCATCACACACTCTCATAGACTATTAATAGTGCTTACAGGCCTTTGGGTCCAAGCTCACTGACAAAGGAGAGAGCACTGACATCAAGGAATTCCAGCTGGAATCAGAACAAGATAGACAGTGATGATAGCACATCCTGACACTGAATGGTATTTGGTGTGTGTGTGTGTGAGTGTGTGTGTGCACGTGTCATCTTCACTCACCATGCCGTGATAGTTCTTACAAAAGGAATTCTCCAGAAGCCCGTTTAGGTATTCCTCAAGGTATTTCTATAACAGAGAGATCAGAAATCAGAATTGACTGGACTTGACACCCCTGGCCTACATGATCAAATGTCAACAAATCAAATGGTCACCCCTAAAAATAAAATAAATAATAATAATAATAATAATTGATCCCTCATGTTTTTTGTGTGGAGGGCATTATCTAGAACTAAGTAGATGTACGGGCATGTGCCTTTATGTGAGACTAAGTGATGTATGGGTCTCTGTCTGCATGTGTACCATGGTGTTTATCAGTGTCTGTCTTTCTGTATACAGTACGTGTGGGTCCATGGTTGTAAGAGTGATACCGGTTTGCTGGAAGTTCGTCTCATCCTCTCAGTCCCGTGTAGACTTGGCATCTCCTCTGTCATAGCCCTCAGCTGCGCTCTCTGGGCTGCAAATCTAAAAATAGATATTTGAATATTCTAAACATTTTACTGCTTAAACTCGTACCGAAATCACAACAGGCATTCACTCTGATTTGAAGTGCATCCCCTCTAAACAAATTACTCTCGGCACAGATAATGGGTTGATTTGAGCTCTGATTGGTGCTCTGAGTCTGACCTTCCCAGAGGCAGGAAGTGGGCCATCATCTTGTGCTTGTAGAGGTCACGGTGCAGCTCCTGGAAGTGCTTGTACTTCCTTTTGACCGTCCAGGTGAACTTGCCATGGGTCAGCTTCACAGTGTACAGAGTGCACACACGGACCTGGAAGAGAAAACATGTCATAGACTTGTGTAGCCTACACATAATGTAAACACACGCTCATGTGGAAAGGTGCAGGTGTGCATATAATATACAGACACACAAATAAACACTATGTACATACAGTATACTGTACACACACACACCTTGGAGCGTGTGGTGTATCTCTCGGTGCTGTCCACTCTGCAGATGACTGGAGTCCCAGGCAGTAACACAGGCACACCTGCCTCCTTCACATCCAGCAGATGATGAACCACCAGGAAGGGACGACCTTCCTCTGTGGGGGGGGGGGGGGGGGGGTCACATGACACAGGCAAACTATCACAGAATAATTCAATACCACTACTGAAATCTCTTATCATTCTAACGTGATGTAAAGGTACTTGGATGGAAGGAATAAAAACATTATAGGCTACATCAACAACTAGGGTCTGTGTCCTAACCTCCTTCCCTCATGAGGCCATCCAACTCTTCCTTGCTCAGCTCATAGTCTTCTGTGATGAAGCGCTTTGTCTTTTGGGCCTCCGCCGCTCTCCCATCTGGACATGAAGGGGTATTGCAGCATGCTGCTGCTGGACTGGCCATGGTGCTCTATCCCTTTCATCACACAGAACATTTTTACTAAATATGAGTCACAGTCCATCACCATAATCTTTCAAACATCTAGCTATAGTCTCCCCCCCAAAAAAAATATATACATAAAATAATCTAGATGAATTTACTGTATTACATAGAAAATACTTGACAATAGTGGGACTGTACAACACAATAACAGAGTCATTCAGACTAATTGCAGACCTGTGTCAATAAGGCCGAGAACAATTTTTCAGACACGTTATGTATGAAGTACAGTACATTAAAGGACACCTAACACAGATGACGATAAATAGTGGGGAGAACTGATCTATGAACTAGGAGAGACTGGGACTTCACGTGTGTCTAAATATAATCCTGGGACCTCTCAAGTGCCTCAGACACGGCAGTGAACCAGATAGATCACACCCATCACACAACACCACAATATCTGAAGAGGAACAAATGACATGATAACAGCTTCAAAAAGCACAATCATGTGTTGGTGGTGTTTACCTGCTTTTATCATCAGCGGTGTGATACATAAGAAGTCTGGGAGGGAGCACACACAATGAGAGAGAAGGGTGTGTGCAAATGCGTGTGGGAAGAGGGATCTGATTGGCTGAGTAGATTTGTTTCCTGGGCAACCAAGTTCAAGGTGAAACAAAATCGAGAGAGAGAGAGATGCATTGACAAAATGTGCATCACTGTCTCCACGTCTCTTACTATGAAGAGTATCAGCCAAGCTCTGACAGTGTTGTGCAGAGCAACAGAGGTCTTGGTACTGTATCTACATTGTCTTTGCTCGAATGCAGAACAGATGCTAGTAAGCTGTACACGTCTCACCATAGGGACAGTCACTAGGGGACTCTGCAGTGTTTCCTAATTCCCAGTGTAAATCTATACCCACTGCTGAGTTTGTGCTGTAGGATGATTCTGAGTCATGGTTAAAGAAACATTAGTTGTTTTCATTTGGTAGGAAACATTTCTGAAAACTGTGGGTGGGTCAACATACCAAAACATGAGGGGAGAAATGTTATTAGGTGTGCACACTGGACACTGCACAGCAAATTACAATCCCAAAGTTAACTTTATTGCTTTCTCTAGGTATCATCTTGTCAATTATAACTAAATGACAATAGCAGAACAAAAAACATTTAGAGCATAATGAAACCCAAAAAGCATTTAAATCCATGGATTTCTGCCAATTTGGTGGCTCCATAATTACTGTAAAACAACCTCCCATGTAATCAAAATCTAAAATCAGCCAGATATTTGCTTAAATGTATTACATCATAATCAACATTATCTAAAAATGGCTACTGTCTAGCCAGTCAGTCATTCAAATGACAAAATGATAGGCCTATTGCCTACTATAGATTTCTCCACTGAAGCCATCATTCTTTGCACCTAGCCTATGGCGGAACAACTTGGATGACGATGACCACAAAATGTTAAATCCTCAGAAGTTTTGGCGAGAAAGCTGCACTGCTCTGTCAATAGAACTCAGTGCTTATTATTGGATGTATTAGGTTACGAAATCAGACTTTTTCGATATAATGTGATATGTTAGAGAAAGACTCCACTGAAAGATTCGTAACATGAATGTTTTGGTAAAATGTATTTAATAACATAAGGAAGTGTAATGTCATCACTAAAGCATGTTTTCACCGACTCTGGGCAGAGTGGGTGGACACCGTATATGATGTTACAAATTACAATTCGTATGATATATTACGAATTTGCAATATGTATGATATGTTAAGAATTCCAATTTGTTGATGCTAATGTTAGCTAGGTGGTTAACGTTAGCTAGCCTAGGGGTTAGTTTTAGTGGTTAAGGTTAGGAGTTAGGTTAAAGGGTTAAGATTAGCTAACATGCTAAGCAGTTGCAAAGTAGCTCAAAAGTAGTTGCAAAGCTGCTAATTACTGAAAATACAAATGTTTTTAGCAACCTTTGGGTTGCTAGACGTTCATGTTATACGCCCACCCATCCAACCTCCTTTTCGTTTTTGCCTTAAGGAAAACTTATGTTAGATGCGTCCTCACCCTGAAAGTAGTCTATGGGCCAAGAGAAAGTGGATTGCATGGTTCAGTTCTTTAAACAGCCACTACAAACTTCAGCTAACCTTAGCCACCACAAGCTAACAATCAATGGAAGCGAGCATGTTTTTTAAATGTATGTCCAAAACACCTGAAATCAATTCAAATCAACTCCATATTTGGTTTGATATTACTTAATTGGCGATTTGGCCATCATTTTTTTGTAACAAAAACATACTCACATGCCCCCATCACTTCAATTGATTGTTAGCTTGTGGTGGCTAATGTTAGCTGAAGTTTGTAGTGGCTGTTTAAAGAAAGCTGAACCATGGATTACAGTTTATACTGGCCCATAGACTACTTTTAGGGTGAGGAACCATCTAACATCAAGTTGTAAAATAGTGAATTACTGCTTTAAGTAACCTTTGGTCTTATGTAACCATACCAAACATAACATATCATACTAATTTGAGTGTACCATAATTTTTCGTTGACTATGTTACGTCTAGTCTATGATACCAGGCTGGCAAACGAAGGAGCAGACAGAGTTGGCAATGTGAGACTATAATAAAGTATCCCTTTGAAATGTCGCATAGGCCTTATTAGTATTGTGCATCTGTGCGGTTTTAAACTATTTCTAAATCACGATAGTTCCCTTTATTGTGGTATAGAATCACAGAGGGGATTCATTTTGGCAGAGGCGTAGTTACTTACTAAAACATCACACAGAAAACATCAGGAAGACGAGGGTCAAATTCCATAATTCCATATCTGTGAGTAAAAAGATATTCGTTTTTCATCCTAGTTCCTCCGCCCTAGAAGACTTATCAGTAGTTTTTGAAGTAAAAGACAAAAGGAGAGCGATACCGTACTAACTCTAAACCATGCACACGTAAACGTTCCTTCCGGCTGCATGGTAGGCTATGTTCCTGAAATCATTCACCGAGACTAGTCGCTACAGGAGCACAAATAGTCTCATGATACAATAGTGCGCGATGACTTGTCCAGGTAAACATTGCATCAGTATATCAACAACGTATACATGTTTCTTTCACATTACCTTGCTATTCCATTATCAAAGAAAATGTCGCATAGTGCCTGACGTAGCAGGCAGCAGCACTCCAGTTGAAGCCAGGTTGGCTAGTCAGCAGCACAACAACAGTAGCCTGCATTACACTTCTTCTATTAAAATTCTAATAGAAATCTAAAAATGAATTTATAAAACAAATAGAGAACTAATAATCAACAACTTAAATAGAAGAGTTTGGTCCGGTTTATATGGCTTTCATTGTTTTTTCATTATGAAACATCTTAATCTTTGTTGCTTGAGCTTTTCTCAATACAAGAGATGTGACTTTATTTTAAGTGTAACCAGCTGCAAAACGTGTGAAATGTCGGATATGGCAGATCTGTTTTTGCCGGCTCAAGACCCCCCACTTCCTCCTCCTCCTTCACACAAAATGAATGAGTCCTGTTGAACTGAGACAAGAGGGACAAGTCGCAACTGGGGCTTTGGTCCGGCAGCCAACCCAGAAGGATGTTGGGAGCACATTGTTAGAGATGCACTCTAGACACCCCTAAACTTGCTGTAAATCACTTCCTAGATGTGGAGGGGGACAAGTCCTAAACATCTGGGAAAATAGCATCTTTAATTACCTATTGCTTTTTCACTCTATGAGAGGTTCCAATTTTGGGGTAGTAATATCTTTTTTTTCACTCAGAGATAATTGAATTGGACCATGTAGTACCAACTGCAGGGGAATTGGGTCAGTGTTTAAAAGACACTGTGGCACTTTTTATCAAGAACAGTTCTGTCGTATCAAAGTTTGTATGTCAGATTCATTATCAGCTCTATCTCACTTTCATGCTTTCAAATGAAAGAGAAGATCTGTGTGAAAAGAGGGTGATGGTTCCCTAACGCATGCAGGAGGGCTTTGACATTGCCATGGATGGATGCACAGAAGTTATTTAGAGTTGTCCAAGTGATTTCACTCCACAGTGCTGAGGCATAGTCTCTAGAGTTGAAGAATAGAGGTTAACTCTGACATTGAATTAAACTGTTTATTTTCTCCCAATTGAGGACAAAGAGGATCTTTGGGTGGAGACCGCAGATTTGGGTGAGTCAGCAGACATTGTCTAGTCATAGTGGTCAGAGTCAGATGATAGTCAGTCATTCATGGTCAGATGGACTGACCACATCCTCTACACTCAGTAGTAGTAAATTAAATTTGTTCAACCTAAAGAGATTTTAATCTCAAATTACATTGTCGTAATATTCTAAATACATAAACAAATGTATATCTACATAATATAAAGACCAGAAAATATTTTGTTATATTAAACCACATTTCTTGCCCAAAGCGTGATCTTGAGGGTGTGTAGCCTATTCTGATTCACTCAAAAGTCACATAATAATAGTGGTGTGATCAAGTGGAATGTAGGCTACACCTATAGGCTAACACGTAGACTACTTTCACTGTACACACTACACTCCTTGATCAGATACTGCTTCCCATTAATATGCCTCAAGAACACCTCATCTTCACTCACAAAGGTTTTAAGAATACTCTACAGTGGTCCGGTGTTTAAGAAATGTTTACATTGACTTTAATAGTAAAACTGCCTTCAAACTGTGCTGTTGCATGGTAGGATGCCAAACTGTTCTGTTGCGTGGTAGGATGCCAAACTGTTCTGTTGCGTGGTAGGATGCCAAACTGTTCTGTTGCGTGGTAGGATGCCAAACTGTTCTGTTGCGTGGTAGGATGCCAAACTGTTCTGTTGCGTGGTAGGATGCCAAACTGTTCTGTTGCATGGTAGGATGCCAAACTGTTCTGTTGCATGGTAGGATGCCAAACTGTTCTGTTGCATGGTAGGATGCCAAACTGTTCTGTTGCATGGTAGGATGCCAAACTGTTCTGTTGCGTGGTAGGATGCCAAACTGTTCTGTTGCATGGTAGGATGCCAAACTG